GTTAAATGGATCGAGCATCTCGAAACGAGCGTACATGACAGGTCACTATGCACGATTTTTAATTTCCATGTAGACATGATTGGTCTGGACAAACCTCACTGTGCCATGTCATGGTGTCGTGAAGTTGTGAGTGGTGGGCCAACTAAGGTGAGAAATTAAAAATTTATGCAGGTGGGATGGGGTGGGATGGGGATTTTTTCTCGTCTGGGTAAGATGTTTATTTTCCTGCCGGATTAGGCAGGGAGGGCACTGTACATCGTCCCAAAAGGGGAGTCCTCCGGTGTGAGGTTGGAGGCAGTGTGGCCTGTTTGGATGTATATGTTTTATGCACATCGTACAGTGTATCTACCATTGTGAAAACACTGCCAATAACGATCGTTCCAATTTATTATATATGCTGGCGCTGGTTATTGATAATGGGAGTATATTGTAAAGCTGAAGTTAGAAGTACACAAGTAAATAAATAAAACTCACTCACGACCAAGACAAAATAAAACAGTGAATGGCTATCCGATCCTTCCCTATAGATGAAACTACCCTAAACAATGACATGTCATATCATACGATGCTAGAAAGCGCCACGAACATACATAGGAAGAAAGCCCACCTCACGATTTTTTCTAGAACACATCCCAAAGAGGTCACCTCACATCTCATCGTAGTTACCCCACCACAAATACCCAGCCTTGGCAAAGCATGGGGGACAATGTTCCGGAAGCCAAATGGAAAGAAATATCGGTGAGCTTCGTCCTCCTCGAGCCACGAGGCCCGATTCATTGGATCCTAGATCGCATTGTTGGCAGGTGGAGCCTCTCCATTATGACATAACAGTGCATCGATGATGGCATGGGGGGACTGGAGATCCGAGGAAGCGAGCAAAAAACTATGTATCTTGTATTGTGTTACGGAGTAGTCTAAAGCCCTAGGGGGAAAAAAATTGGGTGCACTAAGGTGAAGCGGTGTGCGCTGCGCCTCATTCCATCCTAGCGTATGGAGATCTTCCAATAAATGTGCGGGACGATCCGCGCTCTGACACGCGAGAGGTTATTGTTGTGGCTTCGTCGATTTTGTGGCGCTAATGTCTGCTGTAGTGGCTTTTTTTCTCACCGACTGGAGTGTTTACTCCTACTACTGCAGAGTACTTCGGTGTCATCGTTGTTGATCCCTTCTGGCCTTACTAGGCGCAAAACTAATTGGCCCTTGTCTAGTGCTACGTCTGCTAGTATCCCTGGCCGTAGTGTGTAACAGGCTAGCCAGCCCGGATTGTACATATGTCATACATTGCATATAGTACGAAGAGTCTGAGGATGCCTGGGTGTTGCAGTGATTCTGGTTTAAGAGTAATAAAAAAAATAAATAAAAATTTAGAGATCGATCAGTGTTGGGATTGCGCTTTACCGACCCGCCACATCTTCTGTCCCAAAATGGGAATTAAGGAAAGAATTTACCCGAGAATCAAAACTTGTTGAAAAGTAAATAATAAAATTCGGCGTCGATCGACGCGGGTTACCTCTTTCGTGGGATTTGTTGTTCCCCGCCTTGTCCTTTTTATTTTATTTTATTTTATACTTTCTCGGGTCTTTGGTTTGCTGGGTCCAGCAAACACGATCGCTTCCTCTCGGCCCTGCCGTCCGGTACGTATCGTAAAGGTTAACTTGTCGATACCGGAAAAGCAGGGCTCAGCCACTGCATGAGCCACAGCTAGTTTTGCTCGGATTGAAGATTCCTTTGTTGAATTGTCACAACGTCATGATATGATTGAGATATTGACATCACTGTTTTAAGATTGGCAACTCGTGGGTTTCCTTGCTGCTACCAAGTGACGGAATTGCATAGCCCTGATACAATACCATGGACCATTATGTAGGCGAGGTACGGAGTACTGACAATCCCCTGAGAGAGTCCTTCCGGAATAGGTAATCAAGTCACGAGGTAAGTCAAGGAACAAGGGGTCATCTATCCCCATCAGAGATAATAATAATAATAATCTCATTATAATTTCCTTATTACCGGGGGCATAGGAGATGTGCGGCTCTCCGCATAACTTATTCAACAGGCCGTCGTTTTGTCTACCACTTCAAATTGGGCAGAATGATTGTCCGGCACCTGATGTCGGGCGGCCCTAAATGAGAATCGTCTTCCCGTCTGGAACCATCTACGGCCCGTGATTGGTAAAATGACCTCGATAGTCCGATGACGCTTCATTTGCATATCAAGGACCCAGGGCCAATCATTCCCGTGGGAACCTCGCAAAAATGCACGTTTCTCAAAAAAGGTGGGCATCGTGGACTCAAAAGTAGAAAAGATCGTCGAGTTTCGGCGATAGTGTTCACAATTGGCGGCTACAGTCCAGATCCAATTATTTAACTTGCTACGAGTTGGGTAATTTTGAATGTCGCTCTTGGGGGTGTTTGTGGTCGATCTGACTGAACCGAGTTGACGGGACAGACGGTGTCAAGAAGCGGCTGGTCGGGAAAAATGGGTTTGTTACCAGTAGATAATTTTGGATTAGCCAAGTTATAGATGAGATATGCCACTACGACTTGTCATTCATTCTCTTCTGCTTGTCGGTTTTCTGTCAAGCATTGACCGATAATTGGCTTTAGATCTTCATAACTGTGACGGGAGTGGACTTCTGCATTGACTATTGAATTTGTCTTTGAGAAACTGGGGTTGATGAGCTTCATGCGAAATGAAAAGGGAAAGACTAACTAATATTCCATTTCAAATCCATGTCTTAGCCCGGATTTTCGTGGCCGCTTCTCCTTTTTTTTTTTTTTTTCCTTTTCTTTCCCCCCCACCTTTCCCTTCTCTTTCTTCACAGAATGAGGAGAGACGAAGTTTGCCACCATCTTATCAGGAGGATAATATTGATAAATCCTCCATAAGCTGTTTCAAGTAATTGGCAAGGTTACAAATAGGCTACCGAGCACGCCAAGTCGATGATGGTCTGTGTGCTACGGACTTGCCGATGACACATGCGCATACGGATGTGTCAGGAATGTACCTCTGTATGTATGGGCGGTGTCTCCGACTGGATCCCCAGACCCCAGGTATTTTAGCACGCATGGTAGGGATGAAAATGGGGTGCCATGAAAAAAGCCCATCAGTGCTTCTACCTAGAGTGGGCTTGAGGGTAAATATTTAGATAGAACCTAAAGGGAGGGAAGAGCGGTCCGGAACTGTCAGGAATTGCAACCATTGAACCTCTTCCCTTTATCATGTGCTCATGAAATACAATGCAGGAACCCTTAAGGGAAAAAGTCTCATAGGGCGGAGACCTCGAAAGGAAGAAGTGTACTACGATTACAGATTCATGGGTTTATGGTTGTTCTGACAAAAGGATTGGGAGAGGAAAAGTGGATCCTTTGACCTTTATGAGATGGTCATATATTTTTACCTCAATTACCACTACTAGTAGTACCACGACGGGTCCTCATGACGAATAGCTTTTAATACAGTACAGTACTTTCTGCAGAACTCCTTACTCCAGAGTACACCTGCCATGAGAGTCGTGCTCGTTAATATCTTCTATCTTTGAAATATCTCTCAAAAAGTCAAGGGAAAGGATTTTTCAGCATCGACAAAGAAATGTCTCTGGTAGGTATACTCCTGCTGAGTTGCGAGTTGCTGTAAAAAGTAAGATAGAAAGGAAAAAAGGTCGAGTCAAAATAATTCAATAAGAAAATAAAATGAATAAAAAAATAACTTCGTAAGAAGAATTAAAAAATAATAAATAAAGAGAAAAAAAAAAAAGAAAAGCAAAGAAAAAAAAAAAGTGGAAAGAGGTTAACATAGGAAGTAGATCGCTAAAATGGAGAACTGCTGGCTGTGCAGTAATGCAGGGTTAGCGGTATGGTAAGAATAGTTACCAACCTATGTTAGCGTGCCATGGTAGTAAGATGTACGGAGTAGTGCTAATAATACGATACTAAAACTCGGCCCTGATCACAGCCTGCCCCTGCTGGTCGGACATCTCCACTAGTCTCCTTTTTTTTTTTTGAATTATTTTATTATTATTACTATTATTATTATTTTTTTTTTTTTTTAGTCTTCTGGCGCTCCACAATTCAACCACCATCATCATCGACATCATCCGCCCACACGCACCCACACCTGTCGCGCCGCTAGAGATGACTCCCCTGTCTCCTGCTGCGCGTTCCACCTCCAGTAGTCTGGATGGGTTTCTTTAGCGTTGTTTTGCTTAGTTCGCTCGTAGTCGTTAGTCAATCCTAGTTAGTAGGCCAATCCACTTGCGAATCCTAGATGGTTCATAGGGCCAGCAATCACATAACATTTAACAATGCTTTTGCTCCCCTCTCTCCGTCCTTCTTTTGTTCCGCACGCCTCTCATTCCCCTCTCAGCACGGGAATCCTTCTGGTAGAATTCCTTGAGAGTGTGCTACAAAAGCATCTCGTGCTCTTCCTTATCCTTCGTCATCCTCACTTACTTTGGGAAGCAAGGGCCTTGATTCCTTGCCTGCTCGGGTCGATTGCTTTACTCAGTCTTTCTTCCTCTGTATATCACATTGTCTATTTTTGCTCCATTATCTCTCTGCAGACCCTATCCCAATCGGGAAATTGCAGAACATTGCCGTGCCAATTCAAACCAACACAATCCTCTGTGTCCTGAGCCATTGCCTCGCATCACAACTGTTCCTCTCCTGGATCGGTCTTACGCAATCTCTTGGAACTACTGAGCAGACCTTTTTATATCCATTGTTGGCCCCTTTGAAAGATTGTATGTTTCCCCGTGCGGCCCGTTTCTCCTAGAAACTCAATCCATCGCTTGTTATGCGCGCAAGCCGACAAGATTGATTCAAGTCTCTGATTGGAATTTGTGGTGGCTGACGATTGACACTAATAGTGATCTCAACCCTCGCATTCCGATCCCCACATACTGAGAATAACCAACCCTTGAACCAAAAGCGGGCATGCAAGCCCACAGTGATCACCCTGACTTTGTCCTCTTTCCTCCACAATACAACATTGATAGCAAAATGCTGGCATTCGAACCGCCGAGGCAGCAGCAAACTCCATACTTCCAGCATTTCACCATGGATCCTGCGTTGACCGAGCCCTTTACCTTTCACGTGGACTTGAGTGGCTTCGGACAAGGTCCCAATTCCTCACGACTGCCCCAGTCAACTTATTACGATACTCCGTCGGTTGATGCATATTCCGATACCAATAAAGCGACCAACTTCCCGCCGATGCCGGCTACTCCACCCTCCGCCCCAATCTCTCGTTCCTCCGAACCTTTCATGCCGGGTCTTTCCACGGCCTCTGGTCCTTCAATCGCAAGTGCTTCGTCTTCTGCTATAGGCTCCCCTTACTCAGGAACTGCCCCGGCTATTCACGAGAACTGGGTAGACACTAATCACGGTCTGGGACTACCGGCTGCGGTCATGAGTGACCTCTTGAATGAATGCACTGGCAACTCACTGGACATGGAAATTCTCTATTCAAAGAAGAACTCAGATGACTATGTTGGTAAGTTCAATTGCATTGTCCCCCAATCCCAAGCCTGCTGTGGTAGATCGCTGACGAGTGATGTATCATCAACAGACCCTTCTTTGATTGAGAGATTACAACCACAAACGAACATTCCTCAATCTTCTATGCCATACCCTGAGCAGCCGAACTACGGCTATCATGGGTTACTTCCTCAGTCCCCCGAGCTTCCCTATCTTCCCCAAGCCGAAGAGTATCATACACAGCCGGTTGCGCAGCAGCTCAATCACATCCCGATGTCCTCCCCACTGATCAATAACCGGAGATCCTCCATCTCCTCTGACCGTTCCCGTCGCTCGCAGCTGAGTCCGGCTGCTAGTGACGCATCTCTTGATGATGAGACCAAGGAGAAGGGACGGTGCCCCCACCCTGACTGCGGACGCGTCTTCAAAGATTTGAAGGCCCATTTACTAACCCATCGGTCGGAGAGGCCCGAGAAATGCCCCATTGTTAACTGTCCATATCATATCAAGGGCTTCGCTCGTAAATATGACAAGAATCGTCATACTCTTATTCATTACAAAGGAACAATGGTCTGCGGCTTTTGTCCAGGATCTGGGTCACCGGCGGAAAAGAGCTTCAATAGAGCAGACGTCTTCAAGCGCCACTTGACTTCGGTGCATGGCGTGGAACAAACACCACCAAATTGCCGGAAGAAGAGCTCAGCTTCGCCTAACAAGGCTATCGCAGGGTATCGCAAAGACGAGGCTAAATGCTCCACATGCGCTTCTACCTTCGACAACGCTCAGGAATTTTACGAGCACTTGGACGACTGTGTTCTCCAAGTTGTGCAGCGGGAGCAACCTAGTGAGGCTATCAACCGGAAACGCCTGGCTGAAGTCGACGAGGACGAGGAGGTGAAGAAAACCATGGAGAAGCATAAGCTGCTCGATACGGCTGGTACCGTTGATCGATACGATGACGAAAGTGACGACGATGAAGATGATTCAAATGAGTTTCTGTCTGTCCGGCGATCCGCCAACAGCACTATGAAAGGCGGCAGAGGCAGCTCTTCCGCCCGTGTTACCCTAGGAAACAGTGCTGTTACCAAGCGCCCAACTGCCTCGAAGCGGCGGAATAACCGTGATCGTTACCCCCAATCCTGGGGTTGCCCCAGAAGCAGCATCAACCTCAAAAGGCGCGTTCTGTGTGTGTATGATGGTCAACGCAGCCTGTGGAAGGATGAAATGATGCTGAAAAACGAGCATGAAGTCCGTATAAATCTTCCTGGTGGCGCTGGAGACGGCACTAATCGAGAGGCATATGTGACGGATCTGGACGTCCTAACTTTGGAGCGCGCGGAAGGCATCCTGAACGCTACTGAAGAAGAACGGGGTCCTTGGCTAGATGGGCCCTCTTCAAAGATGATTGGGCGACCGGCCATTGCCATGTCCAGTCTGTCCCATCCTTATGAAGGAGAGGTAGATATTGATGAGTTGGTGTCTTGATACTCTTCAGTTTCCCAAGTTCGGCTCTTGTTTGGCATACGTGGCATGATGTTAGCGATATTTCTTATGTCTGGCTAGTGTGATACCATTCTCTGTTGTTTGTTTCCTTTTGGATATACTGGGTTCCATCTTCCCAACTCTGTACTTATATGATGTATCAATCCTAATCTCTGGCTGGCTGGACCTGCAGAGTTTCAAGGAGAACAAGATGGGAAAACAAAAGCTTTTATGTATGAAAATTAATCAGGTCAACCAACACCGATCACAAAGTTCAATGTGACTCTCTCTCTCTATATATATTCTTTCTCCGAATACATGACTTGCGAGTAGTTGAAGAGTTGATTAAATATCAGGTTAACTTGTATCCAAGGATCGAGTGACGCGCCAATCGAACTTTTGGCCTCGATTCTACCCGCTCACATGCCCCGCCTTCCGCCTTCCATCTGCCGCAGCTTGTTTCAACCTCGCAATTGGTTCAGAACCGGTCATTAACAACATGCAATTGGGGTTGTCAGAGAGTCTTCCGGCCGTCGTATCCAAGCGCTTCACGGCTGCTAAAGGATCAGGTCACCTTCTATTTTCTCAAACACACCTGACCACTATTCAGACTGCAGGGATACCGGTACTCTCTTCTCTTTGAATCTTGCCCAAGTCCAATGCTAACTATAACTCTCTACTCTATCTTAGTATCAACTTCGGTATTGTCCTGCTCTTGCAAATAAGCCATCAGGGGCTCCAAACACTGACAAGTCCACTACGAAGCCTAAATTCGACCCTTTCCAAGACCCCTCCCCAGAGCTCTTGATCGCTCAGATACCCCGCGAGAACCCCACCCATATACTAGTCCTCAACAAATTTCCCGTAATTCCCAATCATTTCATCCTAGCTACAAAAGAATGGAGACTTCAAACAGACATTCTTGAGAAAGAGGACTTGGATGCGGCTTATTCCTGCGTCAAAGCATGGGGCGAGGAGAGCAAGGCAAATGGCGCGGTCTCTAAACGGCTGTTCGCCTTTTTCAACTCCGGAAATGAGAGCGGAGCGAGTCAGCCTCATAGGCATTTACAGTTCTTGCCTGTCGAAGCCATGTCTCAAAGTGACTCGGGGAGCTGGCAGCCCTTGATCGATGCAGTCTCAACGCAACCAACATCCCCCGACTCTAAATACTTGCGATGGGCTCAGGTACCGTTTGCGCATTTTGCCCTTCCGTTGCCTCCGGACCCCTCTCCCGACACGCTGCATCACATTTACTTGTCCCTGTACAGAGCAGCGTTGGCAGCTGCACAGGGAAGCACGGGAGGTTCTTCCCCGACGACCAATGGTCCAGCTGCTATCAGTTACAATCTAGCAATGACTGATTCAGTGATGATGATCTGTCCGAGGAGAAGTGAAAGTGCTCAAATCCCAGTCGACAGTACAACGTCAGCGGAAGTCTCCGGGGCTGGTATCGTTGCCTTAAATGGTACAATTCTTGCTGGTACGCTCATGGTAAAAGCTGAGGCTGAATGGGACGAACTACGTCGTAACCCGGATTCCCTTAAAGAGGTACTGACGACAATTGGGTATCCTCATCCAGATCTGCGCAAGATCTCCTTACTATGAATTTTGTCTCACAATCGTCCTCATGACGCTCCTTCTTAACTAGGGGTGCTTTGGGACGGGGAACGTTAATGCGAAGCCTTACAATGAGAAGAAACAGTAAAGACCTGAAGTCAATGTCCCACAGCGAGTTAAGCAGTTGAAATATACTATTAGAAGAGAAAGGACGAAGACAAACAAAAAATGTGGGGATCATAGAAAAACGCATAAAAAAAAAAAAAAAAAAAAAAAGGAAAAAAAAAAAAAAAAAAAAAAAAAAAAAAAAAAAGGGCAGGGTAAAAGCTAGCCAAAACAGCCCATACAAGACAGGCACTGCTACTAAGCTCCTCGTATCAAAGTAAAAATGGACACTCCACGTGAGAAAGAGATGGCAAGCAAAGGGCAACAGTAATCCTAGGCTCGTCATGTGGATATAGTCAAACGCTATCAGAAAAGACCGTTTGTACTTCCTTCATCTATACATGTATTGAAGGACTTTCTGGGCATTACATGCCGGAGATTAATTCCAGAGCTTCACACCGTGTATCTCGCACCACTTCTTCTTGCAAGTGGCATTTCCAAAGTGATATGAGCCGCCATGTGTCCAAATATATTGGGCTACTCTCTTCCAGGACACCTTGGGCGGCTGACTGGTGGTAGGAGGTCGACAGCTAGACCCATTATCACTACGGGATTGCTTGTCGTCTTCTATGCAGGCCTTCACTGCTTGGCATAGAAGGCTTATCTATAGGTTCGTCAGTATAAGTAATAGTCCCTGCCATGGGCGTCTATTGAGAGATACTAACATCTTTCTCTTGCCACTGAGGTTTCCTCACTCGCTGTGCTTTTGATTTCGTCAGCGTCCGAAATCTTCCTCGAAGTGTTGATTCGGCTTCTTTGAAGCCACCAATTCTCTTAATGTCCTTGTAAGAGAGCCCGCGTCGCTTACATTCCACCAGGAACGCGTCTCTGCCGTCGCTGTGACAAGCGATTTGCTTACTAGCTCCCTGGCCTCGGAGAAAGCATCCCTTGTTGGTTGTGAAGGTTGGCTGCACCAAGTGGTGTATACAGGGGCTATCATGGTAGGGCTGGGCTGTTCTGTATTGTGAATCGTCTGAAAATCGTTCGTTGATAAGGGGAAAACTAGCGTGCCCGAGTCTGCTTTGACAGCGGGTCACAGTTGACTGTGCATAATATTGACAGGCGTTAACCTGCAGCGGCGAACTTTGAAGATTGTTGTTGGCAGTGGCATCATGATCGAAGTCCTCTGTCACCTGGTCATCAAGCCCATTCATGCTCAGTTTACATGGAATCTCGACCCAGAGAGCATCACCGCGGCTATTACTTTGTTGTTGCACATTGCAGGCTGCTCGAACTCCGGCAGTAGACCACGGGGGCGGCGTAGAAGGCCCGCTAACTGAAGTTGAGCAGTTGATAATAGGCAAAGAGGTTTTTTCTGATGACGTTCGGAGAAGCTCGGATGACTCGACTCCACTGATTGCCCATTCTTGGGTTTGAGCTCTATTGCCAGTGAGCCAAGATTCACGTGAATTATCAGGCGTACTGAAGGGTGATGTTGCCACAGATTCAGGTTCAAGGCCGGAAAATGATGAGAAGCTGCTGCCAGTCATGCATAAGATGGGCACCCGGGGAATGGGATGAGCTACACCAAGTATGACATCATCAGTCTCGATGTTTTCTCCGACTGTTCTCTCTTGATTGCCGGCATGCGCAGCGTATTGTGCGTACTGGCCATGAGTCTGAGGTATGGATATCTCGCGAACGCTTTGTATGAACGGACCCTGAATTTGTGCGGATGACTGGACCTGACAACCATAAAATTGCACCTTACTTTCCTCGAAATATGGTGACGTAAGAGCTTCAGGCCAGCCGTCAAGACCATTGCTCATAGCCTCGTGGGTCATCGAAGTTTTGTTTGCCATGTCGTCAGGGTCCGTTGCATGGCTGCCATTAGGTTCTAGCCAGCGGTGCATTTGGGATTTTTCACTCTCGGTGGCTTCTTTAGAATACAATATTGATTCATTTTGCGGGGCGCAGAGACTAGTTGACAAGACTCCCCCGTAATCATTAATGAGGGAATGGCCTGGAGCCAAATTAGGGAAAACGAGCTCTCTGTCGAAGGCTAGTCTTGGTTTTTGCTTACCCGGATCAAGGTGGACCATCGTCATAAAATAAGACAGATAACTATCGCTGTCAGCCACTTCATCGCTTGTCATTCATGCTTCAAAATGGCGCTGACCGGAGAACATACAGGAGACGCTGTTGCTGAGCGATGCACGTTGCTAGTATAATTGACGCCTGCAGCGATCATTTAGCGCATTTAGCTTTCGGGGAAATATGGCGTGGGTTCGATTGGTTTTCACAATCGACAAACATACTCCAACTGCCCTGGGCGAGTTTTCTGGGCCTCAGCACAAGGCCCACTTGAAGCTGACTGTGGTGTCTTAACCACTGACAAGTTCTAAACGACAAGACTTGCTCTGGAACCTAAGGCTCGGGAACTCAGAGATATGGAACAAAACAAAGCAAAAACGAGTCCGGCTCGGAAGCGAAAACTAAACCGATTTGTCGTATGGTGATATCTGTAGGCTGGACATAAGACCTTTCTGCTCCTATAGGCCACGGGGCTGAGATTCCAAGTGGGCGCCGTGATGTCTCAGACTCTTCCACGCAGGAGAAATTTCCTCTTACTGGTGAAGTAACCCGACTGGTTGAAAGCACTCTTGGGACACTTTGCCCAAAGTTATGTCCCACCCAAACCTTGACTCGAGGAGCAATTGGTTGTCAACGTTCTTCAGACAAGAAAAAGGCGATGCCCAAGAAAAACCTGGGAAACAAGTCACCGAGATCAGCTGTCTCTTTTAGTAAGATAGCTATCTTCAAACCCCTGGAATGGCTGACAAGCTTCATCAAGCCTCCATCTATCCCCTGTCCTGGTGTGAAAACAGCCCTTTCTCTCCTTAGATATATTGCCTCCCGTTCTTGGGCTAGACAATGACGGCCGATGGCCTATAGTTTATCTAGCGCCGGAAAATAAGCATGGGTGCTGCCAATCGTGAAGGGAAGAACTAAGTTTACAACGGTCACCCTGCAATCCTTTACTAGGTGATCAATTGATGAGTCTCAATCTCGACCTCGCGGGTAGCCAATCGGTCCAAAAGAGAAACCATTTGTGGCGTAAGAGGCGATATGTGAGGCAAAAAGAGCATCGGGAACTAATGCAGAGAGGACAAAAGAAGGTTTCGTGGCACTCTGCCTATCGGTTGGATCAGTTTTTACGGGCAATGTGCAAAGGCATGTCGGATACCCACATAAGGCTTTGTTCATATCAACTTCCCTATGCCACCTTCAGAGATGACCGCATATTGCCAGCCATGGGGCTTGGAACCCGAAACATCTATTGAGCTCAAAGAAGTGATCGGAAAGAACAACGGTGGTGCCGTTGGGTCTATAGAAGTGACGTTTGCTCCACCCTTTTGAGCATGTCTCTAGACTTCTCAGGCCAGATCTTTCCCCTCCTTTTCTCTTTCTTTCTTCTCGGAGTGTGGCTCTACTATTGATAGTGTATGTACCAGTCATGGGTAATGTGCATATGCAGGTCACTTCAGCTCCATCCACAAGAGATGGAACTATGGCTAGACATGGCGAAGAAGGGATTCTAGCGCAGAAGTACCACCCTCAGGTACGTTTAGGTTACTCCCGCATGTACAAATTTCTTAACTTCTTTGAACCATTGCCTCTAGTTTTCATGACCTGCCATCATGCAAACCAACTAGTTTGTTCAAGTCCTCGAAATGGAACAATAGCAGCTCCCTACTACACCATTCTTTCACTCGGATTGATTTTTGCTAAAACTTGTTACATCCTCACATGAACTGCTAAAATACCTTAAACCACATCTTCCCAGATAAACTAGGAAAAGGGTACACAAAAAAAGCATTCAACGAAAAGAGAAGCAGGAAGAGAAAATACCATGATAGAGACAGAGACAGAGAGGCCCAGAACTTCTCTGCCCCCATGATTGTATTTCCCTACCCTAGGACCCCTTGTACTTGTCCCAGGCACACACACCATCCACTTATCATTATCTGTACGTGTAGTTTATGCAGTGCAGCCTCATCACCCTGCGTACCATCCCCGAACCCTCTCACACACCCCATGCAACATCGCCTTCGAATCCCATCCCCAAAAAAAGAAACATGTTAAAAGTACCTCTTTCTCCAGGAAATAGCCGGGTAAAACCCCCGGAAGAGAAGAAATATTAAACACAGATCGGGTTCCTAAGCGTTTGGTTCCGGAAGCTGAGATACAAACCGGAAAGAACGGGCCGCGGAAGTGTACCAGCAATCAGAGACATCGATAAGCTCGATCTCCCACGATCATAGAAAGAGAGGAATTCAAATGAAAAAAAATAGTAAAGAATAAATAGTAAATAATGTAGAAAGAGATCTTAATATTCTATTATAATATGCAATGGCAAAGTACTATTCTCTTTCGTTCTTTCTTCTCTTAGGTATTAATAGGTAGATTATTCAGGGGAATAAATAAAAATGAACGGAGGGAGGTGCCAAAACTAACCCTAATCGAACCACGGCATTGCACTACACACCTCATATCCTAACAACGGTGTTACATCGTGAAAAACATCCCGACCAGATTTAATCTCCCAATGGATTTCCTTTGTGAGTACGACTGGGGTCAAGGGACGTTGGTGTGCTACCAGGAAAAGGAACAAACTACTACCATGTGTGGCGCTAATTTTCCATCCCGAGTTGTGGTGGCATCTATAGGACACACTGTACTACAGGACATCAGTCCCTCCTTGCATCCGCTGCAGGTGATGAGAGATTTGATGAAAATCTGTCCTGGGCCCGTGCCTATGATCGGTTCCCATGAGTGCTGGGACTCTCGAGGTAGTCTGGGACAGAATCATATAACCGTCTAAAAGGTGCACTCCGAAGGGAAAGGGTAAGAGAAAGAAAGTAACATATGAACATAACTATCCACGCAAAAATAGAGGTGGCAAAGTATACCATTGGACTCGTTGATTCAGCTTCTTTGCTTCTCTATGGGACGAAGGATACCCTAATGCAGGATCTCATGTGACACACTTGAAGTTGGGCGTTTCGTTTCCGTGTAGATCTCCATGGCTGATTATTCGACGCATTCGTAAATAAAGCTATGGTAGGAAGGGATCCGTGAGATGCTCGGGACTAGGAGCTATCGGAATGACTACGCTTTCCTGCATCTTCCAGATTCATATTGGTCTCATGGTGGCTCTCATAGAGGTCCAAGACTCGGTCAACGCCGAACACTGCGACAATTAGAACAGAAAAAAACAACGGAGGCTAGTCGAAGATGAACGGCCCACCTGTCAAAAGAGCAAATGTGAATGCGTATAGTATCGCGGGAGATGTCATGAAATCGTACGCAAGCGCAAATTTCCCAACGAAAGACACTAGGCTTGCCAAGATCACCCCGAGGATGATGCGGGTCGTTATTCTAATACTAATGTAGAAGTTGTGGCGACGAGCCAATACTGCGAAGGCGGCAAAAAGAAACATCACCAGTGATGCAACGATGAAAAAATATATGTAGACAAACCCGAGTAGCTCCATGTACATTCTCAGCAACTGCGAGCTAGTCAACTGCCCTATGTTTGTCTCCTCCGAAGGTATGATTCCCATACTAGAAAACAGAGCGGCAGTAACATTACCCACAAGGTCATTGAGGCGATCATTCGTGATGAAGAAACCAATCACCTTCGCTCCCGGGCACAAGGGGTGATTGGGCAAATCTTCCAAGATTGCGTCGATGGCCATCTTTTCTTTTATTGCGCCGCGGCTGTAATTAATCTCCATGTCCTCAATGGTATTCCGAAGAAGACCAATGGCTATTCCGGGTCTGGGCCGTGGTTCCTCGCAAGCAAACATGATAGTTTCCTCGAGGTACGTGAGCTTCAAGGTAATGTCTAGGGTCAAGGCAAGAATCTGTGATCCTTCAAGAAGGAGAACTAGGGCCACATGAAAGGGAAAATGGAGCTGGGCCCATAGCTGCTGGGAATATTTGCCAAGCATGCCCCTAGGTGAGAGATCGTAATACGCTTGCCACAGAAAGTACTACTCCTGAGGCGTTAGCAACCCCTAAAGGGACGATAGATCGAATCTCTGAGACCCCATACCACATTAGTAGTGACTCCTAGAATGTGAACAAACGACCACTTTGTCCAGCCCCCCGGCCGCACGGTCCTATTCACAATTCTGGTGACTGATATGACCCCTTCGCCAATAATGATTAGCGTAAGGAGACCCATTCTTACGTTCAAGTGGGTATCTTGGAGTCCAATTCCGGGTGTCACACAAGAGACTCCCATTATAACCCACATCTCTAGTCCGAACAAAGCAAACCAAACGGTCCATATATAGGAACGGATCCCATCCTGCACCCCGAAGATATAAAACATCTATGCAACAGGTCAGACTATCCATGTGGCTTCAATAGTAGTCACGATTCGTCTGTGCGGTAGGCATACCCCTAGATAGATTAAGCTTGAGACAAACAGCGTCGCGGCGATAATGGAGACCCCTTTGGCAGCAGGCTTCATTCGTTTACGAAGGAAGACGACGTTGTTGACCGTATATTGTAAAGCTAGTAAGATTCGGCTCCCGCCGAGAAAGAGGCTCAGTGATTGAAAGGCCCAGACATTCTCGTCTCTAACACGGGTGGTAAATCGCGTGCCTGCAGATGCAAAACCGACCATAGCTGCTAGCTGTATAGCCTTGCAGGTTCGTTCGAAAACCGAGTCCCTGGCGAATCTTATATCGAATAGAGTAACCTGAAGCCAGGTGAACCAAATCACCCCAAGAAAGCCTATGTATGCCCCTAAAGCTTCTACATTGTGAATTTCATGCGTAGCAGTAAAAGTAGAGAGATTCGCCACGAAAAACAAGTCAAAGAACAGTTCAATCGGAGTAGCATCGAAATGCCTGTGGAGGCGTGTTCCATGGTTCCCATCAATAGGGGTTTCAATGAACGGTATGGATTCTCGCCGGCTGTAGTTTGTCATGAGCCAGGCATACATATCAGTAAGCTCCTAAATCTGACTCACTGTGCAGTCCCATCAGTATGCGAAGTCCTACGTAGCGGCTGAAAATAGAAGAAAGGCATTCGCATCATCGCCAGGTGGATTTAGATAGAACAATTAAGAGCTAGTCGATTGGTAGGTGAAATCTAAGTGTTGGGTATCATAAATAGGTCTTAAGCCAAACTGGGTGTCATTTCAGGCAATCTTTTCGATACGCCGGAAAGAACGACGGGTGATGTCCTAAGATGTTGGTAAGCGATCCAGAAAGGTAGGTGCGTGTATGCCTGAGCGGATGTATCACGTCTCGTCCTCGGAGTTTCTTGTTGATACTGCCATGGAATTGCCGATGCTCTCTAATCCTCGCTCGGCGGCTGTATCCTCGTCCGAGCCAGGAGTGCGCCCAGCTTCCTGTTTGAGTTTCTCGTAGTTATCCCCAGCTTCTTTGATTAAAGCCTGGATCTCTACTTCTCGCACAGCTATATCGGCCTTTTCCTTTCTTAGTTCTTCCATTCTATCGATCATCTGGGTTTTCGACTTTTCTATGACGGCCAAGGTTGTGCGTAGACGGTCAAGACAGGTTGATAGGCGTGGAAGGGAGGTCATTTTGGGAGGAGTCTTTGGTCGATCTGTATAGTCCTTGCCGCTGTGGCCCATGGCAGCCCTTGTTTGGGCGGCTTCGTAAGCCGCTTTTTCCTCTAAATCCGAGTCGTCTTCGTCCGAGATACCTTCGGCATCTTCAATGAGCCCTCGCATTTCTTCGCGCTGCTTTTTGACCCTCTCACGCTCAGCTTTTCTCCCCAAAGTTATGTGGCCATCCTCCACAAACTCGTCGAAGCCCTCTGCGAAATCCTCATCGTCCCGAATCAACCGAGTGTCCCTTAGATCCTCTTTTTCATTTCTTGAGTCCCATTCTTCATCCTCCATAGTATCATCCAACGAGATAAAGTCCTTCTCTGTTGAGATGCCATGCTGCTGCTCTTTGGCCAAGCGCGCTCTTCTTTCTTTTTTCTCTCTAATTTCCGCTTCGCTAGGAATGGCGGCCGGTGCTGTGACTTTCATAACTTCGCCGAACTTTGCTGCAACATCGATAGTCTTCTCTTTATCGTCATCGGTGGCATTCTTTGGCGTTGAAGGTGTTGAATTCCGAAGCTCCTTCAAATATTCATTGCTATAGCTTGGCCGATCTTGTTCTGGGCCAACCCTGAGTGGAAGCTGGCCACCTGATCCCGATGGCGTGAGCGACCTCTGCAAGACATTATTTTCCAGTGCTCGCCTCCCAAGTCCTTGCCGTTTCGGTATTACCACTTCACTTTCCTGTTCGCCATCTTCGGCCATTGAAGTTTCTCCGGGGCCAAACGACAGGCGCGTTTTGGATTTTTGCTTCGTTTTAGAGGAAACAGGGCGCTTAACAACCGGCCCGATATCTACTGTTTGTTAGTTACTTATTCTAGTGAAGTGCTCTTTGGTTCATGTTGCGCAGAAACTATTCACCTTGTTCGCCGTCATCTTCCTCGTCGTCCCCGCCAATCTTACGGGGCTTTCTGCGGTTTGCAAACTTGGAACTCATTATTTAAGAATATTTTATCAGCTGCCTTTTGATCTTTCTGGGAGATATATTGCTTATCGCAGGGAGGTATGCGTTGTTTTCAACAAGTTGCGTCAACCTGAGCTCTGCGCATCTTTGGAAGCTTCCGGGAAGAACATTTCTCCGGCACAGCTTTAATCCCACTGCTTGTCTCAAAGTTCCGCCGCGCGACTGACCTCGACATTACGGCGGGATATTCACCAGAACTAATTAGCCAAGATGCCTCAAGCTCAGCCCGAGTTGAAGAAGGTATACCTTGCGACTCACATTCCCTTGTTGTTTTGGACAAAAAATGAGCTGACGGAGTTGTTTGACTAGTACATGGAAAAGCGGGTATTTTGCCAACTGAACGGCAACCGCAAAGTCATTGGTATCCTGAGAGGTTACGATGTACGTTGAGGCCATCCGGATTCTCCTATTGCTGCGAACCCTTTCCTATCCGACCCCGAAAGCGAAAGCGTTGATTAGTGGAGTCACATAGAGCGGGATCTGACGGTCATATGATACAGGTATTCATGAACATCGTGCTCGACGAGGCTTTCGAAGAGAAGCAGGGTGGGGAGAAGGTCGCGATTGGCATGGTGGTATGTTGAGATACTCATTACGGCGGGAGTTCGTAACTAATCATCCTGTGCAGGTCATTCGCGGTAACTCAGTCGTCATGCTCGAGGTTAGTATATCTGCTGCTGCATACTCGCCGTCTTGAATATGGCTAACGAGCAATTACCACGCAGGCTCTGGAACGTATAAGCGACAAATAAGGAGAACGCTGGACATCACCTTCATCATGGGATTAATTTTATGCAATACGGAGTTTACGGGTCGGTTGCTCTCTTTGGAACGATCGAAGGCACTTCGATTTCATCTCAAGCATGTTTACGATCAAATTGCAGTTTCAAAATTTGAAGGATCAAATTCAGGGGTTCCCTTGGTATACCATATCGAGAGACATAATCTTTGACGACACAGCCTGATGATTGCTATGCAAGACATCATTCATAACATGGCTCGAGAATACCGCATCAAATGGGCATGAAACCGGCAAACCAGACGCGCATTTGAGAAAGAAAACCGGAACAGGGGAATAGAAGGAGAAATCTTAGAAAATAAAATCGAGAAACGATATTCATTCCACCCTCGCGCCATAAGCCTCCTTTACCAGCCTCCCTCCAAAATAGAGGAATAAGGAAAAAACAATAGTATAAGGTACATGAATGAAGAATGATAAAAAAAAAGAAACACATTAGTTTATTTTGGCTTCTGGCCAAATTTTAATTTTAGTTTGAACCCTCCACCCCCAGGAGTAGATGGGGTGGTTGGAGTGGCGGGTGTCCTGGATGGCGCTTGAGGTACGGGGGAGGATCGATTCGGGATGTGCAGCTTGGTAATTGGCTGCGGACGTGGACTTGGGTTTGCTGACGGGGTACTTGGGCCAAGCTTTGACTGCTTGAATGTGATGCGAGGAGCAGGGGGTGGCATACCCGGTTCTTCTCGTTTGCGCTTCGCAGGATTTGCGTCCTTTGATGGAAGTGAGGTGCGGAATTTGCTCGAGCGAGTGAAATGCAGACGTCCCTAGAAGATACATTAGCGCTGTTGTAAGACGATCCGGACATGATGCAGTAAAACTCACCTTCCCGAGATGCTTCACTTGCCAATACCGCGGATATTTCAATGCAACCTTCACACTAGTGGTCGGGTCATACAAGATGCGGCAGAGATCAGTAAACTCGGAAAGTTCCAGAATCCCAATACAGGGAGAGTTGCACGCAGCCCATAATGACTCTTTAAGGAGCTGGTCGCCTTTGAGTTCACCTTTAAGTGCCTCTATAGCTCCAGGCACTGTCTGTCTTCGCGCAAGGTCTGCCTGGCGGACCTCGGTGGAAGATTCTTGTTCAATGATTAAACCATCACCGGAAGCCGCGGCCTTATTGCTTGATTCGCGACCAAAAGCCACAGGAGCAAGCGCTTTGCCAAATAGGTAATGAAGCCGCCGTCGAAGCCAAGAAGAAGAGTCGCTTGACATGGTAAAAATGACCCATCTTAAAAGTTCAGGGCTCTGGAAAATATCCGTCTCTACGAGACATTCAAACGCCTCCAAGCGAAGGAGGTCATAAGTGCCGGCCCGGGTATAAGGCAGAAACTGCATTATGTCCAACTCCGTTATTTTGGCTTGCATGAGCTGTATCTGACAGCGTAGCGTAGTACGAGAATAGATGTTCTGGTACGAGCTGGACCATTCATCCATTCTTCGATATCTATCAATCTCGGCAATGGCGTCTTTCTCCAATTTCTCTTCGGCCTGAGACTCAAGTACCCCCTCCATGTCGAAATCGTCCAGATCATGGGAGCGAGACTCAACCTTGCCTAGCATCGCGTGACAAAGGGACCGCATAAGTGTCGCGACATAATAGTTATCCGAATACTATACATGACATGAGCTCAGAACTAGGGCCAAGATGATGTGCTTTAACCCACCTCGTTGTTGGAATTATCATTAAACCGCAGCTTGTCATAAAGAAAACGCTTCACGCGCATCGGTGTTTTCCCATTGTTGTCTCTTACTTTCGAGATAGCTTCTGGGATAACCAATTGAAGCACATAAGCAGCCCTATCGGAGAAGTCATTTGAGCGGGTCATGGGCGATCCTGGAAGACAGAATAATTCCTGGAAAGCTCGTTCCAGGTGGAATAGCCCCAGCCAATTGATGTCTTCCTTGGCATGTTTAACCAAGGCCTTTGCTGCAGCTACACGGATTCCGTAAAAGTACCTTCGGTCCATTAGGGTTCGGACAAAAATCGTGGAAATCAACGGGTGTTCTCTTTGGGCCGCCATATATTGTAGAGACTGGCATGTTGTCAGCATAAAGCTCTAAAGGGAGACGACCATTCAACTAACCTCCAATTGGGCTATCACATCTCGATCTTGTTGGAGCTGCGAAAGGTACATATAACCTGGCATAACCAAGGAAAGCTTGCAAACCCACTCGAAATCTGCATCCATGCGAATCCATTCGTAAGACTCTTGGCCCATTCGCTCCTCGTCTTCCTTGCTCCAATCAGCCAGCTTCCACTCTTGAATTTCTTCTTCACTCTGGAGTACATCACCCAAACAATAAAGCAGGACATCTTCTTGTGCTTCTGCATTAGGATCACCCCCCGAAGCAGCAGCGGCCCGTTCTTTCTGCCTTTTGTTCCGCTTCAAACGCTTGTATTTTGTGTTATAAGGGATATCGAATTTAGTGACGCCTTCTTTAATCTCGACAATATGTTCATAAGGTGTACCATCAGCTTCGTGGATTCTAATCGTCATGGAGCCAGTAAAAACCGGCTGAACAACCCCGGCATAGATACCCCGAATTTCCTCCTTAACGTCACGCATGAAGGAATTCTTGTCCAGGTCACGTGTGCTTGGCTGTTCTGATTGCACTTGTTTTATCATCATTTCCACTACGAGCTTCTTTTTGTTGAACCTCTGTGTAGCCTGAAAGCGAGGACACCCAGCACCAAAGACCCATTGTTGAAAGAATGAGTCCAGTTTTGCGTGGCCCAGTCGCTCACAGGTCTTCTGGAAAAGCATGGTGGATACCGCCCCGTTCGGGATATCGCCCATTCGAGCATTGAGAAAAAGCCGAGAGATGATGCGGGACATTGTGGCCTTTCCACTAGCTTTCGTAAGCCTTCGGTCGAGGATGAAAAGCACAAGAGGGGCCTTGAGTGCTATGAAATCAATCTCAGACGAGTCAAGCTGGAGTATATTTCCCATGTCAAATATCGAGGGACGCTCATAGTCCAAGTCGCATACTCTATCAGACATCTGTTTTAGTCGAAAGCGATATTCATTATTTCCACAGAGTTTCCTCATGAACGTATCTGTGATAAACCACGCGACGCCTACTGTGACCCAAGTGTCAGTTGGCGCCTTTGGAACGATGTTAACACCGATCCACTGAGACGCAAGGCCATAAACGAGAGCACGTGTCGCGTCGTACATCGGATCGATAATATCTTCCGGAAACAGGAGATGACTGCTGCATATTGACAAGCACGCTGTCGACAAAGTATCCTCGGGCGCGTCATCTACGAAGCACATTTTGTAACTTGAGAATGGATACGACCCATATGATAGGGAAAAGAAGTCGATCGCCTTCGCCATTGGAAAGCAAGTGTTCCTGAGTTCATCGCCTCGCCCGGGAAGGCAAAAAGCATGCAGAGGGATGGCATTCTGGCCAAGCTGCTCATCTTGGTCGCTTTCCCGGAAATGTGCAAGGTTGACATACTCAAATGGGCCAACAGCAAATCCAACTTGCTGGGCAGAGAGCGGTGAGGTACATGCAAAGGATACTGTCTTTTTGCTGTTGTCTTTCGGATCAATAATCTCATCCGTCATATCTCCAGAACAAACCACCAGGAGGTCCAAGGCTTCATCATCCGGAGATATGTATCGACCAAGATTTGACGTCGGTTTAGGGCGTCCAGAAGCATTGGAGCCAGCTGGATCGCGGATTTTGCGGTCAAACACATCCCCTAACGAACAGGGGCATTTGATAGACAGCTCCCAGGTGCAACGTGACGAAGGGTCATCAACGCAAGGGAAAAGAGGGCAGCCGGCCCCATATCCAAGCGAGTTTGTTGTAAAGGCATGCGGGTAACGTCTGTCCCCATTCTCGACTCCCACGAACTGTAACCCATCCTTTATGCTGTCAATAGTAAATTCGATGTTGACCGTCAGTGCTGTAAACCGAGGAAGCGTAGTATCTGGCGCTTTGGAGCTCAAAGGGCCTTCAGAATCGTCGGCAGCACCAGTTGCACGGAGAGCCATTTGATCTTGGGCCTCAACTGAGAAAGGGTCAAGTTCTTCAATCCTAACGCTTTTTGGGACCGACACAAGTAGGTCGGGCTCTGGCGGGGACTTAAGCAAGCCATCTATTTTCGAGGTAAGTCGTTGATGATAATGAGGACCGTACAGTTGCAGCGACTCGTAAGGGTCCGCATATTTCATCGATGGTATCTTTCCGCAGACATTCAAGCGCCTAATCTCGCCCTGTCGGAAATTTAATCGAATAACACGGAGCTCCTTGTAATGTGGATGGATCGTAATTTCGGTTTTCCCCTTGAGGCTCTTATTTGCAAAGTCTAGCTCCAGCTCAACCTTCTGGTGCGCAACCGTATAGCCCAGTCCCTGCCAGGCAGGGCCTGCAGGGGCATCAACGACGCCAGGCATTGCGCAGAGTACTCAGTCGTGCACTGCGCCGCGAGCGCTTCCTTGATCCTCTACCGTCATGTCCAAGCTCAAGGAGCAACTCTATAACCTCTGGATAGGGCCTTCAGTCGATACTGAGATGAAGAGTAATATGAATCGTTGATGCGAAGAGGATCGTGTGCGGTAGTTGAAGCTTCAGCAGCGGGGAACAACAGCCTGGATTGATTGATAAATGAGAGTTATTCAAAAGACAGCTGAAGAAAAAGAAGTTTATTCAGAAGTCATGGCACCTAGAAATAGAAAGGAGCCTTTCTATTACGAAACAACAATGAGCACGAAACGCAAGAAGAAAAAGCCACAGAGCTCTTCATCAACCTCCAACTTTCACTCTGTTTCTCATGTCGCGTTGTTGCGTCGAAAGCTGCGGAGCTCACAGACCAGCCCGCCCAGCACGTGATAAATTGTGATCCGCGGATGGAACGTCCGCCGATCCTCTTGGGTCCCTTTTCGTTCCACTCTTTTTTCCTCAGGGGATTTTAAGGATCAACTTCCCTTCGCTTGTCTTCTGCGGATTGTACTTGTACGTGTTTGCCATACAGCACGGCAGCTTTTGGTTCAATTGCTCATTCATCCATTATCGTTGTATTTCCTACTTCATAGCGCGATGAACTAAACCCAATCGTACGATACAATTTGTTGAAGTGCTGATATACCATTCCATTGGCGGGATTTTAAAGGACAATGAACGCAATTTTTGAGAGGATCCAAGGTTCGTCCCTTGGTTCTATGTTGGGCATGAAGTCTTCTTTGGGCTGATTACTTATGCTGTACTTAGCGATCCAAGACTCGCTCTCCGATGAAGCTTTGGCGCCGCTCAAAAGCTACAAGTACCAGAGTGTGGATAAGTCCTTTATCTCTAGATATGTCTTAAAACACTACGTATGATATCCTTTACCTTGTACGATACTCGCTGCGCGACTCCCGTCTAACAATGGCCTTTGCACTTTAGTGGAATGCGTTCGTCGAACTTTTACCGATGTGGATAGCTCCGAACATGGTAACCCTCTTGGGTTTTATGTTCATTGTCGGGAATGTGATGCTCATAGAGATGTTGATGCCTGATCTTATAGGGCCTGTAAGCAAACCATTGACCCACAGACCAATTCCTCGCCCAGCACTAAGTCTTGCCAACTACAGGGCCCCTCTTGGCTATACTACAGTTTTGCTTTTGGCATGTGGATGTAAGCATTAAGATTCGATATCATTTGACCGGTCTTATCTCACATACCGAAGGTACTCCACACTGGATAATGTTGACGGCAAACAAGCTCGGAGAACGGGAACGTCTAGTGGGTTGGGGGAGCTGTTTGAGTGAGTGAACATTTTCGGAATAACATGAGTAGTTGCTAACATATGATAGTCACGGAATCGACTCGTTGAATTGCACGCTTGCTAGCCTACTAGAGACTGCCGCGTTGGGCTTTGGCTCCACGAATCTAGGCGCCTGGACAGCTCTTGTTCCATGCCTCGCAATGTATTTCTCCACCTGGGAGACCTATCATACACATACTCTTTACCTCGGCTACTTCAATGGCCCTACTGAGGGTCTTCTGATCGCAATTGGCTTGATGGTGGCATCCGGCTGGTATGGGCCTGAGATATGGTCTCGGCCGATAGTCGAGTTCTTGAATATCCCCCAGATCTTTGGAAACAACTCCGTGAAGGACCTTTGGATTCCCCTCCTTCTCTCATCATTCTTCTTGGGTCATTTGCCTGGTTGTGTTTACAATGTCATTTCTTCGAGGAGAAAACAGAATCTCCCCATATCCCCTATCTTCAAGGAGTGGGTGCCAATGATCATCTTCACTGGATGCAATATGGCTTGGCTTTTCTCTCCTTATTCGAGAATATTGGCTGATAACCGCTTGGTGCTGTACTGTTGGACAATCTCATTCGTCTTTGGACGGATGACTACAAAGATCATTCTTGCGCATCTTCTGAGACAGCCATTCCCCCATTGGACCATCTTGCAAACCCCTCTGGTTGGCGGCGCCATTTTAGTGAACTTGCCTTGGATTGGTCTTCCCGGGATGAGCGCGTGGGTAGAGCTCCTGTACCTGCGACTTTATCTCCTCTTTGCCTTTGTCATCTATATGTACTGGGCATTCTTGGTCATCAACCGGATCACAACCTTCTTGGGTATCAATTGTTTGACGATTCGGCGCGACAAGTCGACAGCCCGAGAGCAGGCTTACCGTGACATTGGTGAGAGAAATTTCGAGGATGCCAATACTGGTGGTGACACTAACGCGGGGCGCTATAAAAGTCATTGAATAGTTTCTTTAACACAACCTGGTTACGTTGGCCATGGCTGACCAGACAGCTGTTTCTCTCAAGTCCGTTCTGATCAGCACGCTCTCAGGCATTTTCTTCCGACGGTCAATCGTGACAAGAATTTCCCGACTCGGCCTATGGATTGAGGCGGATCCGATGTATTCTCGAGAGGCCTACGTCTCGCAACATCAAGAGCCAATGTCCCGGCTACTGTAGCCTGACTTGGTCTAGCTTGTCTTCTCAACTATATATACTTTCTGTAATTACGTTTCTAATGGCCTCTATGGATACGCCACTGGCGCAACTTATGAACTTACGACTTCTGTGGGTGGCTCACGCAAGAGTGATTGTGAAGACAGGTTATGGATGCAAAGCTTCTACTGGTATATAGTTAGATAGTGTAATATTAATGTCCATAGACTTGTGGCTTGTATGCAATTTTTCCGATGACCATAAGACGTGTAGGGTTACTAGTATTGGAGTCACTTGCGACCTGTTAAGCGTTTGTGTCAAAGGCGGGCTATCCTGGTTATTCCTTATAAAGCCTAAAATGAATGCTTTATACAATAGCGGGTCGCGTAACTCAGTCGGTTAGAGTGCTGAGCTAATAACTCAGAAGTCGAGAGTTCGAGCCTCTCCGTGACCAGCCTTTCCTTTTTGTCTTTTTGTTTATCCCCTTCCATCCTCCACTTCCCCTCCTATCGGCCTCCTTCACTTCCCTTCTTTTTTTTTTTCCCTTTTTTCTTTTCCGCTCTAATTATTAAAAAAAAAAAAAAAACCTTTCAAAAAAATAAAAAGCGTTTAAAGTAGTCTATTCCAAGAAGTCAAAATAGAAATTGATGAAGTTGTTGAAGTAGTGTGGGCGAGCTCCCACTCCATATCTACTCGTAATCGGTATGCTATCTCCACTTCACATTCGATGTCCCTTGCTGGTGGCCTTCTGTAGCTTCTCCGATAGGCCAGATAAGTGGAGACGGTACCTACGGGTAGTACTCTGTACTACTAGTAGTAGTATGATGTCTAATTACCATCAGCATTACTAGCTGATGACCATTAGTGAGTGCTACAGTGCCATCTGTGATCACCGCCCGGTCTTCCTCGGTGATCTGACCGGTAAATCCGGTGAACTGAGAAGTTCTCCGGTTTAGTAGAGAAATTACCGGCTCTCATTTGTCTAGCTAGTATACTTCTACTACATCTACTACATCTACTACTAGTATTACTATTTGTAGGAGTGAAAACACCCGACATGTTCCCTTATCCACGATCATCCTCATCCCTGTGTTACTGACAAGACACCTTCGCATAGGGTGTAACTAACTGTACCTCCTGTTGTTCTCGATCGAACATATCGCTCTAGCTCCCAATTTTACTTTTTACGCGTCTAGCCAACAGTACTTACAGAGAACGCTCGTGTCCACCCCCGGAGAGCATGTACAGATCTACAGATACTTCTGCATCTGGCGTGAAAGCCCCAGTCAGCAGGGAGTCTGCAGTCATCCAAGTTCAAGATGCAGACGAGCTGCGTTTGGCCCAAATGGGTATGCATCCTTTCCTAATCACGGCAACTTTGGAGGTATGTGTGCTCACTCTTTACCAGGTCACAAACAGGAACTAAAGCGCCATTTCTCTGTTTGGAGCTTAATCGGGCTGGCCGCTAACTGTACCATCTCCTGGACTGGTAAGCTGGCTATCCGTAGGCGCAGTAGGTCAATAATTGCTGATAACATGACCTGATAGGGCTCGGACTTGGATTGATCACGTCCATCAACGCTGGTGGGCCCGGTGCTCGTATAGTCTACTCCTAGATAAAACAAATCAGGGCTATACCACTGACAAAGCTAGTCATCTACGGATTCATCCTCGTTTTTATCCTCCAGTGCTTTTTGGGCACGTCGTTGGCTGAATTCGTCTCGGCTTATCCAGTTGAAGGTGGAATGTACCATTGGATCGCAGCGATTGCCCCAAAGCGCTATAACAGTCTCTTGAGCTTCCTGACGGGATGTTCTACGGTCTTTGGCTGTGAGACGATGACACTACCATTAGTTCTATCTAGAGATTGCGCTAACTACCTTATAGGGATCTTCACGGCGGCATCAACAAATCTGGTATATGCCTCAAACTTCATGGCTTTAATAGCGTTGTATCACGATGACATCAAGCTCCAACCCTGGATGACCTTTGTTGCATACCAGGTCTTGAATGTGTTGACATCTGCAGTGGTTATGTTTGGAAACCGTTTCATTCCGACCATCAATAAGTTTGCCTGTAAGTTGTGCTAGGGCAGCAATGATAAGGGGCTTGCTGATGGGAAGAAACAGTGGTATACCTCCAGCTAGCATGGTTTGTAATCACGGTCACAGTGGCCGCGACAGCGCCAACCCACAATGATAGCAAATTTGTTTTTCGGACCTGGATGAACAAGACGGGCTGGGACAGCAATGTTATCTGTTTCATCACGGGCCTGGTAAATCCGCTGTTTGCCCTCGGTGGGCTGGATGGTATAACAGTATGCATTAGTCCCTAGTTCCTGACGCCTTGCTAACGTGATACCAGCATATAACAGAGGAGATGCCAAACGTAAGCGCACATCTGTATCGCAACCGAAGCCAGTATAGCTACTAATTTGCTCAGCCCGGGCGCAATGCACCTTTAGCCCTAGGTATGGCTTGAGTATCCTTAGTCCTGCTCGCCGCAGGGAGCTGACCCAATTTACCGCAACAGCATGCACTCTCATCATTGCCTTCATTACTGGACTTTCTTACCTTCTGAGCTTGATGTTCTCGGTGCAAGACTGGTCGAGCCTAGCAGACAGCCCAACGGGCCTCCCACTTGCGGCAATCTTCGGTCAAGCAACACAGAGCCGTGGAGGCGCTTTCGCGCTGACATTCCTTCTATGGATTGCTCTTGGGCCGTGCATGATTGGCTCACAGCTCAGTATGGCACCCTTAAAACTCGAACATATATCATGTATACCATTCCTAATTATATGAGTCGCCAGGCACCGGGAGAATGCTTTGGGCTTTTGCTCGTGACGATGGCCTTCCATTCTCCAAGGTGTAAGCAGAGCAACACCTGTACCTGGTTAGTTAAGACACTGACTATCCCAGTTGGGCCCGAGTCAGCCCTCGATTCGGGGTGCCCCTAAACGCTCAAATATGTGTGGCAGTGATCGTAAGCCTTCTGGGCTGTATCTATCTCGGATCTAGCACTGCCTTCAACTCTATGCTTAGCTCTGCAACGTACGCTATTATTGCCCCCTTTCTCCATCTTTCCCTGCCGCTTGAAGATTGAAATACGGACTAACATATATTGTAGGACTATCAACAATCTCGCATACTTCGTGCCCATCTTCACTAATGTCGTACTGAACCGCAGCACGATGCATCGCGGCCCATTTCGCCTACCGCATATTGCCGGCATGACCGTTAACATTGTTACTGTCATTTGGCTGGTTTTTGCCATTGTCTTCTTCAGCTTTCCATTTTATATGCCCGTGAAGGGTATGTCGGATTTTACTTCACTTTCTTTCTTCTCCTGTCCCTTATATACAACATCGCATCTCATGTGAGCTACGTTTAAAACGGAGAACACTAACACATCTACAGCCTCAAACATGAACTACACGTGCGTCTGCGTTGGTGGGTTCATCATCATCGAGCTCATGTGGTGGTTGATCGCTGGTAGACGATACTCGAAGACTGTGCAGAAGGCAAGGGAGGAAGAGAATAATGTGACGGTTAGGGTGGACAGCAAGAACTTATGATGAAGACAATACTCGTGCTAGTTCTTTTTCAGGTGGTTTTTCTTCTTCGGCCTTGGAGTTCGCTGCGGATGGTGTTTCTCCTCTTCTCTCTTCTTGTCTCTTGATGAGCTTATGGAACTGTGATGATAATGACGGTGGAATCGTGCTCACAAAGACTGCCCACAGTATTGGTCGAGAAATAGAATGAAACTAATGAAACAAAGCGGTTTTGCTTGATGTGCATGCAATAATGGAAAAATGTGTTTGTATAGGTGGTGGAGCATGACATCTAGCCATGCTAAAGTACAAGTATTATTGTTTCCCCAGGGCTCCATTCACTGCGGGCAATATATAGATAAATCGGCGTAACATCATGATTCTGTTAGTGTATAAAAGTAGTACAGATGTGCAATTAACACATGCGTCCAAATAGAAAGTCTTTCACGACCGGCGAACTCGAAAATTCAGGATTAAGTAGGACACAGCTGGTGAACGCGACATGTCAGTCTGCAACAATGCGATATGGGCATGCAATGAACTTACTTCAAGAAGTATTCCAGGCCGACCCGCCGGGATTCGAGGAATGCTGGGCGAAATTTGACTAGTACACTCGTGTTAGCGAAGCCGAAGTATGCAGTGGCAAACGTGTACGTATGGTGAGGCATACAGAGAACACTCTTCGGTGGTAGAGCTGGTAGGGCGTTCTTCGCGTGCGGGAATGAAGACACCAGCTTTTGTCTTAAGTCATCGAATTCAGAGTACCTAGGTCATGAGACATTAGCGGCGGCAGGTCCTGATGACGTTTGGATCCCCGGGCTCATACCTCATACGAACACTGATGGGACCACCCTACAATCGCCGTTAGAACCAGGATATCCTTACGAAAGCCACGAATATGCGGTCGACTAGAAGGCAATGCGCACCTCGAGGGTTTGTATGGTACAACTCCACACCACATATGCACCTATACCGGATTTCCCCTGGACGACAACATGATCATCTACTGATACGCTCCTAGCCCATAGTCCGCGGCTCGTCTCGGAATCTGGATCCTCCGTATGGTCTTCAAGGGTGATTGCAGGCTGTTCGAGAGAGATCTGAGAGGTACGGGATGCATTGCGATGGTGACTCCAGTACGGCGGAACTATGCCGGAGACCGGGCGATCTTTAGGGGCCCCAGTGTGGACGTGCGGAAAGAGGGTGCCATTGCTGACGCTGACGCCGTTGGAAAGGGAGGTTGTCACGAGCGCATCAGTGTCTGAGACCTTGGAGGATGCCGTTGAGGGATGGAGAGGAGGGGATGGCAGCGGTTGCGGGCGAGGCACCGGGCTCGTCTCCTCATTCGCTCGCTCCATCCATTTAGATATCTAGCAGGACGAACAATGGATGTAAAATCACCGTAGCAGCACGTTCTAAATATAAGTCGGGAATGCAACCTCACGACCAGTGGCGGAGGCGAAATCAAGCAAGGATGCCGCCTGATAACAACTAACGTGGTTCTTCTACAACCCGAATCTGACTAGCGAAGTTTGCTGGCGCCGCAGAGGCCTGTGTGTTTCGGTCGGAGTTTTGTAAGACTGTGGGGGAATTCAAAAAGACGATGTGATTCACAAAGTCGGTGGCTGATAAGATATGAGGGTAATACCTTCTTCTTTTTTTCTTTTTTTTTTCTTTTTTATTCTTCTTCTTTTCTTTTCTTTTCCCTTGCGTAATGCTTTGTTAAAGTGTACTCAAAAATGGGCCCATTGATGGAGGGAGTTCAACTAGACTAGAATTCATCCGTTAAGTTCAATTCAAGGTCCCATTGAGTTATCGGCTCGGAAATCACGAGACCGAGCCGAATCTCCACTTTTCTTTTTTTTTTTTTTTTTTGTTTGAAACTCAAGTCATGTGGCTATCCTGCCAAAAGGGGTATTTAGCTTCAGACGTCCTCTCGTAGGAACCACTCAGGATGTGTCACTCTGAGTCTGTCGGTCCCTCGTAGTAGTAGTACTACCTATGTACTACATTCTTATGGTCTGTATTTATGTGGGTCATTAATACCAAATATTGTCAATAGATATGCAGCAGTACATTCTTTTGCATGTTATTTAAGAGAAAAACATTTCTTTCAAAAATCTCTTGTGATCCTCCATAGCTAATAAATAAATATATCTTCGCTCTTCGTCGCAATCACTCCATCCTTTCCCAACCGTCTCTGCTGCCTGTACTTCGTACACTAACCAAAGGGACTAGACCCTGAGAGGTAGTGACAGAATGCACTACTGTATTCTATGATCCCTAAAGCCACACTAAAGCAAAGCCAAGCATCGAGTGGCCCAATCACCTCGTTTGTACCTCGGGTAATCACTGAGACATTTCAACCCCCAATCCAAAGGAAAGCCCTCGCCAGAGTCCAGAGTCCCGACAACAACTCGGTATCTACAGCGTCGTTCAACGGCTCCGGCGCTTTCCAGACCGTTCCAGCAACATGTGCGTGAGTCTTTCGGGTATCGCGGAGAGGTCAAAGTTCAAGACAAGTCTGCGAATAATGATGGACTTCCAAAGATAGCCACCTATCAACGAGGGTGGGATCAATCATTATCATGCGCAGAGGTTGGACAGTTATGCAACCAGGGTCTGTCTGCATTACTGCCATTCTAGAAACATTACCTATGAAGTCCTCCCTGCCCAGCACCCGACTTCATAGCACTAGTAGGCTAGTGCGGACCCTAGTACCGTACCGTATACGGCATTGTCGGGGAGCTGCCCCGGATCGACAGTGATAGATGTTTTTTTCCCTTCCCAAAATGAAAAAAAAGTTGCCAGACAAAAGGGAATGGTTTATCATTATTCATATTATTATTTTATGTTATTTTTTCTTTTGAATAGTGGTGTGCCCATTCACGTAATAATTATACCGCCTGTCACCCTTGAAGATGGTCACAACCCTGGATCCAACATGGGATGGCAGATGAGCTAAATTATGTACCAGGAGGCACACAAGGAGCTGTCCAGGTGGCCAGACAAAGCCTTGAAGACTGATAGCGCCACCACCCCAACCTCGTTTCGGATGGCGGGAAACTTACTAGTAAAGTAGGACGTGGAGCACTGGGTTGTCGTACATCTTGTACAGGTAGTCGTACATATATGGGGCCATTGAATCATTCACCTTTCTGTCCTTTCTTTTTCTTCCCCTCCCCATTTTCTGCATTCACCTGTCTTCCATCGGCCCGGTGCTTGGATTTCTCTGCCAATCTCTCATACCCAATTCGAACATCTTCTTCTGGAGACAGTCTCTCCGTCACAGATAGATCGCTGTCCTTGTCTTCTTCTCCCGCTACTTGGTAAGTCCTGTTCAAATGATGCGCTGCCCATTATACAACTAGAAGCTAACCATTTTGATAAATAATGGCTTTTCTAGTCATTCGTTAAACGTCATTATCTTACAAACGCATCGCGATGGTTCTGCTTAGTTCCTTGGCCGTCGTGGCCACTGTAGCAAGTCTCGCTACCAGCCAGACCACTAGCACTATCGACCCAAGTACCGTTTCAGAATCGACGAGAAGTGCGTTTCCATGGACTGGTAATATTTGAAGAAGCTCGTCTGACTTTCAGTCGTTATAGAGCAATGGTGTCAATCGCAAACCTCGGCGTGTCCCCTCATCTGTCTGCAACTACCAGGGGCCTCAGGCAGCCCCACTGAAAACAAATGCGACTTCGTAAGTTATAGGTTTAATCCATTGCGGCCTAAAAGACATTCTAACGTGCCTCCTCTCGCGATGAAACAGAAAACCCTTGTATACTCGTGTATCTGCAGCAACCATCAGTCTCCCAACGCATCTGAATACTCCCAGACAATCCCCTACTTTGTTTGCACCGAGAAAAACAACCAATGCGTGAAAGACTGCGACGGTGAACAACAGTGCCAGTCTGACTGCCGCTCCAAGAACCCTTGTGGTGCTCAGGAGCCCAAGCGTGTCAACACTACCACTTCTGCAACTACCAAGACCGCTCAAGCGACCACTTCGTTGCCTCCTTTCACTGGCGTCCCGGACAAGAATGGAGTCGCCTCCAGGCCGTCGGCAGATTTGAACCAAATCTACGGTCTGGCCGTTGTGATGGCCGGATTCTTTGCCGGCTTTGCGACCTTGCTGTGAGAATGGCCTTGACTTAATGACGGCGCACGTTAGATGGACAGCCGAACATTTCTGGGAGTGATGGGTCAGCAGCCAAACGCAGCATGACTAAATCCCTTGGCATCCTTAATATATTTCTTCTCCAGTTATAGCCTGCGTTGTCTCTGCATGATTGTTCAGCATGCATAAAGTTCTTCGTTTTATCCTTTTCGTTATGAGCGTTGTGTGTATGTATGTCTTGATGATCTTTCTCACTAATCACCATAATCATGACCTATATTTCTAAAACTGGGGAGAGATGATTGGAAAGCGTTGACGTATCACACTACTAATGATCCGCGGACAATCTCTCTTTACCTAGGTTCAAGCATAAGGTACACTGGCATTCTCATTCCAGTGGTTTTCTTAGTAGAATTACATAGTACGAACTTCTAGGTCAGGCAAGGATCGAAGATGAATTATCACCAAGATTCACCCAGCACAGGTAATGTTTGGTGGATTCACTCGACAGGAACCGACGAACCGTCAAATATTGGTTGTCTGGAATAACACAACCCCTAGGTACTACTAGGTAGTAGTAGGTAGAGTCCCGTGCCTTCCTATTTGCTCGTTGCGTTTATACTTCCCTCACTTCATCATCTATTTTCTACTCCTTCTCTCCACACCAACACGCTTCTGATTTCAATCTTTTCTCTTTCTCCTTTGATCGCTCACTTACTTTTACCTCTCTGGCCACTGTAACTTCCCCCCTACTTCACGACTACGCTACCTTGTGTTCAGAGCCATCCCGCTTGGACTCGTCATCATGGTGCGCGACCATATGGTAAGCTCCTTGAGTGCCAGACACATCGTATAAATGGAGGACATACCATACTCAGAGAGTAGACACAGGAAAGGCGGCGCTGCCATGTTTGCTGGGAGCGTGGACACATCTCGATGGACTGTCCGGTCCGTCAAGGTCTACTCCATCTGGTATGTAAAGGACAAGATACGCTAGATCTTGTGAGACAGGATCCTCACGTTTCAAAGGCGAATATGGCCGCTGAGCTGAATGATCGGATACGCCGACCTGTGCCGATTCGAATGTATCGAGTGAATACCCATCGCCGTCAGTATCGCCCTCGCCGCAGGCATGGCCGAGGGCAGAACAGTGAAAGGAACCATACAGTATGTGCTTGCTCAAGGCACCAACTTCAAAAGCACCAACTACTGTTGACTCTTTACTCCTAATAGGGACGACACGAACTACCCCCTCGCCCAGCACATGTTAACTCGGAGCTCAACTACGAAGATCGTGGCCCTTATCATCGCGATGTCCATAACAGTCGTCCTGCTCGTCCACCGGCAGATAATAAGGAGAACGTTCGCCCAGCCCCTCCCGCTAACCCAGCTCACTTGCATACAAGCGTGGCCTATGACAGGTAGACCTTGATATGTGTTCTGAAACAAGGATGTCGCTAATAAAAGCTGCAGACATGATCTCAATATGAGGCTCGATTCTTCCATTGCTGCTCCGGGGTGAGACCTTCAGCATGATATACTGTAAATAAACTGACACTACATGATTAGATCATCTGCACTTGCTACTGACACTAAACTGGAGTCAGAGTCAGGTAATCCGATCGAACATTCAGAGAACCCTACCTCCGATTATCTTCAGACGAGCGGGTGAGTAGCCTCCGGTTCTCTCGCCATCCCATCCAATGTACTAATAAAACAGAGCTGAGGACGTCCAAGCCACATGCAGGTAAGGTGCTATACCTGGTTTGGATTGATTGGTTCTGACGCGTCATGACCAGTGATACCCTTGCTACTTCAAGTGAGAGCGAGTACGAAACCTAAGCCAGCTGCCATAACTGTTATACTAATACAAATACTCAAAGCACCCCTGAGAATCTCCCAAGCTTGTCATTCAACGTCCCCGGGGATATTGTGATGACTGGGGAGTCACAAGCTGTGATGGACGACTACTGCAGTGAGCTGTTTACGATTGTATGAACGAGACTTCGCTAGACAAGTCTGGCTCTGGGAAGATACATCGGCACCCACTGTTATGAATCAGCATCTTCGCGTTGATAATACACAGACTCTCGAATAAAGGAATGTGCGTCTTTCATTTGTTTTCTGACTAGGTTGGTTATTGACTGACACACCTAGCTTTTGAAATGTTGCGGATCTACTTGGTCGATATCCAGAAGCACACGCAACATTCGCAGGTATCAAGATAAACTAAACACGAAATCCTGAAGAAAAAAAAAAAAGAAAAAGAAAAAGGAAGGTAAAAGAAGGGATTTTAAATCTGACTGTCTGTACCCTACTCGGGCTTGAATTTAATTTGTCTTCGTCTTCCCTTGCAGAGTTGCGGTGATGAAGGCCTGTATGTCATTATCATGAAGTCTCAGTCGCAATAAATTACTAGGGAAGGGAGCTATTCCTGTGTAGACTATCTACGTTTTCAAATAAGGACTCAAACGCCCTATAGGGACAGGGCGAGTTACTAATCTTGTCATTGTTTGATGTGACTACTAGTACGGAGTAGATATTTGACAGCAAAGGCGGTCGTGGAGGCGGTGAAGACGTAGGCGGAGATAAGTGCGTTGTTGATATGATGACCATCTGATAGATCATTGTTCACTTTCTCCACATCCGTCACATACACACGGCTCTACTTAGTACCTTTGAAATAGCTATCTCCTCCCTGCCCGAAACTTCAGCCATCAATCGTCTCCATATCCACTACGGTGACCTTCACTAACGCTGTCTGGGTAACCAAGAATTACTCCACATTGACGTGCGGCATAGCGCTCCAGTCGCTCCGTGCGTGACCTGTCGAGACTTCAACTGTTCTCGTTTCGTCACAAGAGAATTTCAGGAGTGAAACAGTTGCTTAATACTGTCCATTTGCTGCAGGCGCAGGGTGTACGCAAACTTTAGCGATATGGAATCTATGCCACCCGATGCTTTCGATTCTCATCCGACAAGCCCATATGCGGGACAATTACACGGTGCAGGGAACCCCGACTTAGAGAGTATAAACGGAGCTGCGGCTACTGCGGTACCGTTCGTGAAGGTTGATGGTACGGTTTTATAGTCTGCTTTAGTAACCCGATTAGGGCTTGCCTGCAGTGGAAGAGGTATTAATTTGCTAAATAGATCCACCTAAGTTTGAATTGGAGTCTTACATTGCAAATTATACGGGTATGATGCTCGCTCCCTTACGTCAATCTTTAGCTAACTGATGTGCTACTTCCAGGCCGAACCAAGTTCAATCGCCTGTTTCTAATAGGCACGTGCTCCACATATCTCTCCAACGAGGCACTGAAGGCTGCGATTATCGAAGCCAAATCAAGCAAAGATGTTTCCCGATACGAACGCACAGTCCGTGCACTCGCCGACATTGCGCCATATGAGCCTGAAGCTACACTAGACAAGGAGTGGGTAGATCGTACACGGAAGGTCGTCAAGGCGGAGACCGATCGGTTAGAGCATGAACTGAGAGGGTATAAGAACAACCTTATTAAAGAGAGTATAAGAGTAAGCTCCATGGCAACGCTCTATAATACCTCGGCATATGTTCTGACCTGAAACCACAGATGGGCAACGAAGACCTCGGACAGCACTACCATCAAATTGGTGACTTAGTGTCAGCTTCGAAGGCTTACTCTCGCATGAGAGATTACTGTACGACTCCGAGCCATATCGCCTCAATGTTGTTCAAAATCATAAATGTAGCCATCGAGCGTGGGGATTGGCTGAGTGTCCAGTCTCATGTGCAAAGGCTACGCAACCTACAATCTAAACAAGAGGAACAGGCTAAGAACCAGCCGAAGATGTCAGCTGCGATGGGTTTGTCCCAGTTGCACTCTGGCGCGTATCTAGACGCTGCCAATAGTTTCTTGAGCACAGACCCGACTCTAGGTGACTCGTACAACGAAGTGCTCACGTCTAACGATGTTGCCGTTTATGGTGGACTTTGCGCGCTTGCATCCATGGATCGCAATGAGCTTCAGCGGCGTGTACTAGACAATAGTTCATTCCGCAATTTCCTCGAGCTGGAACCCCATATCCGCCGGGCGATCTCTTTCTTCTGCAACTCCAAATTCCGGCCATGTCTGGATATCCTGGAATCCTACCAAACCGATTACCTTTTAGACGTCCATTTGCAACGTCATGTCAGCACACTCTTCACTCGCATTCGAACTAAGTCCATCCAGCAGTATCTGGTTCCTTTCAGCCGTGTTACCCTCGACTCTATGTCCAAGATCTTCGCTCCTGCAGCTACCAGCGAGCCGGCTCAGCCTATCCACTCGAAGTCTCCGTTTGTACAAGAGTTGATCGGTCTCATTCAAGACGGAACGCTGGACTCTCGGATCGACCTGGAAAAGATGGTCCTGGTATCCAATCAGACCGACCAACGGACAGAAGTGCAGGAAGCCGTGCTGGAGAGTTTATCCAGTTATATTGATGAGGCACATATAAGATTACTGCGGACTAATATCATCCGTGCAGGACTGGAAGTCCGCCCATTAAGCGATGAGCAGCGCAAACAGGGGCACGGGCCGAAGCATTCACGACCGCCAACGGGGATGTTCCAATGAACTAAGAAGTGAGGGAGGGTATTACGGAGATAGCCAGCTATGAACTGAATTATGACTAGAGGCACGGTAGAAAATCAAATAGTTTACGAATCATTGTGTTCTTTCCGGATGAAAATGCCTTCCGTGCAACTGGTCAACTGAGTTCCGGTTTACCGTCTTGTCTCTTGTGTCAATTTGGGGCATGTGTGATTTGCATCGATATATTTCTGAAACAGATGCGAGAAGATGACATGAAGGGAAAATGAACATTCTGTATATAAGATCTAAGTAAGCTCCGAAGACTACACTTTACCTCGAGCGCTTGACAAGAAAGCCCACAATGCCCGCCAGGAGCAATGCACCATTGAAACCAGCCATGATGTAGAACGGAGTACCTGAAGACAAAACATCGAAGAGAAGGCCACCCAACTTAGTCAGGAGGAGAATACCTGCACCACCAAACAAGGAGTACACGCCGGCTATTGATCCTTTCAAATGGGACAACTGTTGCTGTCTCTGATTCCTGGGCCTTGCGAGCAGTGGCTGCCGGTCTGCACCGCTGTCCATTTCGCTGGCTCGAGAAGCACTGTTTTCAGCGTATGGTTCTGTCTCAGCGTTGAACGCCTGCCTCGGGATCTCCTCATTCAGACTGATACCCAGGATGCCGTTGCTTAATACGGCTAAGCTGCAGACAATCGCTCCAATTTGACTGATACCGATTAAACTCATTATGGCAAATACACTCGGACTTCCGCCTTCTCCGCTGAACTTGGGCGTGGGGAGAAGTGGGAACGCCGTGTATCCGATGACACCGGCCAAGCAAGCAAGGAGGAGAGGCAGGTGGTACCGGCGCGACTTATCAGACCAGTACCCGAAGGCTGGTGCAGCGATCAAGGCCACGAGCTGGGAAACGCCTGTCAGGATCGAGGCCAACTTGTACGCATCAGGACAAGAGTGCTTGATATCTCCGGGCCCTTCGCTGCGGCCGTCATTACAGACGCCCAGGACTCGGTAATAGTGGTTAACAAAAAGCGGGATGAATAACGAGATCCCCACTGATGAGGCGCGTGCTACAAACCCTCCGATGTAGCCTATGAGGATGTCACTGTGGCGGCATCCCAGAACTATAGCTGCGCCAAATCGGTCCAAATACGGGAGGCGTGATTTGCCGCCAACAGTACATGTCGGATAATCATCTTCATCTTGAGTCGACCAGAGTGAGTTCCATGTCTTCCTTTCTTCGCCGGGAAGATCCCGGAGGCCGAATAGACACCATATGCTGACCAGGAGAGCCACCACAGCGACTACGTAGTAGCTGCACTGAATGGCTTCTGAGGGCGATAAGCCGAGTGTCTGGAATTTGGCGGGAAGTGGAAGGAATATAACAAGAGATACGAGGGCGCCGCAGCCAGCGCACATTCCTACGAACCCAGCCAATCGAGAGGAAGGCGTGTTCGCTTCGCCGTCTGATTGGGCTTGGGATGATGCTTCATGGTTAGAACCATTTTGCGTATTCACTGTCTCGGTAGATTCTTGTTCGTTGGAGCTCCCGGTCACACTGGGAAGAACTGCCGTCACCATGGTCGAGACCGCAGAGCCGCCAATACTAAATAACAACCGTCCTAGAAGAAGTTGCGGGTAAACATTCTTGGATTGGACAAATACAACCAATGCGACGGCTATGATGCCATAGCCAGCCACACATACCTATAAGGGAAGAAAATGAGGTTCTAGGTCAGAACTATATCAAGAGTGAACGGAAGCGTACATGGCGGACCCCTATGCGGTCCGAAAGCACTCCCCACAGAGGACACGCGACCAGCGCAAGTAATTCATCTGCAAACCCGAGGGTTCCGACGGCATCTCCTTCGCCACCATGCAGTCCAATCAATTCGGTGACCACAAACGAGATGGAGGAGTTGATATAGACTAGAAAAGCAATTGAAAACGGGCAGACGGCTAGCAAGTACGTCAAGGTCTGCGTGCGGCTCGCCGTAAATAGAGCTCGTTGAGATGTCATATTTCTCCGATCCATTCAGGTCATATTCTGATTTGATTCCGGGTTGAAGGGATTCGCCGAAAGTCTCGGGAATCATCGATCAGTAGTTATACACTTAGATTATATGATCTGGAGGGAAGAAGCTCTTGGCAGATGGAGGGAAAATGTCAGCCGTGGACTGTCAAAAGAGATACATCCAACGTCACCTGACTGCGCGTTGGAGTGAGCTCCGATCGAACCGGGTCTGCCTCGGAATTCTACTTTAAACTTGTTGCATCGCTCGAACTTTATTTTGTTTATCTGATGTCGATTTCGGGACACACTAATGTACATCTGCTCTGGCTGGTCTCTGTACTCGTTATGGGTACAAACACTCCCGTGACTCGGTATCCATATCCATAAACCCCCATTCCCAGACTAAACTCAAAGGAGACAAGAACCGGAACACCCGCGCTGACGTAAGGTCCCGGCGGGCGGTGACTGAACTGAATCCCCCCATTGCTTATACGAAGTATAGCATAGCTGTCCAGAACATCTCCAATTCCCGCCCACGCGATCGCCTGGCCTGAATTTTCTCACTTTACTCTCCTCCCATTGTGTTAATACTTTTTAGCCGCTGTCGATGTCCCCCTGACAATCCTTGCTGCTTTTTAATTTCGGCTTTCTGTCAAGGACATCGGGCTTCTCGCCCGCCTTTGTTGGTAGCCATGAGACTCGCCGCATATACTGGGGTAAGTGGCACGCATGGTTCGGTTCGCATTCAATGGAAAGTTAACCCTGCCTCACTCCACAGGTCTCGGTGGCCCTAGCCACGGGTGTCTTTCTAAAGGCACTTCATCAGAGGGCGAACTTCTACTCGGCCTGCGTTTACCTTTCTCAAAGCAGTGCCAATCTCATGGTAGGTCGCCGCCGCATGTGCTCTTGAATGATCTCTACGTTCCCAAGGACCACTTGAGAGAATATCTTCTAACAGATGCAGATCCTGACAAATGTGTGTCTGCTAGCGGTCGGTTTTCTTCTTTTCTGGCTTCAGCGTCTTCTCTACGGCCCCTTGCGACCCATCGAAACCGAACAGTTGTATGAAAAGGCATGGTTCGCGGTGACGGAAACCTGTCTGGCCATGACCATATTCCGGGGGGAGCTGGGCGGCTGGTTCTTGGTTATGTTCATTTGCCTACTCGTCGGGAAGGTTTGGGGCTGGATTGGCGAAGGCCGTGTGGAATACCTGGAACAGCAACCCCCAGCCAACCCTCGCCTGTTCCATACTCGCCTGGCAATTTCCCTGCTCCTCGCGGTTCTGTTTAATTCTTTCATGCTAAGGTACTGTGTTCGGACGGTTCTTGAGCAAGCACGCCCTGACATGATGGTCATGTTCGGCTTCGAGTTCGCCGTTCTCACCATCCTCTCGAGTTCGACCGCCGCGAGGTACTCAATTTCTCTGGTAGAGATCTATATTACTCATCAACAGTTGAAGGCCAGGGTGGAGGAGCGCCGTCAGGAGATTCGAGCCGAGAGGCAGGAGGCCATTCGCCAGAGTGCGCAAGCCGGAGAGCTCTCTCCTCCCGCTAATTTACCTGATGAAAACGATATCAATGAGATGGAACTTGATGTCCCCGGATGGGAGGAAAAAGGCCGCTGGGTTTTCTATCTCGATCTGCTTACGGACTTTTTGAAGCTGACCGTGTATCTCACTTTCTTTGCCATCCTCTTCACTTTCTACGGGCTACCGATCCATATCCTGCGCGACGTAGTAGTGACGATTCGCTCCTTCGGTCGCAGGATCATGGATTTCCTTCGGTACCGCAATGCTACTCGTGACATGAACGAGCGGTATCCAGATGCGACTGCGGAGGAAATCGCACGGGAAGAAGTCTGCATTATTTGTCGGGAGGAAATGGCACAGTGGCAACCTGTGGACGGAGCCGCGCCAACAAGAGGACGGGTTTCCGAGAGACTTCGCCCGAAGAAGCTCCCTTGTGGTCACATCTTGCATTTCGCCTGTCTTCGCAGCTGGCTGGAACGACAGCAAAACTGCCCAACCTGTCGACGCCCAGTTGTCGCGCCGCCTCGTCACCGTGGCCAGCCAGGGGCGGGGGGAAATGATGGGCAAGGCAACGGGGGTGCTGGGGGTCTACCAGGTGGCCCTGCTGGGAATCAGCCTCCCGGGAGGAATGCAGGCGCTGATGGCTTACCCAGGGCTCGTGTATACCAATTTGGACCCTTCCGGATCGGGTTCGGCGCGGGCCGAGGAGACATGTTTCACAATCTTCATCAGCAAATTCACCAAGGCAATGCTCCCTTACAGCCCGCAAATAATGGCAATCCTGGCGCGAGACAAATCGGGTTTGGTTTCGGCTTCGGGCGTCCACCACCACCACCAACTGCCCACCCTTCGCCGGCCCCAACGGCCGTCTCTGATATGCAAACCCACCTTTCCCAATTGGAACAACAGATTATGCAGGAGATCAACAATCTCCGGGTTACTGCAGATCAACTTCATCTGGTTCGCTTGTTACAGACCGAGCTTCAGCGACTTCGGAGTCTCCAGAATCCTCAAGCAACCCCCCTGGACATGCCGAACAATTTATCGCAGAACCCCACCATTCCTTCGTCGTCTACAATAACAACGACTCGGCGGCAATTTATATCAGACCCAAGAGCACCAGCCATGACGGCTGGCGATGCACGACTACCCGAGGGACTTAGCCTTCCTCCGGGCTGGTCCCTTCTTCCCCTCCACTCAGCGGAACAGGGTTCCAGTGGAGCAGCAAACATGACGCCCACTCCAACTATTCCCGTGACAGCTCCACCCGTACAGACGCCTGACAGTTCCGAGCATCAGGCGCCCGCGTCGGCGGAAAACGGTGTGAATGAAAGCCAGAATGAACAGGGTCCTAGCCAGGTGAATTCGGGCTCTCGTGCCCTGCCGGGTTGGGGTTCAGCAATGCCTCCAACCACCGCGACAGACGATGCCGAACCAGCGTCCGAGCAATGGACAGAAGTAACAACTGAGGGACAAACTGAGAAGTCCAGTTCACTAACCGTTGAACATGATGAGGCTGTCGATCATAGCGAGGACGGTGTGGTAGAGGATGGCTCATCGTCATCACCATCGAAGGGCAAAGCGCGGGTGGCAACAGTGGAGGACGTCGGGGATGATGAGACATGACATGGCATTCCCCTCTAGAGCTTTTTGGTTTCTTCTGTTTTTATATCCTTTACAAGTACTTCACTCCCCACTATCCACTGGCCCGATGCATTTATCTTATCAGATTTGGGAAACAAGCGTTCAACGGCGTTCTTAGCGAGGCAGAAAGATCATACCCGGGTTGTCTGTGAATTCGAATTTCTATGCGATGGGACTCATGCCTGGTGATTCCCCCCTTTTTGTAATGTTGGAATCCATTTAGCAAAGCCATCTGACTGCGATCGTGGAGGATATTTATTTTCTCTGGCGGGTGGACGGGTCTCTTTACATGCATGTATGTACATAGTAGTGGTAGCAATCAACCTCGCCCGATTCTCCTTCCGTTCATTGTTTTACATTTTCTTGTAGGTTTTTTCTTCCTTTTCCTCATTTTCTTTTTTTTTTTTTTTTTTTTTTTTTTTTTTTTTTTATCTCTAAGACTGTATAGGTACTATCGATGCAAAAATATATATTTTATACTGCCGAAGTGTTTCTCTAGGGAAATGTCCCTTTCCGGAACAGGACTAGCCCAGGGCCGCTTTTTACTCATGATGAGCCCGAAACGTGGGGCAAGGTCTAAGTTTTGTTGTTCTGTCAATTGTGCCTATGCCCACGGACCCACAAGCTTTCCTCCACGTAGGATCCTGCTTTTTTTTTTTGTTACCTGATGTAAGAGATATCGCCAGGGCCCGATATTCCACAAGACTCAAAGATCAGATAAATTCTGAATCGTAGATTCAGAATGCCCTGGTCACACCTATATAGCTTCCTGCCGTTACACCTGACGCAAGTTTATCTCTTGTTACTCATATTCGACATCGCCTACCCTAGACGCTCGCGCTGATTCAGAGAGTCCAGAGTCCAATGCCTCTTTGGAGATGAAATACCGAACGTTAATCGCGGAGCAAGCTGGGAACTACTATTTAAATCCATGAAGACAAAGCAGCTAGAAATGGTGCACCTTCGTTCTAGGGAAGCTACAAATGATAATAGTAAGTTGCCCCCGTATCTAACCCTATCTCTAGCTCTGTCTTTAGAGCATATTTAAAACTACACTTGGACAAATATATAAATGAAAGCAGGGGTGCTGCGGCTAGAAACCGCAGCAATACCAACGCTCGTTCTGGGACAAGCTCTAAGACGACAAAGAGATGTCTTTTCTATAGAATTGCTCGGTTTTTTCTTTTCTTTTGAATATATATATATTTTTGAAGTAATGGCTTCAATTAATATGACGCTTAGAAATCGGGAAGCTTGATCGGCTTATTCGCCTTGCAAAGAAATATTTCACAAATCTAGATCACGAAGCCGGCCTGAAAAGGATCATCAGGGTCTAGTAGTACTTTACGCTCGCCAGTTATCCATGCTCTGCCTTGAATGTTTGGCAGTACTGCATCAGTGTTGCCCACTTTCCCTGTCCCCCGTATAGTGCCAATGAACTCGGTTTCGATGACACTTCGGAAGGTAACCTTTTCTCCGATTTGTATTTGTCCTCTTGCATAGAGAACTGCAAGGCGGGACGAACTTCCAGTACCGCATGGACTGCGATCCAATCTTCCGGGCGTGACAATGACCGTATGCTTCACAGACTTCACACCATCCTGGTCGACAAGAGGTTCACTGATGATGATATTGTTGATGCCGCAGATCGCCGGATTTTCCGGGTGCGTAGGCATATGTTGTGCAAGCACCGCCGTCTTCAGTCGGTTGCCCAGATCGACCAGCCGGTCTCGATTCGATGTGTGGATCTTGATATTCAAGTCTTTGGCCTGGGCAATCACATACCACTGGCCACCATAAGCGATATCCACCAGGATTGTCCCAAAGCCAGGGATTTCGACCACTTTGTCAAGCCCATAGACAAAGGCCGGGACGTTGTCGAACGACACTGACTTGCATCTTCCATTGCTGCACTCGGCTGTGGCCGTGATTAATCCGGCAGCAGTATCCAGCTTCACCTCGGTAAAGGGCTCCTTCATTGGGAGGCATCCTGTCTCGAGCAGGACTGTGACGGTGCATATAGTGTTTGACCCAGACATAGGAACCCAGTCCCCCGGGGCCATGATCAGAAAGCCCGCGTCTGCGCGAGGGTTGCAGGGCGGAAGCACAAGCACAACACTCATTTCTGGTCGACCCCGTGGCTCGTGTAGCAACAGCCGGCGTAAATCATCCTGTTCACTTATGTAGCGGGCCAGTTTCTCGTGCATTGTCTTTGCTGGTTTGTCCAATACACCACCAAGGATCACATCGCCCGCCTCTCCCTCACAGTGCGAACAGACGAGGGATATGCTGCGCAGGGACCGCATTGTGGTATGCTCGAGGGGATAATCTGTGAAGCAGCGCTGGATTCAATAGATATTGATTGCTTGCCGATCGAGGACCAAAGTTGCTTATAGTAGAGAAACTTAGCAAAGGACGCCGACAAAAGGGCCTGCTGGATTACTTAGAAATAACCACTCATTTTGGCTCCGTATCTCTATCTACCATGACCCGGAACCACTTGCCCAGATCATTGCGCTAGGGCACTTCTTAGTCGGTGGAGCTTTGCGACCTACTAACGCTTTTTAGATTAGTGGAATGGATAATGCAAGACAGACGTATATCCCCGCTATCAGTCAAGGGTGGTGATAAGAACGAAGAGGGCAGGTTGGCCCTGTTCCAAGCGACGGATATCCTTTTCCGACTGGAAGTTGGAGATTCACGAAGGTTACGGAGGTATCACGAGATACAACAGTGATGGCAGGTGGTTCCGTCCCGATTAGACCATGAGTTTCATCACGAAATCATGCAGTACCCAAATGCTGGCTATCTAAATACTTTCCAAGTAAACTACTTGCCACAGAAACAATCCAGAGATTATTTCTCTCACCATGACTTCGATCAAGGCGCATGTGGGCATCATTGGCTCCGGTATCATCGGCCTTCTCTCTGCTTTGACGCTCACCGATGCCGGCTACAGAGTGACTATCGTTGCACGCGATCTACCGGGTGATGAATCCCAGGACTGGGCAAGTCCCTGGTGAGTATATTGTCTTGTCTAGTCTGTATCGCAGCCCATACTGACACGAAATCGAGGGCGGGCGTATCAATCTTCCCTCATCCAGACGTTGGCGGCCACTGTCTCCAGACCGAGAATTTTAAGTACTTCTGGGCCTTAGCACATAGGGATCCAACGAGTGGCGTTCAAGTAGGTTGCCCAAGGCGCAGACATTCATGTGGTCTCTTGACTTATCCCACCCGTGTTACGTTCAGGTTATCAAAGCAACGGAACACTACGATGATCGGGAGGATGATTCAAGCATCTGGTACAAGACAGTGGTCCCGCACTATCGTGTCATTCCGAAGGAGAAGCTTCCCAAGGGCGTAAAGCTTGGATTTACATATACGTCGATGACGATCAATCCAGCATTCTTACTCCCATGGATCCAAACGCAACTGAAAGCACGTGGGGTCACATTTATTCGGAAGACGCTGAGATCCATCCAAGAGGCAAAGACGATCACCGGAGCAGAATATATCGTGCACGCATCGGGGCTAGGAGCGTATACTCTTGCGGACGATAAGAATGTAGAGGCCATTCGTGGACAAACAATGTTTGTCAAGACGGACTTTAACGAGTTGAAGATGCACCAAGGTTCCCACTACACCTATGTTATTCCGCGGATGTTCACCAACGGGGCCATCATCGGCGGTGTCAGCCAGCCCGGTAGCTTGGATCGCAATGTGGACAAGGCCCTACGCGCCGACATTCTAAAACGCGTCAATATCCTTACTGACGGGGGTCTTAGCTCGGTCGACCTGGACAAGGATGTCCAAAAGGATATTGTCGCCTTCCGGCCGGGAAGAAAAGGAGGATATCGCCTCGAGGCTGAGGATGACGTAGTGCATGCCTACGGGTTTGCCGGCCTTGGCTATATATTCAGTTACGGTGTGGCTTTAAAGGTCCGAGAGCTGATTGACTCGGTAGTGGACAAAGACAGGGCTCCAAGGAGCCGCCTCTGATGTACTTTCGTCCACCCAAGAATGCAATATCGGAAGTATGAAGAATCAGCGACTCCTCAGCTCGGTATGAGTGTATTACGTATTGATGTACTTATAATAAAAGCGTTGTGGTCTAGCTATCAAGTTACTAAGGCCAATAAAGTGTGGCTAAGCGGAAGAATGAGAAATCGCGCGTAGCATACACATGGATGAACCTATGCCCAAGGGCGCAGTATCCGCGAAAGAGTCCCACTATGTAATACCAAAATGTTTACTAAGAATGCCAGCCGGTGACAGCCGTCGTGTCGCATGGAAGCGCTTGCCCACAAGGCCTCCCAGTAGCTTGGAACGTCATTCAGTTAAGGCCTCTGATAGGTACGTTTGTGTTATCTGCCCTTTATCGACAAGCAATTTGAAGCGAAGGATGAATCAATAGTGGATCTGAAGCCCACGGAAGACTTGAGTACGGGGGTTCGTCGAAGTAGTTGGGGTAACCCAGACATAAACCCTAAGCGCCATGCTCAGTGGCGATGATAAGAACGGGCTTTTGCAAGTGATAGTCCTCTACTCCCGGAAGAAGTTGCCTGCTTTGTGTGCTTCCCCCTCCCCCATGCTCATGTCTCACTGTTGGCCGACTCCACATACCAGCTAGCGGTATATGGGGGGCTCCAGGTCTAAATAATGCATGTGCTCCGTGCAGATGCTGGACCAGCAGTTGTGAAGGTCACATTGTTCTAAGTTCCTCGTGTCTTCCGTTGCCTATCATGAAGAAACAGATAACCTCGGACCCTGACCCAGAAGATATCAAACATACGCAGTCACAGGCCGGCGAAGGATTCGTTAGCGAAAGCATTCAAGATGATGCTGTCTTCGGCGAGATTCGTGAAGGAGACACCAACTATCGTGATGTAAGCTTTCATGTGATGTGCATCGAAACCAGACTCGACTGACGTGGTCTAGGTGAGCTGGATGGGCACAACAGCTCTGATGATCAAAACCCAAATTGGCCTCGGTGTTCTTTCGATGCCTAAGATTTTCGACATCCTCGGAATTGTGCCTGGGATTATCATTCTTCTTGCAATTGCCGGAATGACGAGTTGGTCAAACTGGATGGTCGGCGTCTTCAAGTTACGCCATCCTAGTGTTTATGGGATTGACGACGTGGGTAAAATGCTCTTTGGGCGAGTGGGCTTCGAGCTATTCGGTGCGGCATATACCTTGTGTGAGTTTTCATGATCCGATACGAACCTTCCTGTGGCTCTAACCTGTTGCAAGACTGGATATTTGCGGGTGGTTCTGCCTTGCTCAGCATCTCGATCTCGTTCAACGCGCTCTCTGACCATGCGGCATGCACAGCTATCTTCGTGGCCGTTGCTGCCATCATTGCCTTCACATTCTCTAGCATCCAAACTCTTGCTCGTATCAGCTGGCTCGCCTGGATAGGCGCAGCATGTATTATCACTGCAGGTAAGTCTATGATAGGTCCGGTCTAGGTGTTGGTCTAAATATTCGCTAGTCTTTATCGTCACTATCGCCGTTGGAATTCAAGGCCATGCTCCTATGACTGCAGGTGTTATCCCGGAGCCGGACTTTAAGTTGTTTGGCAATCCAACATTTGTGGAGGCAATGACCGCTGTATCCACGATATGCTTGACATACGCTGGGACCCCTGCCTTCTTTAACATTGTCTCCGAGATGCGTGACCCGACGCTCTATACTCGAGCCCTGACCATTTGCCAGATCCTTGTTACTGCCATTTACATTGCGGTTGGAACGATTGTATACTATTACTGCGGATCTCATGTTGCTTCGCCGGCCCTTGGCTCTGCAGGGACACTGATTAAAAAGATCAGCTATGGTTTTGCTCTACCGGGACTGAGTGTGTCCGCAATTCTTCTGCTTCATGTGAGTCCTTCCCCCGCTGGTCGCTGATTGACGTATTGTGCCGTTCGACGGTTGACTCTAGAGGAAGTTACCTGCTAAGCACGTTTTTATTCGCATTCTTCGGGGCACCAAACACCTTACTGCACCCACTCGAATGCACTGGATCGTCTGGCTCGGGTCCACCTTCAGTGTGACCTCAGTCGCGTACATTGTCGCGAGCAGTATCCCTGTTTTCAGTGATCTGGTATCACTTGTTGGGGCCCTTTTAGCAACGTCGTTGTGCTTTCAGCCAATGGGATGCATGTGGTTGTACGACAACTGGGGCCCCGGCAAGCGAGAGAAGTCTCTGAAGTGGTGCTTGGGTGTTGCCTGGTGTATCTTCATCATTTTGACCGGCTTCTTCTTGACAATTGGAGGGACGTATAGCTCCATCGTGAGTATAACTGCTTCTTATCAGAAATCGGGGGGCTCATCTGCCTGGTCTTGTGCTAACAATGATCATTAATGTTGCGTGGTTATGTACCGAATATGCCTGTTACTCTAGGGACGTAGAACTACCTTACTGTCCGATCAATGAATATTCTCCCAAAGAATACATGCTTTCGTAGCTTCAGTCGATGTTCCACAGGCGTAACCAGTATGCCAGGAATATGTAGCCGCTTGAGACAAACTGACCAGAGATACAAAGATAGGATGAGTTACCCTTACTTGAGCCCACACCTTTCCAACATCCAAAACATAATCCCGCTACAAGAACTGCGTCCTTGTACTCTATTGCAATTCAAGTCTATTAGTGGGGGAGGTATCTTGCGTAATACATATCATTCAAGTGATACGTAAGCCCCATCATAAGTATACCTAGACCCAGCCAGCCAGTAATGAGAACTTTGCAGACGAGTGCGAATAAGCAAAATATACCACTCGAAGATTATTACAAGGTCCCACACTCATAACCTACCAGAACAAAACGACTGTCGACTCTCGAGGAATTAAGATAGCGTGCTCTTGGAGGTGGCGGCACATCGAATACTCTTCCTCTTTTCCTAATATTTTGGAAACTCTTTGTACCCGTTATGTGAATGCTTCCTAGCTCGATACTACTGGATGTTCAGCTCTTACCCCAGTTTTACCCCAGCCTTACTCCAGTCTTACCCCGATTTCCTTGAATGGGCAAATGTGGGGGTCGGGCGGGAGGAAACCCCACGGAACTGCTTGCCATTTTTAGGCATGGACCTTGGGAACGACAATCTGGGGCCCAGCAAATTCGACAGTCGCCCAAAAGACCGCGAGTGTAGAGTTAGTGATCACGGATAGATCGGATATAACATCTTTACTGTTAGCATTACGAGAACTTTCCTGTCCTCCGGCCATCTTCCGCAATTTAGCATGCTTTCCATTGTCTGTCCTGCTCGCAGGCCATACACATCGTATTTCCAGAAAACACCAATATCAGCACAATGGTAGACCTTCACGGAATAAGTGGTGGCCTTAATCCACTCCCTTCACGGATGATCAGACGGTCATCGACGAAGGTTGTCTCCAAGTGCTCGTCGAATGACTCATCACGGCTGGTGTCCACGGCCTCGTCCCCGAAAGCCTTTTACCATGCTAGGGCCAGAGTTACAAGCAGAGGTGAAAGCTTTGGTCCAGAGGGGGCGTAGAGACAGTCAAGGCCTAAAATTATGCGCCCACCCTTTGTATCTACGTAATAGACATTATCAAGGGGACCAAAGGTCATTCAGGTAAATCCTCATCCTAGCGTATGCATGACGTGTCCGGGACAAAATATATATATCTCTCGCTCCAAATGCACGCGGGAAGGTCTTAGAGCAAGGGATTAAGAGCTGGCTCTAAAGGCCTGCAGCTTATACAAGGTATGTAGAGGCATACATATAGGCATACTATCTACACGACATATTTAATTAAACAGAGGTGTGAGACGGCTGTCAAGCGACATAATCACAGCCATGTCTACCTACACCTGCCCGGATCGGGCCGTTAGAGGTCATAGGATGTTCAAGGAATGGAAAATCGCGGCCAGTTTCCTGTGAGTAGTTTTCTCTTGTTAGGCCTTACTACCGTGATGTGAGGATATTTTCAAGACATTCTCGTGTTTGATAAGATCTATTGTATATGATTACGATTATTCCGCGTTGCTTCGTTGGGTTGAATATCCTACACCATCTGGGCATTAAAAACATAACTGAGCGGAAGCAAGTCATAGCTTACATTGTAAGATATTACACTTTCATAATCTCCGTCCTTGTACCTGCAGGTTGATGCTGTCTATGGCTTCTTCTTCTTCCTTCCTTTTGTCCTTGAGAACCCACATCTTAGGCTGCATTCGCGACCGAAGCTGCAATACTGGGCCTGAGATATGTACTATAGCCGGATGTGGACGAAAACCCTCTGGACTGATGTCTGTACTACTCACCATACTATCTTGAAAGGGGGAAAGTGCTTGAATCTATCAACATGATTGTGTGGGAAGATATCGGTTAGGAAGAACCATAACTACTAGGCAGCGTCAACATATTAGGCACATACTAGTATTATCAGGGCAGCGCTACGGGTAATATACTAATATGTATAAAACGGACCAATAGCCATATAACCAGTATGCAGCCGGTGCATGAAAGATATGTTTCCTTTTTTCGAAGGTATCAATACCTTGATACAAGCACGAACATATCCTTGGCTAGAAGCCTAGATCTGTACTGAAAGAGATTATTGTGTCTTAAACCTCGACTGAGACAATGCCAGTACTGCTCAGCACACGTACTTTTCGCCTTTCCCCCACGCTCTGGGATCGAATCACTGAGCAAAAAGCGGCCCTGGGCTAGTCCTATTCGGGAAAGGGAAAGTAGCATCCATGATCCATATCGAACCAACTTGAACCTAGTACGGAGTATGAAAATCGACTAAAGTTTAAAAATAGTTAGAAAGCAGTCCTCATCCGATTCCTACAGTCTGCAGAGACTTTTCCATCTTATCTGTCAACTCTCTTTGTAGGACAATTCACGGTGGGGCTCCCAGAAATAAAAATAAAAATAGGGAAAAATGAACCGTTACGGTTCGACAGGATTAAGGTTAGGTTGTTACGTGCTTGTTTTCCCAGGGGGGAAAACGTGGTCATTGGTCATGATTTCATAATTGAATCCTGCACTGTAACCACAGTCGCGGATCGGCTTCATCATTGCTGACGACAGCATCTCCGCCTCCCGTCCCCCCAGTCCTTCCCCACCCCCCGTCCGCTGCTTACTTTCAATACGATTTGAACAGTCGACTGCTAATGTCCTCAGTCGGATGATTATCTTTATCGGAGCGGAGCTCCTTTCCTTGGTTTCACTTTAGGGCCCATCTTGCTGCGTGGCTGTGGCTTGGCTTCTTGTCTTCTTGGCCCCTGACACCGCGGAGACATATGTACAAATAAGAAAATTACTCTCGTTGACCGATCAATTGGCCGTTCCATGAAGTTTCACTTCCTTAGTTTGTAAGTTCCCTCAGCCTGGGTTTTCTCAAAGGCGCCTACAAATCGCTTTCACTGGCCTTTCTCGCGCGGGAGGCTTCGCGGATGAAGTTGTCGGTTCATTTCTTGCAAAGACACCCTGTTCTATTTAACCCTCATTCTAACTGTTTTTTTCCATGGATTGCTGTAGCAACTTTTTATTTAATACGCCTGCTTGTGTGACTGTTCACAACCGCATCTCATGATTTTCTCACGGCGCGCGATTCCCCTCCTCGGCCTCGCCTTCTTCATCGTCTTCCTATACACGGTCAGCAGTCTTTCCCGGCAATGGCGGAATATGCCACAAGTTGTGGGCCTGGGCGACCTGGTTGCGACTCCGTATCCAACGGCGTCTGGCTATGCGAACATCTCTGGGATAGTCGATAGGCCTTCGAGAGAGCCTTACGCGCCTCGACCGCATTATGCGCCTGGTATTCCTAAACCCCCCGGGTCAACATATACGAAGGCCTTAGTGGTGCCACAAGCTGGCGAGGAAGACACAGAATGGATTCAATTGGAAATCCCGGAGTGGCAGCCTGCCGTTTACGTGGTTGACGATCTCTCGGCGCCGTTACACCCTCCCAAGAACAAGGGTCATGAGGTCATAGTCTATTTGAGCTATATTATTGATCACTACGACAACCTACCGGACATTATTGCCTTCATGCACTCACACCAATTCGCTTGGCATAACGACGAGATATTCAACGGGAATGCTGCCGAGATGCTGCAACGTTTAAACCCCGCGCGGGTGGTCCGAGAAGGGTTCATGAATTTGCGTTGTACATGGGCGCCTGGTTGTCCTGATTGGCTCCATCCAGGCACATTGGAGGAGGATGAACATAAGCAAGAAGAAACCATGCTGGCCAGGTCGTGGGGCGAAATCTTCCCGGGTGACCCCATCCCCGATGTCCTCGCACAGCCATGCTGTGCCCAATTTGTCGTTTCCCGGGAGCGCATTCTCGCCATCCCGAAAGCTCGCTTCGTTTACTATCGGGACTGGATCCTTCGAACGGAATTGAGCGACTACATCTCTGGCCGAATCTGGGAATATCTGTGGCATGTCGTGTTTACGGGTGAAAATGTCGTCTGTCCCAAGGAGCACGTCTGTTATTGCGACGGCTACGGAATTTGCTTTGGCGGCGAAGAGAAATATGATGAATTCCGCAGATTGCACTCGGAGAAGGGAGAGTTGGAGGAAGACCTCAAGTTTTGGCGCGGAGAAGCAGAGGCCATCGAAATCGAGCGAATCGTAGGGACCCTAGGCGAACAAAGCCACATCTCAGTGCCCGATCCGGGTAGAGATACCGAGCTGGAGCAGCTAATTCTCGAAAAGGAACGAACAATCGAGGAGATACTACGTAACGCCACAAAGCGCGGAGAGGACCCAAGAGCGAGAGCGTTAGAGGCGGGCAGACTATGGAAGGAAGGTGATGGGTTCTAATTTTCTCACGACTGCACCGGATACTTCACAACTCTCGTCCTCGCTTGCCGGTTAAGGGTCTTACACAAGGTAATGCGCATTTTCGACATTACTGTCCTGCGGTCCCAGTGCTCTTTTCAAGTCTTTCACTTCGCCATACATGATATACGCCCACGCTCACGCTCACGCCCGCAGCCATAGAGTTACCTTCTTGTTTATACTTCCGCGTTTGCATTATTATCTCGGAAAGCGTGATTTTTGCGTGACCCTCGATGTTGTTTAGTTCTACCTTTCTTCCGAAATATTTGGGATTGAACGTTGGATTGCTTCATATTTGTTGCCATATGTTTCAAAAAATGTGTTGATACCTACTCCAATTGCAGTTTGGCTGGTTCCAAATGGATATTGATATGAGCAGAAAAGAATCCATTTTATTCTTTTTCTATTTTTAAATCTTATGTCCATTCTCAAGGGAGTAAATTGACACATTCCATCATGACGTACTGAGTAACCGGAGTAACCCGTCGTTTATAGTCACGTGATACTTTCGGCGGTCGACTGACTTTACAGAGTTTGCATTGTCTGCCCATCCTTCAAACCGCGCAAACAACGTCATCTAGGCCGAACCAAGCGATCTGATTGATTAACTTATCGCGAATCGCGCGAGCTCATTCGGATAGACGTACTGGAGCGTTCTGCTTCCGTATCTTCGTCAGTCTTCTTGGACGACGAGATCTGGCCTTGCGCCCGCTTCACGGAAGCTCCGGGCTCATTGGCGAGTCCTGTTTTTCTTGCGAACCCGCAAGGGGACTGCGCGCAGTTCTTCGCTGAGCGTATTCATTTCCATCGGTCTATGCTACTTACTTCAAGGTAGCTATTGCCTTAGGAATTGACAAGGACGGTTGAACAGTACAAACGACAAGCCTTTAGTCCTCCTGCGGCCCCATTCGTGCGCCAAAAATAAAATCCTCCGCAACCATCATTCGCGCGTCGCGTGGTTATAGTGATCTAAATTGATACCAGTTCTCACGATCCCCGGACTTGGTTCGCTTTTCTCAATCTTCTTTTTTTTTTTAATACATACGCGAGACGTTACTCATTGTGGCTTTCTACGCCCAAGTTGCTGTCATGACGTCTTCTGCCTCCCATCACCAACATCCTTCGACTTCAGCCGCTGAGTTTTCTGCTCATCAAACCGCACCTTCCTCTAACATCGACCCGAACGGTAACATCGCCACGAGTGGCTATGCGCCAAATGAAAGTCAACTTGCTGGGCTGGTAGAAGCTGCTACGGCAGCGGCTGGCCAAGACGTATCGGAATGGGCGGCCGCCGCTGCAGTCGCTGCCGCCGCTGGTGCCGCCGGGCATCAGCATCATCTAGACGGCTACCCTCCGGATATTCATATCGAAGATGATAGCTTTGCAGATGCAGGTTTTGGGACAGGGCTGGGCGCTGGAAGACAGTTACGAGCACCAGGGCCATCCCCCAACGAACATAGTCAGCCTTCGGGACTGTCAAGAACGGTGTCAAAGAAGAGAAAGAGAGATGGTCCTCTCGACCCAGCCTTAACAGCGTCTGGACCTGGTGGTCACCAGCAGCAGCCCCACCAGCACAATTCGCATCATTATGGTGAAAGTCTCGATATCCGGTCTGCACCGCCCCAGTCCTTATCGGAAGCGCGTGCTGTTGGTTTACATTCCGCAGCTGCTTTGTTCCGCCAACCGTCGAGCAACAAGAAGTATACCCGACCACCTATGTCGAAGCTTTTTGCTTCACTAGAACTATCACCAGAGAACTTCCTACATTTACAAGCCGCTGCTAAAGCATATATGCTCGATGACAAACATCCAGAACGACGTGAGTGTGTCGGCCAGCGTGGCAAGGGAGACACGGAAATGGTTAAATTGAGGCTTTGGAATTGTGTGCGCCACTTTCTCGAAATTGAGGGCCATGGTGAACGTTTCTTTGGTGAAAATGTAGTCAACGAGGGCATGGGTCCCAGGACCTATGTATGGCCCCGGGACCAGCAAAAAATCATTGCGCTGGTCATTCCACTGCTACGGCGTATGGTCACCAATGAACGACAGAGGCAATATGCAGTTGAGACGAGGAAGGGAGGTGGATCAGAGGAGCGACGACGAAGGAAAACAGAAGATAGTCTCCAGAATATGAATAGTGCCAGTCCCCCCAAGTTCCCCGTTGAGGAACAACTCCAGATGCACGCACAACATCATCCTCCCGAAGGGTATGCACCAACACACCCCGAGTTGGGGACGACCTCCCAAGACATGGAGTTGGGCCTGACAGATCTCCTCCCTGATGGCTATCCAGCTGACTGGGATGCCATCTCTAAAACATACGAAGCCTACAACCAAAACTACGAGCTCGACAACCTGTGGTATATCTCGGGCCTACAACAGCCAGATTGGCGTGGGTTAGTAGCTGCTGTTGACAGCCATTACCAGGTCTTTCACAACGGTAGTTTTGACTGCCCCACACCATGTGAGGATGAGAATATCAACCATATTTTACATGCAAACTCTGTGTCGGGTTTACGGTGGAGGCTTGGTGGAGATCGCAATCAAGTTGCCAGGAACGAGTTGTATGTTGCCACACTCCCATGACTACTTTCCTCGGTATGTGACATGAAACTAACTCCCTTACAGTGCAAGCAGTATCACCCGCGACCTTTCTCGCATTATCCGTGATAATATCGCCACGAAGCATGGCGTTCAAACGTCTACCGACGACCACGCGTCCATGCATCCATCAAATTTCCCGCCCCTTCCAACGGGTCTAACTATGCCAAACCCGCCAACAACCTCTCAAGCGCCAATATCTTTGCGAATCAATATCATGCAGAACGGGAAACGTGTCCTTCCCCGGGTAGACCTTCCTGCAGGACACTGTCCCGATCTTGAGGCTTTGAAACAGATACTGTGCCGTCGATTCGCGGGCCAGTTGCCAGGTCTACCCTCTGACCCTTCGCTGGACCCTGCAGCCTGGATGTCTTCGGTGGGCTGGAGATTCAAAGTCTGGTTGCCCGAGGGCCTGACTCCTGTCCAGAATGACGGCGAGTGGACGATCGCACTCCTCTCTGCCGGGAACGTCGACTGGATGGACGGTGATCTACGAGTTCTTGTAGAGTTGGAGAGCACCTCTTAGTAGTTATCTCCCATTTGCTGGGTAGCCAATGCACCCTACTCTTCCCTTTGTCCCTTCCTATCTAGGGTCAACAACAGATTTGCCTTCTCACATACCGTGGCCTGTCTTCCCTGGAGGATACGAGCACTAATAATCTTCTTCTATCCCTGTTTTGGGCCTTCTTCTCCATCTACCTACCTCCTTTTATCGTCTCTCTACCTTTTCCTCCTCTCTCCGCTTTGCATATATATCTTTATACCTAACCTTGCTCCTCATTATCGGTGAACGTTGACTTCTTTCGGTTCATACCCTTTTGATGCCCATTACGGACCTGAGTTATCAGGATGAGACATGATGTAAGTGACGCTGGCATTAGTTGCATTTCGGAGGTAGAATAATGCTTTTTAATACGACTTTAAGCGGGCTTTTGTGTTTAGCGTGGTCTGAAATATAGTCTGAAGGTAATGTGACTTCTAAAGTAACTCATTCCCTGGTTTTCAAGAGTAATAGACGTATCTACTAGAGCAGCTACTAGTAAATTTAGACTGCAGGGAGGTTTATATCCGCTATCCGTGTAAAAGTATATATATCGCTCACCCCAAACTCTAACCCAACATTTTCCATTAACCTTCGCTCCTCAACTTAGCGCAGTTGTTGTTATTTCCTAATATTTTTCATTTTCATTGTTGTTTTTCTTCTCCTTTACTTTACTAAAACATCTTGACTACTACTTCAAATGTTACGGGGATGGTAACCCACCTCCGAGCTGTTGCCCTAACTATAATGGGAAAGCCTTTATTTACTTAATACTTGGACAATAGGAAACCTTTGGTACAAGAAAACCATGCCATTCGTATATGGAACGATTGATCACGTCAATATCAGCTAACCAGCCGTATGTTACAAGATAAGATGGACGTGTCGCGAAATGTGATACTAGCTCCGCTCATGACTGGCGGTTGCTAGTTGCTAGCTGACCCGGATAACGGGTTCCACGGATATAGAATATCAGTGGAGTGGTCACTGTATAAGAAACAGTTCCCAACGCGGAGCGTTTACCAGTTCTTTCCGTGCTGCGTGTGATGCATTCGATAAGCTATTCTCATCCTAGAATGCAGTTTATGTTACTCCGTAGCCTTGTGGCCATGGCAATAAAATCACCTCAGGAGCACATGGCACATGTGAGAAGAAGCTTGGGGCCATCGCCTAATAATCATTTTGAGCTCATGGGCTCCTGAGCGAGCTGAATGATGGGTAGTGGCACTGGGAGCCCCGCCGATCCACTGTGTGAATACAAGCCTTGTGTGAATATCGATGAGTGCTTGCTTTAGCTATTGGCTGGTGTCGTCGCACTGTCTTCGCCATCGACCAGTCCCAGCCGAGCTTTCTTAGCTCTGCGCTTCATTTCCCGTTTCGACAGCGGCTTTTCGGTCTCCTCTGCAGACGCTTTTCTCTTGAGAGTGTCGCTGTTGCTCTCGGATTGAGGGGTGTCCTTTTGCTTGGATGCGGCGCCTTTTTGTTTAGACGCAGGCTTGTCGGTCTTCGGTTTCGGCTTTTCTCCACCGTCAATGACATCAATAATGCCACGCCAGCTCGTGCGCTTCAGCTTCGCCAAAGCAACCGTTTTTCTCGCCTCCTCGCAAACAGCCTCCTTGCCGCGCTCTTGTGACAGACCCCAGACGCATGCCAGATTGATCACATCCCATGGCGCCCGAACACCCAGAGCCTTCCTGGCCTCACTTGAGATAATGATTCCTCTTCCGCGTGTTGCGCGGATCAGTGACATAGCATTACCGATGAGGTTGCGACGGGCGTCGGTGCCGCTTCCCGTGACTCCCGGCCCGTAGCATATTTCAAAGCGAATTCCTCGTGCGATAGCGGCGGAGAGCATTTTAAACTTGAAGTGGTATGGCTGTCGCACGGAGAGATCTAAGGAAATCACGTCGCATTCCAGATTGGTGCACGCATTCAAGAGGGCCTTTTCATTGGCCGGGCGGATTGCTACTAGATCATACGCTTGGGTGAGGGTGGTAAGTCGCTGATTCTGCGTGGGGTCGGAGATGGGTAAGTTCACGCGGGTGAGTATCGTCAGGCCCTTGGGAACATTGGTGGGAACAGGTGGGGGAGTAGGATTTGGAGGAAGCTTTCCGTTGAGGGTTTGCGAAAGGGCGATCGTTGTGTAACCGACTGAGACTCAGGTCAGCTTTCTTCCAAAGTGATCATCTCCAACATTGGTCGTGTGGCCGGGAAAAATGACATACGTTCTGCAAGAAAGCTTAAAGTTGGAGAGATCTCGGGATCGTCTGGGCCGCACGGCACGTTCAGATCGTAGAACATTGTGTCTGTTTAGCTTTAAAAGCTCGAGCCAAGCCGGGTGTTCTGGAAATCGTCGTCTAAACGGTGCTTTTGGGGTTCCTCCTCTTCTAGTGCATGAGAAGTATATCTTGGGAACTGTCCGAGAAAGGAAATCAGAAAATCGCCCCGCGTCAATAGCTTCTCCGAACTCCGGTCCAGTCTGATCGATAGCACTGCCACGTGACCCGTGAAGGCGGAGCGAAACGCTCTTAGCCATTCTGATCATCCAACCTCTAATATATAGACTCCCTCTGGTTCATCGTTGCTCGGGGCGATAGCACGGCTGCACTGTTTGGACGGGTCCCTTAGCTCCTAGTCTTGCAGCTGGTGTTGTCTGTCCTTCAATTCGGATATTTGGTCGCGACTATTCCCTCATCACTCCACCCCTCTACCCCGCCGCTTTTTATATTCGACATCCGATTGTGGGCGGACTCGAAATCTGCTTGTCAGCCGCCATCACCATGGCGCGCGTTTATGCCGATGTTAACGAGCATATGCCTCGGTCCTACTGGGATTATGACAGTGTCAACATCTCTTGGGGTGTTCTAGAGAACTATGAAGTGGTCCGCAAGATCGGTAAGGCGCAACAACGGGATCTCTCCGCCGTCACCCAACTACATCGACATGGTTGTCGTGGGGTCAGGCGGTCAGTGCGTGAGGATGATGATTAATGCTAACAATCGCTATTATAGGCCGTGGAAAGTACTCGGAAGTCTTTGAAGGTATCAATGTTGTCAACTATCAGAAGTGTGTCATCAAGGTCCTTAAACCAGTCAAGAAGAAGAAGATTAAGCGTGAAATCAAGATTCTTCAGAATTTGGCAGGTGGTCCCAATGTGGTAGCTTTGTTGGATGTGGTCCGCGACAGTCAGAGCAAGACCCCGAGTCTGGTTTTCGAAAATGTGAACAATACCGACTTTCGCACCCTCTATCCGCGATTCTCCGACTACGATGTCCGCTACTATGTCTATGAGCTCCTCAAGGCGTTGGACTTCTGCCATAGCAAGGGTATCATGCATCGTGATGTGAAGCCGCACAATGTCATGATCGACCATGAGAAGCGCAAGGTGAGTCTTTCATGGCTGTATTGATGTAAATACATATACTGACCTATCTCCAGTTGCGTCTTATCGATTGGGGTCTTGCCGAATTCTACCATAAGGGCACTGAGTATAACGTCCGTGTCGCTTCTAGATACTTTAAGGGCCCTGAGTTGCTCGTTGATTTCCAGGAATACGACTATTCTCTGGACATGTGGTCACTTGGTGCCATGTTCGCATCTATGATCTTCCGCAAGGAACCTTTCTTCCATGGAAACAGCAACTCGGACCAACTGGTGAAGATCGCCAAGGTCCTCGGTACGGAGGAGCTCTTTGAGTACCTGGATAAATATGAAATTGAGCTGGACCCTCAATATGATGAAATCCTTTCCCGTTTCCCCCGCAAGGCCTGGCATTCCTTTGTCAATGCCGAGAATCAGCGCTTCGTCTCTGATGAGGCAATTGATTTCCTAGACAAACTTCTCAGATACGATCATGCGGTATGGCTCATGAAAGCTCTCTCAATTCCGTAACATATCACTGACTGTCGTCTAGGAACGTCTTACCGCACAGGAAGCCATGGCTCACCCCTACTTTGATCCTGTCCGGCCAGAAGTGCAAGCTCAGAACAACAGGGGATTGTAAACATAAACCGCAAGCGCGCATCAGAGCCTTATAGCTATTATACACCGAAACCTCGGGTTTACTGCTTAGCGCCCTCCGCGATTATTGACAATCTGCTGCTGCTGATAAACATCGATTTAGTTTACATTTTGAGTGCCTTGGGTTGAGACAAGGAGATGGTTTTATTACAAGAAAGAACTACAAACGGCGACGTAGCAAATAATTGTTGCGTCGCTCTGGACAAGAAACACTGAAAGCGCCATGGATGTGATGAGTTATGCCAGATGGACGGAGACGACGACGATGAACAGATGACATACCCTTAATACGATGGGCCCCCGAGCCCATCTCAGCTCATTACTCTTGGCGCACCAAGTGAGGGGATTTATTCGATGGTGTTTAGAGTGAGATCAACGGACTTTGGCTGCTTGTGTCTTCTGCGCAAGCACGGCGATTTCAGTCTTGTGCAGTTTCTACCCTCCCCCCTTTCCTCGTAACTGTTGGACTGTTGTCAATGGGATTTTCTTCTTCGCTATCATTTTTGCATTTCGAACTTTGTCACTTCCACCCTTTGATCACATTTCCTGTCTGCAACTCCTTACATACTGCGTCATTGAAAGGCGTGAGGGTCTACATAGTTTGGTGCTTTATGAATCTGGGCTTTCTTTTTCTTTCAGGAGACTATCGAATGCATCGTGGAATAGTTCCATCCCACTTGATATCTTGAGTGCAGAGGTTATATAGATGGCGCCGGGCCTGAAAAGAATCCAGGAGATTGGTCTCCGGAGAACAATAAACAATCCTCGTCTCGATCGTATATTTGACAGCAGCAGTATTCCTGCCGTATCAGATCCCTCTCCAGAGTACTTTCCCTCTAGTGACTGGACGATATAATCACGTGACATGACTCATGGGCGATCGCATAAAAAGTCGAGAGAGAAGTTGACAAGACCGAGAGAAGAGTGAAAGAAGGAAGAAAAGTGGTCAATCCGAGGATTCTTTGGGACTTTGAACTGCCCGACCCATGCCTCAGGCTTAAATCCTACTCTAACCTCCACTGGAACCAATCGTTCTCCACCGGTGGTGTTTTTTTCTGGGCCCCGCACTCATCTTCCAACCTCTGATTCGTTCCGTTCTTTGCTCTGCGCGCCAGGAAATTTAATTGCCCGCATTCGCACAACGAGCGACCCCTCCCCCTCCTTGTTCTCTATCGCCGTTGGAGTCACCGGTGGTCAAGATACTTATCCGACAATTCGTGGCGCGATCGGCGCCTTGGAGATTTCCCCCTCCTCTCTATCGATCATTTTCCAGGATGGCCCAGCCTTCTGCCCCCCAAAATCCCAGTAAGTTCTCTTGGTTCGCCATGACTCATTATCGGGCCCATCTGCGAGCTATAGATCAGAAGCTAACGGAATCGTGTGTCATGACAGCTGGTGAGCCCACGGCTCCCGTGGTTGATACTCCCCCCCAAGCCGATGACCAGACGAGAAACCAAAATGCCGACGCGGCTGCTCCTAAGGTGAAGACCGAGAAAGAATGTATGTTCCTTGTCGTTCACGAACCTGGCGCATAAGTGCGTCGACTGGCTATCGCAACGTCTGACACCAGCTCTGAATGTATAGTGGAGCGTGAGCGGCGCAAGGCCGAGAAGGCGAAGAAGTTCGCTGAGAAAAAGGCCAAGGCAGCAGCTAAGCCTGCCCCTGCCCCCAAGGCCGAGAAGAAAGAGAAGAAGGTCGAGAAGGAGAAAACCACCGATGCGTACGATCCCAAGGTCATCGAAACCGGCCGTTATGAATGGTGGGAGGAGCGCGGTCTTTTCAAGCCCGAATTCGGTTCTGACAACAAGGTCAAGCCTGAGGGCTACTTCGTCATTCCTATTCCTCCTCCTAATGTTACCGGATCTCTTCACATGGGTCACGCCCTCACCAATGCCCTCCAAGATACCATGATTCGTTGGCAGCGTATGAAGGGCAAGACTACCCTGTGGTTGCCTGGTATGGACCACGCCGGTATCTCCACCCAGAGCGTCGTGGAGAAGATGCTTTGGAAGAAGGAGAAGAAAACCCGCCACGATTTGGGTCGTGAGGTTTTCACAGACCGCGTGTGGGAATGGAAGCACGAATACCACGCCAACATCAAGAACGCCTTGCGCAGAGTTGGTGGTTCCTTTGATTGGTCTCGTGAGGCCTTCACTATGGACCCTAACCTGTCCGCTGCCGTCACCGAGACTTTCGTTCGCCTGCACGAAGAGGGCATCATCTACCGTGCCAACCGCTTGGTTAACTGGTGTGTGGCTCTGAACACCTCCCTCTCCAACCTGGAGGTAGAGAACAAAGAGGTTGAAGGACGTACCCTGCTGGATGTGCCCGGCTACGAAAAGAAGGTCGAGTTTGGTGTTTTGACTCACTTCTGCTACGAGATTGATGGCACCAAGGAAAGGATTGAGATTGCCACTACACGTCCTGAGACCATGATTGGTGATACTGGTATCGCCGTTCACCCCGAGGATAAACGCTACCAACAGCTGATCGGCAAGTTTGCCAAGCACCCCTTCGTGGACCGCTTGCTTCCGATCGTTGCAGACACCGATGTGGATCCTGAGTTCGGTACTGGTGCTGTGAAGATCACCCCGGCTCACGATTTCAATGACTTTAACCGTGGAAAGGCCCACAACCTCGAGTTCATCTCCGTGATGAACGACGATGGTACCTTCAACAAGAACGGTGGTATCTTTGCCGGTATGAAGCGTTTCGATGCTCGTTACAAGGTCATCGAACTTCTGAAGGAGAAGGGACTCTACGTCAAGTGGGAGCACAACCCTATGAAGATCCCTCGCTGTGCCAAGTCCAACGATGTTATCGAGCCCATCCTCAAGCCCCAGTGGTGGATGAAGATGGAAAGTCTTGCCAAGCCTGCCATCGAGGCTGTCGAAAAGGGTGACATTGTCATCAAGCCAGAGTCTGCCGAAAAGAACTACTTCCGCTGGATGAGGAACATTAACGACTGGTGTCTGTCCAGACAGTTGTGGTGGGGTCACCAGGCTCCTGCTTACTTTGTTAAGATCGAGGGTGAGGAAAACGACGACAGTGACGGCAACCTCTGGGTCAGCGGCCGTACTGAAGAGGAGGCTCGGAAGAAGGCCGAGGTCAAGTTCCCTGGCAAGAAGTTCGATTTGGTGAGGGATCCTGATGTGCTCGACACCTGGTTCTCCTCTGGATTGTGGCCCTTCTCTACCCTGGGCTGGCCCAACAAGACCCATGACCTTGAGAACTTGTATCCTACTTCCGTTCTGGAGACTGGTTGGGATATTCTTTTCTTCTGGGTCGCCAGAATGATTATGCTGGGTATCAAGTTGACCGGCCAGGTTCCCTTCAGGGAGGTGTACTGCCACTCTCTGATCCGAGACTCGGAAGGCCGTAAGATGTCCAAGTCTTTGGGTAACGTCATTGACCCCATTGATGTTATGGAGGGTATCCAGCTCCAGACCCTCCATGATAAGCTTCTTCTTGGTAACCTTGCCGAGAAGGAGGTTGCTACTGCTACCAAGTATCAGAAGAAGGCTTTCCCTAAGGGTATCCCTGAGTGTGGTGCTGATGCTTTGCGTTTTGCCCTTGTGTCTTACACTACCGGTGGTATGTAACTTTCAAATCTTCCCTAACTTCGACGCATCATGTCTAACTATTTCCCAGGTGGTGATATTGCATTTGACATTCAGGTTATCCACGGATACCGTCGCTTCTGTAACAAGATTTACCAGGCCACCAAATACGTCCTCGGCAAGCTGGGTGACGACTTCAAGCCTCAACCTGCCGTTTCGAAGACTGGTCGCGAGTCCCTTTCCGAGCGCTGGATCTTGCACAAGTTCAACTCTGCTGCCAAGGAGATTAACGAGGCTTTGGAGCAGCGTGAGTTCAACGTTGTTGCTACTACTGTGTACCAGTACTGGTACGCTCAGCTCTGTGATGTCTTCATTGAGAACTCCAAGTTCCTCCTCGCTCCTGAAGTGCCAGCTGAGGTGCAGGAGTCGGCTAAGCAGACTCTCTACACTGCTCTTGAGGGTGCTTTGGCCTTGATCCACCCCATCATGCCCTTCGTCACTGAGGAGCTCTGGCAGCGTCTGCCCCGCCGTCCTAACGACAACACTATTTCCATCATGAAGGCCCGGTACCCCGAATATAAGGCTGAGTTCAACGACCCCGAGGCTGAAGCTGCCTATGAACTTATCTTGAAGACCTCTGGTGCCATCCGTTCGATTCTTTCCCAGTATGAGGTCAAGACCAAGGGAGACATCATCATCCAGACCTACGATGCCACCAGCCACAAGACCCTCTCGGACGAACTGACCAGCGTCAAGTCTCTGGGTGGTAAGTTCCTGGGCGATCTCAGCATCCAGGGTCCAGAGACTACTACTCGGCCATCGGGCTGCGTGGTGTCTGCTGTTGGCTCTGAGGCAGCTGTCTTCCTCCGCGTGTCCAAGGAGGTCGCTCTTGAACAGGAGGAGAAGGCCAAGGCCAGCCTTGAGAAAGCCCGTGCTGTCGTGACTCGTCAGACTAACCTCATGAGCAGTGCTGCATGGAAGGAGAAGGCCAAGCCTGAGGTGCGCGAGATGGAAGAGAAGAAGCTCAAGGATGCCGAGAGCGAGACTGCTCGTTTGGAAGAACAGATTCGCGAATTCGAGAAGCTGCGGTTAGAGTAGAGAGTAGATGAGCTCTACATATAGTTACCCTATAAAAGGTGAATTTAAGACCGTTCAAATAATTACTTTGTACCTTCATTTTTGTTGTCATTTCTAGTACACGAGGTATACATTGTTTCCTGGGTGACGGCTTTAGGATAGTTGACATACTGCCCTGGTCCTTGTCAACCTTCCTGTAGGATATCGAAAGCAAGATATTATTCAAGCAGGATCCTTTGGGAGGCTGACTGCATAGTGGAGATGGATGTACTCCGTATGTATAACAAAACAGAGGGCTGGGTGGTAATAAGCTTATCGATAAGAAACGCCAAGACCTTTCCGCCAAAACTTTTCGTTCCGCCTTTTTCTAATTTTTGATCTTCACTAGAGATCAGCCGCTGAGCAGGCACCATCTGGAAGTTTTTCCACCGCGAAGCCATATTTCAAGATGATGCTCAGAGAAGTGTAAGCTCTGCCATAGATATCTGTCCTAGGATGCGTATGACGTCGGAATACTAACCGGTGAAAAATCTCTGCGACAGAAAACCCAAGAATCCGCGCACGGCGCGAATTCTCAAAGCCAAAGAACCCCAGCTCATCGAAGGAGCCAAGCGCACATTGTTACTGCACGGCTCGAAATGCCCGACACCGCTCCACACGGTTCTTAAGACTTTGCACTCCCTGACCCGGCCGAACTCGCTCCTGTTCCACAAGAAGAATGAGAATATTCGCCCATTCGAAAGTGCCGAGAGCCTCGAGTTCTTGGCCGATAAGAACGACTGTGGTATGGTGGTGTTCGGCAGCAGCAATAAGAAGAGACCGAACTGCGTGACTATGGCTCGGGTTTTCAATGCCAAGCTGCTCGACATGTGTGAATTGTTGTTGCTTCCTAGCCCGGATGGAGACCAGATTCCCTCGATGAACAACCTCACCATGAACGTTGGGATGGGATTACGGCCGCTGCTGCTTTTCTCCGGAACGCCCTGGGATGATCCTACGTCGTCGGTGCATGTCATGCTGAAGAGCATGTTCATGGATATGTTCAAGGGCGAAACCACGGATAAGATTGATGTGGAGGGCCTGCAATATGCGCTCATGGTTGCGGCCGAGGAACCCACCGAGGGCTTGTCGCCTGTTATTCACCTGCGGTGGTACAAGATCAAGACGAAGCGCAGTGGACACAAGCTCCCCCGGGTGGAGTTGGAGGAGATCGGTCCCAAATTTGACTTCAAGGTTGGACGTATCCAGGAGGCTCCTCGGGATGTCATGAAGGAGGCTATGAAGCAAGGCAAGCGGCCTAACGAGGAGATTAAGATGAAGAAGAACATTGGCATGGATTCCATTGGTGATAAGATCGGTCGCGTGCACTTGACCAAGCAAGATCTGGGCGGATTACAGACGAGGAAGATGAAGGGTTTGAAGCGGCGTGCCGGCATGGAATCGGATGAGGAGGATGCCGATATGATGGATGTGGATGAGGTTTCCGAGGATGAGGGCCGGAAGAGGGCTAAGACGGCTTAAAAATGTATTCATTTGATGAAAGTTCCCTCTTTTTTCTATCACGCACGAGGCGTTACCGGCGGATTGGTTTCTCTGTTGACTATGCCAAGCAATATAGCTGCTTCTCTATAAACCCCGTTTGATGTTGTTCATGTGTATAGATTTGCACTACTGCTCTCTACAACGAAAAAAAAAAGTTCGAGTAGGTATGCCGGTTACATTTCCAGCCCTAATACTTACTACTATTACTATAGAGTAACTGTGGGGAACAATAGAAAGGCTATGGTTATGTAGTAAGAAGTATGTCCTTTTTGCACTATATATCGCTATCTTAAGATATTAATTTAAGTATATTAAAGTGATTTTGAGTTCTATTAGCTTCATATAGAGATCAATATACTTAATATATAGATATGAAGTATTGATAAAGTATGTTAAGAATAGTGTTGTAGTCTATTCCAATTTATATTTAAGTAGGCTTCAGCAGAACTCATTGAAAGCTGGGTTACTGAACCAGAATTTCCTGGTGTGACCATCAAAGAACCCCATGTTCCTCTTACTTGGATGGCCGGGGATACTGGTTTATAGTTTGTAGTCATGTGTCAGAGAGAAGCATGTTCAAGAGCAAGAGTTCTTTGACCAAGTGGATTCGGTGACTGGGACACTGGATTAATCTCATGATCGTATCTTGCTTTCTGCACTCCACTGAGAAACCTAGCTAGAAGACTACTAGGATTCACCCAGTCATCAGATGACCAATGCGAAGGACATTAACACTACCAATGCAAACGGAATGAGTACAAGATAGTAACACTCTCCTAGTGGTGGTGGTTGGCGTTTGATCACCGCAAATCGAACTTCCTCCTTTGGGAACACGGCTTGAGCATGATTCGGATAAGGCCCTAGGGCCAATCCGCGGTTCAGGTATCGTAATGGCCAAATACTGCACCTGAGGGGAGTGAAGCTTGAGGTCAGAGTAAGATAGCATAGGAGTAACACTGGCGGCCAGGCTACTGTGGTAAAGAGTTGATCGGGTTCACGTTTTTATTGCTGATTGAGTACGCTATCGTGACGGATGTTTCCAGAAAAATATCATATTTATCAGAACCGTGGGAGCAGGAAAGCCTTTGCAGAATTGCTTCACTTGTGATTGACGGGCAGTTGGCAAATTCCACCGGTTCTGAGTGCTCCCTGTGACCACAGACCTAGCAGGTCGTTTACCGGATAACTGGGAAGAGGAAAGGGAAAAATGTAAGAGGGCATACACGTGTCCTTCGAATAGCGTTAGAATGAAAAAATGAAAGCTGGAGTTAGTCCTACACTCACGAGTTGCAAGAAATCATTCTCTCAAGTGGTGAAGGGTTGATACACGAAATCCTGTGTGCGGAGCTCTAAGCCACTCATATAGCCAGAAAGTTGAGATATATGAAATCGCAAGGACCATCTGCAGCCTCAGCATGGTGGTGGGAACAAGCTGCTGTCCTGAAGCTAATGCAAGCGGATTAAAAATATTCGTCAAAAATCTAGCCACAATCTCCCAGGTAAGGCTGAACCCGATCCATGCGAGAGCTGACGATATCGTGGTGATATAGAGTTGCTTGGACATGGACTCTTAAGTTAGCATCTGCTCCGATACGCTAACTTTGTGACGGCTAGTCTGGAATACGTGTCCTTCGAATGACGCAGGGATTAACCCTAACTGGACCATTCCTGTGAGGATGAGGATCTGATCCACCGACTGGGTGAGAATGAACGATAATGTGACGTCCTCTACTGTTCTGAGTGTGGGAAAGCCACCGGCCTTAAGGAGTTTACTGTAACGAATGACACACCCTGACCCAGAAGCGAAGCTTTTGCCTAACCTGTTTGACTGGGGGATTTTGATTGCTGAATAGTAGTTCAATGCCTGGTGAAGAGAATCCCCATCGGGGAGGTTATAATAGTACTCCCCATAACATGGTATAAAAACGTCCACCAGTGGCAGGTCTTGCTGTCCCATCAAACGGAGCCGTGGAAGATGGAGGTCAAGTTCCCCTTTAGCACTGGCAAGTGTGAATGATTGTTCCCCACAACATTCATCTGGACTAATGGTAGCAGTAGTGGTTGTATGTGGAGTCATTAATACGGCGATGAAGAAAGAAACACACACATAAAGGTGCACTCAACCAAGAAAAAGCAGCACATGAGGGAGGTTGTGTTGACTGAAAAAATAAGACATAGCAAACGGATAATTCCATAGATGGTCGATAACCAGAGAGCGACTTGGGCAATATGGGTGAATCTTGATACTTTTCCAACTGTTAATTCCTGGATCTTGTAACGAAGTGTTTTGATCATCTTGTTATGATAATGAAAACGATAGCTCTCGCATTAAGATAGTATATAAATGAAGTTAAGGTTCAGGAACGGAACAGAAAAGAAAAAGCATTTCTATAGAAACTTGGATAGAGAAATGATAGCCCTGCTTGTGGGTCAGTGACATGAATTTATACTTCCACCACTGCGGGGTTCTTCTGCTGCAGGTGAAGAACTTTTGCACAGTCAACCCTCTTGAGATCATCGAAGGCGGTGGTCCTATCCTACTTCTTAACTCAAGATGAACGCCTCAAGCAAACATGCACAGTATGATGATGACAGATCAGCTCCGGCATCAAACAGTCTCCCTTTGAGTAGTGGGTCCACTGCCCACGATATTCTTGAAGCATTGGACTTGGATCCGGCTTTGAATAGGAAGATGCATCTGGTGAACAATGTAAATTGTTTTGATCTATATGCGCATCCTGTCTTCGAATATGAAAATTAACGCGAGAAAATTACAGGCTCTGGACAAGATCGGGTGGACACCATATCACTGGAGGCTTTTCTTCCTTTGCGGCATGGGGTATGTACGTTCGATTGCAATCACTGTGTCTCTAGCGAACCCGGCTCATGATCATTACCAGATACGGCGTGGACGCCCTTCAGGTGTCTCTCCAGGGTATCATCGCTACCCAAGCAGCGTATGAGTTTCAGCCCTCCTACCCAAAGGGTCTCACAATAGCACTGTATGTAGGCATGCTAGTAGGCGCATTGTTCTGGGGTCTGAGTGCCGACATCGTTGGTCGGAGACTCGCATTCAATATATCGCTGTTTATTTGCTCTGCCTTCACCATTGTCGCCGGTGCATCTCCTAGCTGGGCATCACTGGGATTCTTCATCGCTTTCTCCGCGTTCGGCGCTGGGGGAAATCTGATCCTTGACACCACTGTTCTCCTTGAGTACTTGCCGTCTAACAAGCAGTGGTTGGTAACGGGACTTGCGGCTTGGTGGGGGGTTGGATGTACGATTGCCGGATTGGTAGCATGGGGGTTTATGCGTGAGTTCATTCAATAGCTAGAATGGGACTGTCTCTCACAGTGGTTATGATTAGCAAATTATAGTTGCTCCAATCCCAGCAAAGCCCCATTCATGCCTTGCACCAAAGCGAACAACAGCGGCTGGCGATACCTTATGTATACGATGGGAGCGATGATCTTGGTGATGAGCATTGCTCGAGTGGCACTGGTCAAGTTTAAGGAGACTCCCAAGTTCAGGCTAGGACAGGGGAAAGACGCAGAGGTGGTTGAGCATTTCAATCAACTGGCGGGAAAATACCATCGATCCTGTCCGATCACTCTCCAACAGCTCGAGGACTGCGGGACTATTACAACTGCACACTCTCGGTCCTCACAGTTTTCCGTTAGCGAATTCTCGATCCATCTGCGTAGTCTGTTCTCAACGAGGAAACTCGTCCTCTTAATGGGCCTCCTCTGGCTGTCCTGGCTAATGCTCGGTCTCGCATATCCATTGTTCAACGTATTCCTGCCGACGTACCTGGCCAGCCGGGGAGTCAAGTTCGGTGTGACGAGTACTTACGAAACGTGGAGAAACTACGCTCTTGCTCAAGTGTGTAGCATTTTTGGGCCTATTGTCAGTGCATATTTGGCGAACCGACGCTTCTTAGGACGACGATATACCATGGTCATTGGTGGTCTACTTACCAGTACGTTTCTGTTGACCCATGTAATTTTTCTTTTTCCTTGCCCCTGGCTAACTGCTTACCAGTGGCATTTTTGTTTGCTTATTCTCAGGTCACATCCCAGCAACAGAATGTTGCTTATACGTGTGTCATTTCTTTCACCTTGCAGATCTACGCCGCTTGTCTGTACGGATATACGGTTGAGGTCCTACCGTCGGCCCACAGAGCCACCGGGAATGGGATCTCGGTGGCTCTCCACCGTTTCATGGGTGTTATGTCGGCTGTTATTGCGACCACAGCAAATACTGATACTTCCGCACCGGTCTTTATTTGTGCGGCGCTGTATGGGGGTTTGGCTCTGTGTGCGGTTTTGCTCCCATTTGAGCCATGTGGGAAGCGTGCCTCGTAGATTGATTGGTATTCATTTTAGTAGGTTAAAGTGGTCTTCTGGGAGAGCGAGTATATGTGTATGTATGCCTGACTGCCTGAGGATCGGCCGTGGTCAGCCGACCGCCACGTGACCAGTGACGTTTTTGGGGAGATTCGGCGCGAGACTCACATGCCGAGGGATCTTTTGCACTTGCGCGGATGCAGAAGATGTCCTTAATTGCCGCTGCTCCCCACCTGCCTGTGGTCCTGGCTTCTCAATTACTATATTTATTTTACTCTCTAAGAGAATACTTCCATTCCCCATCTTATGACCGCCCCATGATTTGAAACACATTGGGTGATCTCCGTCGGTGAACCTGTCCCCCCCAATATCGACCTGCGCTGCTCATCCGATCGGCCTGCCGAGGTCCCCGACGAGTTACTATGGATGCCCTCATGGTAGGATGCGATGTTACCTCACTACCCTCCAGTCGCCCGCTCATATCTTTCTAATCGCCGTATAGTCCCGTTTAGATGTTCTGGTCACCAACCCCGACCTTGCACCTCTCCTCGCGCTAGTTAAGACTGTCCGTAATGGCGCAGTATACGGCGCAAAAGTGCGGTTTCCGCATGCTTTGGTGTATGTCCACGACCGGAGAAGATTCCACTTCACGGGGAACTATAGCTGATATTTTGATGTATTCCATTATAGAATGATCTTTCTCTTTCGCTCTGGAACGTAAGGAATCCCTTCTGGGCACGGCAGCTATACCAGACAGTGTGCTGATAGACTCTATAGCTTCCGAGAAAAAGCAAAGCTTGTCCTGAAAGCCACACGGCAGCATGCCCGGAACCTCGCGACCTTCGCTTTCATATACAAGAGCTCTATGATTGTGCTGCGAAACGTGAACCCCTCTGGAGTCGGAAAGGAGGGACGATTTGACAGCTTCTTTGCTGGTCTGCTGGGAGGGTATGCCGTGTTCGGCCGGAACAAGACGAGTATTACCCAGCAGGTACGGACTATAAACACCCTAGCATGGATGAACCTGGGCTAACGTAGACCATGGTAGATTGTCATTTACATTTTTGCCCGGGTGCTGTTGGCTCTTGCCAAGCTGTCCGTGCAACCGAACATGCACCCCCTCTCCTCCCTCATAAACCCCGGTACTCGAGCCGACATAGAGAAACATGCATGGCCAGTCTTTGCCAGCGTGAGCTGGGCGATGGTTATGTACCTCTTCCGCTGGCACCCGGACTCCCTCATGTCGAGCTTGAAGAGTAGCATGGTTTACATGTATGTCCCTTTATGCTTTTTAATTCCTCCCGATGGTTCCTGACTGACATTTCATAGCTATTCCGACTGCGATCACTGGGATTCATTCCGCAATCTCTTGATCCACAACAAATAGACGACCTTACATCAGTGTGCGATTTATCTTGAGCGGCCGGGTCAGCACTTTTACTTCGGCGTATAGACGGCGCTTGTGTTTTCACTTCTTGTCGATTTTTTCCTCTGTATTATCTTTACGTTTGGATGGGCTGGACTAAGATATCCTATTTGAACGGGGGTGCTGCCCACCGTGCGCAGCCCAAGTAAGCTGCTGAGTGATGAAAGCCCTCCCGCAGGCGGATGGGGGAGTTGATGCTGCTAGGGCATATGGGCTCAAGGATTGTAGATAGGCTAGAGCAATTCAAGCCATACCGAATTCTGAGACCCGGATGGAACGAAAGAATAGCGGTCTTCCGCAGGAATGGGCCGCAAGAGAGGGTATCCAGCTAGCCGTGTAGAGTTTTGGCAATCTGCATACTCATGACAAAAATATGGAATTCTGAAATGAATTCCGGTTTACTGTATGGCACCGGCAGATTCGAGGAATTTGGCAGCGTCTTCATTACCACAATCATTAGCCCATCGCAGTGGGGTCCAGCCATGGTGGTCTTTCGCATTGAGATCAGCACCATTCTCAAGAAGGAGCTCTGTGATATCACGAATGGACCGAGTGGAAGGGTTTGAGGCCCGCGGTGGAGACATGATGCCTGTGTCATTTTCCCTTTCAGGGAGAACTTGAAAAATTTCTGTATGCGAACTCTGAGCAACCCATGATAGTGGCGTCCGACCATTAATATCCCTTGATTCCACATTTGCACCCGCCTGAAGTAGGATCCTCATAATATTCATGTCATTCCACCCCTCACTATTCCATGGGTTATAATACCCCCAAGCACGTACATGAAAGACATAGTTCTTGCATCGACCAGCAGTCCACGACAATGGCGTCCGGCCAACGTCATCCTTAGATTCAAGTGCTGCACCATTGTCAAGTAGGATTCTAATGCCGTTCTCGTTGTTGCTATTCTCAGCAGCCCACGACAATGGTGTCCGACCAGTATTATCCTTCGCGTCGACTGCTGCACCTTTTTCAAGTAGCATCGTGATAGTGTTGTCATTGCTCCTCTCAGCGGCGAATGATAGTGGTGTCCGACCATCGCAGTCGCTCAGGTTAACATCAGCACCATTGTCAACAAGCAATCTGGCAATCTCTTCCCGGGTATTTTGGGCATTCCATGAAAGATATGTAGGTTCTATGTTCTCGATGGCCACAAATGTGCCCCGTTCATCGTGGTGGACGACGGTGACAGTTTTGCATTTGTTTAACAACAACAACAACAGTGGGGTTCTTTTCTCATCGTCCAAGGCGTTCACATTGACTCTACCAGACTTGAGGAGCACTCTAACGATCGCTAGTTGATCGTCCAAAATAGCCAAGATTAGCGGTGTTCGACCAAACGCATCTCTTCTGTCAGCATCAATCCGGTCGACAGCCAGCAAGACCTTCACAATTCCTTCGTGTCCACACGCAGCCGCCCGTGCAAGTGGAGTATTGCCAGCTTCATCCTGTAAATTCACTTCAGCACCACTCTCAAGAAGCAGCTTACAAATGGCCTCATGCCCATTACTGGCGGCATATAACAGTGGAGTCATGTCATTTGCATCCTGTGAATTCACTTCAGCACCACTCTCAAGAAGCAGCCTACAAATGGCCTCATGCCCATTACTGGCGGCATATAACAGTGGAGTCATGTCATTTGCATCCTGTGAATTCACTTCAGCACCACTCTCAAGAAGCAGCTTACAGACAGCCTCATGTCCATTGGCAACAGCATATGACAGCGGTGTCTGGCCAAAGCGGTCTTTTGAGTCTAATTCAGCGCCATTCTCAATAAGCCACTTCACGATAACCTGCTGGCCCATACTAGAAGCACGTGATAGTGGTGTCCGTTGAAAAACGTCTTGTAAATCAATGTCGATTTGGTCTGATCTAATTAGGAAGGCCATAAGGATCACCTCATCATCTTGTTGGAGGAGGTGAAAGGGTACCCCCCTCTCTCGGTTAAAGACAAAATTACGTCTGAAACTGACCTGTTTATTTGCATCTTGACAATACTGCTTGTACGCTATGCGGAGCAAAGATGTTGGGGGTGTCGCGTGCACTTGAGCCTCTAGAAAGGCGCGGACCGCTTCGCCGCTATTTGTAGCCAGCGCTGCAAATATTGGCGCCCCATAACGGCCGCTCATCACTTCAAAGCAGCATAGATTCGATGGATGGATGCTAATGAGATTTCCCAGATTATGTTCTGCCAATATGGATAGGAAGCTCATGTCGGGAGTGTACCGGCGCACTTGATACTTTTCGAACAGATTGTAAAGCGGAATCCATCGGTCAAGCTGGAAGGTCTGGATGAAACCTAACTGGTTGACACCGCCTCCTTCAGCCGCGTCTCCATGGTACAAAACATTTTGAATAGCATATTTCAAGAATGGAAATTCTCTATCAACAGACTGACGGAGCTGTGTAGCTTCTGGAGACGATGCTTTGGGGAGAAAGAGCCCTAGATTTGTCCCGGTGGCGATAGTCATCTGCGTGAGGCAACATTGTTTTAAACGCTCATGGCTTTGTCCTTGAAAATTCGTTCCAAGGTCTGAAAAGATTTCCATTAATCCATTCTCTCTCAAGAGAAAGTCATTGACTGACTCGTGGATGAATTGGACTGTTTGTGTTTTGCCCTTGGTGACTTCAGCAAGTCCTTTAGAGCAATCGAGAACATATCGGTCCATAACGGATGGTGTTATCATATCAGGATCCCATGCTGACAAAGGTTTAATACCAGAATGAATAGCAAAGTAGAGTTGTTCTCGCGTCAATGGTTCCTTCGCAAACAGGACCCACTGAATGCATAGCAGTAACCGCCCGTTTTCGCGGCTGTCACGAATTAAGATATCCCGGAATAGCCGGTGTAAGTCTCCTGGGATCGCTCGAAGCCGTTCCTGAAGCTCATCAACATTTCCACTATCGTACTCCTTGTTCAAAATGCCTACGACTAACACCACCCACATAAATACCCCTAGTGCCTTGTCCTGAATAGTACTGGAAATCTGCTTGGCAGGATCAGTGTCTCCGATATTCAACTCAGTATCCAAGTAGTTGGCAATATCTTGGCGGTGTCCTTCTTGTCCTTCAAGAACTAGGGTGGTGCCTTTTCGAATGGTGATATGAGGATAGTGTCGGCTTGAAAGGCAGACATAGAATTGAATACCAGCAGAGGTTGTGTCTCCACCTATGACTTGGAAGAAGCTGATCATGTCTCGAATCTCATCCTCGGCGCACTCATCCAAAGCGTCGATAAAACAGATCAAACGATGCTGTCCAAGACGCTGCACAGCTTCTTCAAAAAGTTCTTTAAGTGACTCAACATCCCATTTATGAGGTCTCCCATTGCGTGTTGACGTGGTCGACTCGAGAGACTCAAAAACATCTTGAAGCTCTGGCAGCCCCTTGAGGAGCTGCAATAACAATGATCGATACATCCCAAGGGTAGACTTTTCCAAATTGTCACCGCGTGCGTTGAAGAAGAAGGCAATAAAGATATTGTTCTTTTCCTTATATTTCCTTCGCGTTTTCTCCAAAGCGAACTTCATTAAGGTCGATTTCCCGGCTCCAGGTTTTCCCTTGATCCATAAGAAGCCGTTATGTTTCATTACTTTCTTCTGGTCAAGCCAATCAAGATATTCACCCTGTGTTAGCAACCATTTGCAGGTCTTGACATGGGCTTTCTTAATATTAACGTGGCGGGCATCGATTTGGTCAAAATATAACGAGTCAAGCAACTCACGTTTCTGTTGCTCGTTGAGTGAATATTTCTCTGTTTCTTTGGGTTGTTGACCAAGGGTATCAGTTTTTCGATCCGGACTCAAGTTGATTTCTCTATTTCCGACCATGCCGATCTGAACGTCTGCGCTAATAATCAGAAGTCTGTTCGCATGCGGACAGAAGTCAGTCAGAACTAACCACCCGTAATGTATTCGGCCATCCTTTTTTCCGCGTTGACTTGGTTCGCAGGAATTTGGTAAAGAAGGTCTTTGGCATATGCAGCCGCTGTCATTGCTGCGTACCCTTGCCATTCCGTATTTTTATGCGTATCTGCATAGTCACATATACCCCGAATCACCAAGCATGGGAAATGATTCATCAATCCTGCTGCTTCCATTTCAAAACACAGAACATTGTTATCCTCTGCTAATGTGTCTCGAATGGCAGCATCCTTCATAACCTGATTTGCGGAAGCAATGAGACCATAATGAATTGCTGGATTTTCCTCGCGTTCCGGCCGCTTGATGATATTAGACGGCTCATCGCCACAAACTGCAGCACAGCTTTCCTCCCCAGTTGGGTGGATAACATGGGCTTTGTAAAGCCTATCAGTGTTCGAGTTCGGCTGCTGATAGTCTTTCGCTATTCGACTATTCTTCTCCAAGACATCGCTAATGGTTTCCTGAAGACAGTGACCGCGAAGCCTATATTCGGTTTTCAATGCTTTCACCGCTGTCTGCAAAAATAACGGTGGCTGATTCAAGAATCCTGTTGTTTGAAAGCTTTGACCTTGGATTCTCTTCCCAAAGTCATACTGCCACACACCACCATTTCCATCGTGAGCACTACTCACAACGACATCCCCCAACCGGATATCATGCTTGGAACTTGGTGCCCCGCCGCCGATGCCAACCATGAGACACGTTCGAATGTTCGGAAAGCTGTGCAGCATGTCCCTTGCAACCAATGATGCAGATGTGGTGCCATATGCATTCGGCATGACTGCAATGACAACATTATGCCCTCCAATCTCCCCTAATTTGTAGGTATTGTTATCATTGCTAGACAGACCATCCAGGCTTTCGTGCTCTTCGTCGAGAAAGACTGTCGCGGCGACGTGTTCGGGCTCGACAGCACAAATCCAACCGACGGTGTAGCTATGATGACTCCATTTGGGCCTAGAACTGTTGTCATCGGTATGGATCTTTGTTCTTTTAATTTTGTTGAAAACATGTTCTGGGTATTGCTCGGTGTCTGATCCTCTCTGCGGCATCGTGCGAAGGTCTGACAGAGCGGTCAATATATTGAGTGTTGATCGTGCTGATCGAGACGGAGATTTTGGTACCAGATTCCCTTTGGTGAGTTACACTAGCTTCAATCGAACTTAAATCTGTGTGTTCGTTAAGGAATAAGAGATAGATATCAGGAGGAGAGCAGCTATGTGTCCTCCGTAGCCGACTAATACCTAATTCAAGGCTCCGCACGATTCAGCCTCAGCCTCGGGGAACCCCAATAGCCTTGCCACGGCCAATGTAATCTGATTGGTGAAAGATTTATCCACAACCGAGGGTCTAGCTGCCCTGAGCATTGCATATCTTATTGCATATTTCCGAGTCTCATTAAGCCCTATATTGTCTACACCGCAAAACAACACAACCCTTCCACACCTCACAGCTTGCTCTTAGGCTCTATCAATCTCTCAACCTCGGCAAACTGATAATAAAAGTCCAAGCTCTTCGCATTCAACAGCGTCCCCGAGGGCTTGATCTTCTTCCCCGAAACAATCTGCTTCACCGGCAATTCAACCTTCTTGAGATTAACCGTCGTCTACACACTCGTTAGCTTGCGCTCACCACCACGTGCAGGAAGGCAACTTACCGGAATCTCAGGCGTCTGGAAGACATATTTTGGGACATGTCTCGCACTAAGAGCCTTCCGGATCGCCTCTTTGACCCGTCCCACCAACTCCGACGTGAATTTGCGGCCCGGTCGCATGAGCAGGAAGAGCATCACTGATTCATCGGTATCCTGGGGCCGGCGCTGGCCCACGCAGATTGAGTCTGCGATTTCATCGGCGAATCGTGTGTCAATCACGTTGTAGATTTCGGCAGACCCAAATCGGATGCCGGAGGGGTTTAGGACTCCGTCCGAACGGCCGAGGAAGAAGATTTGTTTGGTAACGGGATGGATGCTGATGAAGTCGCCGTGGGTCCAGACGTCTTTTCCCATTGTTAGTAAATCAGGGACAACATGTGAGCAGGGTGGGGAATACTTACTGTCAAACCGGGCAAAGTAGGAGTCGAAATACTTCTGCGGTCCGTCATCTCCGAGGAACTTCACTGGCATGGTTGGGAATGCAGCCGTGGCGACAATTTCGCCCGGCTCTCCGTCTGGAACTGGCTTCCCCTTGACGCCAGAAGCTCCTTCATCCGCTTGGTCGTATGCCGCAATGGGGAGGCCGAGACTGGGTCCCTGGCAGCCGCCCACGTATAGAGGCGTCAGGGGGTTTTCGAGACCGAAACAGGCAGCTAGATCGGTTCCTCCGGAGATGTTTGCCAGCTGCGTATGGGCGGGGAAGCCCTCATCGTAGAACCATTCGAACAAGGACCCCGACAGCACCATGCCGGTACTAGTAACGATGGAGAGATTGGAGATGTCCGCAATATCCCTCGGCCGGACATTGTTCTTCCGCAATTCCTGCAGATACCGCGGCGAAGTACCGAAATGAGTAACTTTGTACTCGCCCAGCAATCGGATGAGGAATTTCACATCGGGTAGGAAGGGACTTCCGTCATATAAGATGGGCTTCCCGCCGAACATTAGCCCCGTAATGGCGGACAGGTACATGATCCATCCCGTCGTCGTATACTGCAGCACGACAGATTCCGGCCCATGCAGCCTATGTAACCGGGCCTCCTTATTACCGTTGAGAATATATCCACCAACACCATGAACAATCGGTTTCGGCTTGCCCGTCGTTCCAGACGAATAAACAACCAGGAACGGATCACGGAACCCAATGCGCACAAACTCCAACTTATCCGAGCCTGCCTGAGCCAGGAACGTCGCCAGCGACTGCGTCTTAGGCACACCGGTCAGATCAGCCGGATCGGCAAACCGCGGCACAGCAACCACACCCCGGAACTCCTCGACACCATCCAGCCCACCCACAATATCTCTAATCTTAGGCCGCAGATCAATCCGCTTCCCATTATAAACTGCAGCATCATCGACAAACACCCACTTCGGTTTCAGCTGCAGCAATCGATCCAGAATCCCCTTCACGCCGGTATCAGTCGAAGCCGATGAAAACAACGCGCCCAGCGCCGTCGTCGCCAGCAACACAACCAACGTATCAATACTGTTACTCGCCACCACCGCGACCCGATCACCCTTGACAACCCCAGCTGCCTTCAAGGCCTGAGTTAACCGTCCCGTTCGCTGTCGCAGCTCGCGCCAGGTAATGCTAATCGGTGGCTCAGAGCCACCCTCACGAATCTGCGTCAGGGCAATTTTACCATCTTCTTTGTTTGTGGTTGTGATTTTCAGATCACCATTCGGGGTCCGCTCCCCAGTGAAGAGCATGTTCTCGGCGAAGTTGAGACGGATGCCCTCGAACCAGGCCGGGATGCTGTCTATACGGGCTGATTCATCGACAACGGTCATGTAGCTACCTTCATGAATGATGGGGAAGAAATCCCAGCAGAAGGCCCAGAAGGCGGCACGGTTGTTGATGGACCATTGGTAGAGGTCGTGGAATGTCTGTTGGTTTTATTATTAGATGGTGTTAAACAGGGGTGTGCTATTTGATATGAGACTTGTGTAGAGACATACGGGGAGTTGGAGGCCCTTTTCTGCTTCTAGTTTCTGTTTAAAGGCCCACATCTGCGTGGATTGGGGGCTGGCATGTTCCCAAAGTTTGCGGGGAAGTGTGGAGGATGGGGAGGTCATCGTTGTTGTTGTTTTTGTCTGAATGGATGTATTTATAAGGTGATACGGTAGATAGATGAATAGGTAAGCTGAACTTTCATAGGAAATGTCAAACTTGAACAGATAATTATGGTGTTACAGACTGGTACTATTTATAAGTAGACATTGAAGATACGCCGATGTCGCCTCGGTTATCGATCGGGTTATGCGGAGATGCGGGGGAATATATCCACTGCTTATTTCCACCGTCTTGAACCCTATTTGGACCGGATTGCAATTCTATTGGATGCTAGTGACTAGATCTAGAACTATCTGTAGGAACCTGGGGGATTTATTAGAGCTGTTCTACCCGAGATGGCAGTACTTAATTGGTAATTAGTGTCTGGACTGGTTAGGGTTAGCCTTTGGGTTCGGTATTTGTTTCTATCTTACTTGGGAGTGGACTGTAGTCACAAAAGCCAAATGACAAGAAAATATATTCACTGGGATCATGCATCTTGGGCTTTAGACTGTATTTGATTTGTTAATTTCTTGTGATTAGTCTGAGGTAATTCTTTTCGTTTCCTTTTCTTGTTTGGGGGATATAATGATGCCCTGCGATAGCTGGTGGTCGTCGGTGCCGATGGAGATATATCAGGGTAAGTTTCAAGATAAGGCTGCAGCTTTACTATTTTCATGATCATATTATTTCACCTTCCATACTAGGAACGACACAAAGCTCTCAGAGACAGAAACCGACAAGGCAGGAGGAGTAAGTATAGTAGGAGTACGTTGTATATAAGGTGAAGACACACGGTCTTGGCAAATTGGGGATTAGGGCAGAATTTCCGCTTTCGGTAATGGATTTGGAGAAATGGTCGACCGGATTTGTAAGAGCTACCCCAAAGCATTTTGATCATATTTATGTGCACTAGGTGGGTATGAAAAATTTGTTTACTATCCTAAGATCATTAATAATCCAACATGCGCAAAATTAGAAGGAAATCCGAATATAAATTGTATATATATATACGCAAAATCACCAAAAAGACACAGCCCGAATCCATCCATCCTTCACTCATTCACACATCTCACATCGCACCTATCCCTAACACGATCATATCGCTGTTCAAACCACCATGTCGACACGACTTTTCGAGCCTCTACGTATAGGCAACATCACCCTAAATCACCGAGTAGTCATGGCACCCCTGACTCGACTCCGCGCTGACGAACATCATGTACCACTCCCCATGTCCACCAACTACTATGAACAACGCGCCTCAGTCCCAGGGACCCTTCTCATCGCCGAAGCAACCCTAATATCCGCAGCAGCGGGAGGCATCCCGCACGCCCCAGGCCTCTTTACCGAATCGCAGATCCAAGCGTGGAAGAAAATCACCGACGCCGTGCACGCCAAGGGGAGTTATATCTTCTGCCAATTAATTGCCCTAGGCCGTGCTGCCGACCCATCAACTCTCAAAAAGGAAGGAGGGTTCGAAGTCTCCGCGCCTAGTGCCATTCCCATGGACGATGGGGCGACGGTCCCCCAAACCCTCAGCGAAGACGATATCCAGGGGTTCATTCGGGACTTTGCAACCGCCGCTAAGAATGCCATTGCGGCGGGATTCGACGGTGTTGAAGTCCACGGCGCTAATGGGTACCTGGTTGATCAATTCATTCAGGATGTCAGTAACCAGCGGACGGACCAGTGGGGCGGGAGTATTGAAAATCGAGCACGGTTCGGGGTTGAAGTTGCCCAAGCGCTCGTTGAGGCTGTTGGTGCGGACCGTGTGGGATTTAGAATTAGTCCCTGGAATACGTGGCAGGGGATGAAGATGGCGGATCCGGTGCCTCAGTTCTCATATCTGGTGAGGCGGCTGAAGGAGCTTGGATTGGCGTATTTACATATTATTGAGTCGCGGGTCATCAATAATGTGGATTGTGAGAAGCGGGAGGGGATCGAGCCGTTCCTCGATATCTGGGGTCAGACTACTCCGGTACTGGTTGCTGGGGGTTATACACCGGAGAATGTACGTCAGGCGATAGAGGAGGAGTATCAGGGTTATCAAGTTGCTGTTGTCTTTGGGAGGCATTTCTTGGCTAACCCAGACCTGCCGTTTCGGTTGCAGCGTGGTATTCCGCTTCAGAAGTATGATCGGGATACGTTCTATACGCCGATGCAGTGTCATGGGTATGCGGATTATCCTTTTAGCTCGGAGTTTCAGACACATTTGAAGAATTAGTCTACTTTTTTGTGTTGGGATGTACTATGGGGTATAAGTGAGGATAGTAAGCTGGAGTATCGGTTGTATAGTATTATATATATAGAGCGCTATATTATAAGCCAGTGAAAGGGCTCCTCCCTTGTCTTTGACATAGCAAGTTTCTTCCACTCACAAAAAGAGCTAAATGTAATGTTTGAAAAAGGGCCATCAAAGTGTTCCTTTCTTGAGTGCCTTATCCAGTGGAACATGGCAATCATAAGGCTGAAAACAAAAATCGTAATGCGCCAGTCAGGAGTCGAACCCAGGTTTTGCCCGAAATAGAGCATGTTCTCACCGTTAAACTACCGAACGCGATCTTGGTTATGAGGTTGTGAACGTGAAGCCTTGCCAAACGCTTCTACTTCCTAGTTTAGGTTCTTTTCGCTAAAGATCATGACTTTCTTTCCCCCTGCTAATGTATGAATGTCCCTCTCCTTCACAGGGGATATCTTGATTCATGTGAAAAGAGGCTAATCTCATTCAATCTCTAAGTCACTCTAATCTTGGTGCTTGTCACTTCTTAGGGTTTGTGAAGTAGTATCCTAGGGGACAATATACTTTGATATTCATCACATGAGGAATTCACGTAGTAGGAACCGTGGTAGACAAAACTAAAAAGACAAACACAGAAGTTCCCGAAAAGATAGAGCTTCTTACATTCCTCTCTCACAGTTTATCTCCCATCATCTCAGTCTATCCACTCCCGTGCTTGCATCGTCAAGCTTACCTTCATCACTTGCGATGCAAAGATGGGCTCTCTATACATGATACGATATGTCCACTCCCTCAGCTACGAGATGTCTTTCAGACAAGCTGTAAACCCCATCTACTAAGTCATGCAATGGGTGCTGGCCATAATGATTGCCTGGCAGCATCGAACTTTGTAGTCCCCGGCTGTTCCACTATTAGGAACAGGTCTCATCGTCGATTTAGCCACCTGTTAAAAACATCGATGATCCAGAGATTACAGTCGCCCAATTCCATGTCCGACTGGTACTCTCTCAAGTCGCGACCATCAAAATAAACCAGAGGGCTACTCCTCCCATTGTTCAGGATGCCCCCTTACTGTGGGATTTCTAGAACGCTTAGGAGTATAAGCACTATACACATTAGTTGTTTAGGATATTTAATCTTACGCCTACTAATTCTTCTTGGGAAGGGGATTCCATCGTTCATTCAAGTTTAACCCGGGTCAATTTCAGGCTAGCTCACAAGTGATTCTTCGTCTTCCACTCCCGTATCGTTCGTCGGTGAAAACTATCATCCTTGAACTTATAACGAAAAGTAGAATAGTGAGGCTGGTACCTACACTTAGCTTTAACAAGGTTGCCCTGATATACCAATCGCGCATCTAGATAGGTTTGATCTGTCAAATGGGAATGCTGTATGACGCCAAATACTTTCACATCGGAACGAAGCTAATCGGAAAGTAATATTGCCCCGTATCGGTTCTTTTACCATTGATTGACGTGGTTACTTGACCTTAAGTAACCTACCGCTTATGATGGAGCTGCAAGAGCTAGGGAATGAGAATATCCTAACAAGCCTACCCCGCGAATATACATATTCTTAATATCGACTCCTATGTAACAGATCAACTACTAGGTATTCAAGATAGCCGACTATGGCATTGGCCAAACGCAGTGAATGATATTAGAGAGCGAACACAATCATACCTTTATGTATTTTTGGACAAAGGTGTCGCGACAATGTCCGAAATTGGCAGTGTAAGGGTCTTTAGGAGATGAAAGTAAGTTCCTGAAGCCCTTTATATAAGTCTATAGCTAATTCTCGACAGCATTTCATCATATCCCGCAAACAACATGTCAATTTGTATATTCGGACCTAGGAGAATGATCAATAGACGAAGAAAACATAAAGTCCGCACTGGAAGCCACATTCACGGCCAATATCATTCACCGGCGATTCTCGTGGAACATCAATAGCAGGGTCTATGAACCATAGCCAGGACCCCCCTTCTAGAAATGTTCTTGCCGTCTATCGGCTTTTCTGTTCCATATATCTAACTGTCTATTTTTGATTCATTCTATTTGTCTATGGAATATTTGACCGCATACTCGCAGAACGCGTCTGCAACGGACATTAAACAAAAAAGGAGGAGAAAGAGAAGAATGAGAAGGAAAAGCGTTGGAAGAGCCATGGGAAAAGGTAGCCAGTCTGAACAACGTTACCATAGTAGAGTCAGTTGGTGACTACTATGAACCACCCTGTATAGCCCACCCACAGATACTGTCATTTAAGAAATCATCCGTCCAGAACCACTCGTCGATATTGAAGTTCAGGTCCAGATTCTCTTCATCATATCCGACCCCCCATCTACCAGCCCTTGCTCTAGACCGTTAACAGGCACCGGAGATTTCCTCACTGTTTCAGCCGGCGTCAGAAGCCCCGTCCCCACATCCACCATATCCAGCCCATGGATCTCGGAATATTAAACCGAACTCCCCCCTTCGCCGTGACTAATCTCCTTTTCAAACTCCATAATATACGCCCCAACCGTAACCCCCATTGTCTTCTTAAATGCGCGACAAAGATAACTCGGCGAAACTCCAACCTCTTGCGCCAACTCCTTCAACCCCCACTTCATCGCCACTGCATCCTTCTTCACTCGCAACAGCGTTATAACTCTTGCGGCAACCTCTTCTTTCTCTCCGAGAAAGCTGGCATTATCGGGTTTACATCGCTTGCATGGCCGAAATCCATCACGGCGCGCTTGCTCTGCTGTATCATAGAACACGACATTGGCTCTGCGAGCAATGCGCACAGCACAGGTGGGGTGACAGTAGAACTTGGTGGATTTGCCGCCGTATAGAAAAGATGAATGAGATGATGGGGCGCGATGTGTGATGGCGAGCCAACGGGAATGGGAGGTTTGGAATAAATTGGGACTGGTAAAGGGAGATTGTGGTTCCATGTTGAGATGACAGATAGAGTGGCCAGGGAAGGTTGGGTGGAAGTTGACGTTGAGTGATGTATAAGTGAGTTCAGTCGGGGCCTTAGCACTGAGGGGGGTATGAACTAGCACTATAACTGATCTGGCTATAGGGCTAGAATAGGTACCTGATTTTTGTTCATTCTTAATGCTAAGTTTTGGGTCTAGAATTGGGTTCTACTCTTTATGTTACATCGAATCGTTAGGGCTACGCGAACCTAAATATGTGGGGTCCCCGCCGTTCTAAACTATAACACTATATAAACCTTGTAAGAACTTATACCCTACCAATTGACCCTCCAATCCCACCCCTTTACTTTGATCCTGACCCAGAGGAAACATAGCAAAGAAGCTACATAGCTGAGTCCTGCGAAAAGCGCGGCGCCCAATACTTTTCTTTCCCTGTAGCATCCACCGCATTAAGAAGACTCCCAGCAATAGGAATACTTGCCAGCACCCCAAAAGATACGACGGTGAAGCAGCTTGCGTAGTATCGCCCATAGTCGTGAGTGTCACAAAGCTGGCCTAGACAGATCGGCGTCAGGCTAGTACTCGAACCGCTACAGAACCCAAATAGTATTATGCAGACAATGAAAAGTGCCGCGTTATCTAGGTCTGAGATGACGATGTCCGGCAACCAGAAACATAGAACGAAGACTGTGCAGAGGGACAGCGAGACAATCATGGTATTGTACCGGCCGAGCCGATCAGCCAAGTAACCCGCCACGTACCGCCCAACGCACGAAGCAACATTGAGAATCGCGAGAAGCTGATATGCGAACGCTGCTGACCCTGTCAACGCCTCTTCTTGAGGGAGATGCTGCCAATCAATGGAGTAGCTGGGCGTGTATGTGATAGGTATGAAGTATGCGAGATCCGTCAGGACGAGTCCAGCATTCGTGACTGCCATCACTCCTGTACCATCCATGAAGAAACGAGGGTCGGGCAATGTATCCCGCCATGTTGTTTCAGCTCCTTTGCGCGGTGGAACTCTGCTTCGGCAGAACGTCACACTGATGGCGCAAAGCATAAGCAGTACAGATACGAGAATACGGATTGACCATCTTCACCCCACTCGAGGGAGGAAGGATTATATCATCAGGGGAAATATAACGCCGCCGAGACTGCCTCCGATGGATGCTATGCCGCTGGCCAGACTGCGACAGTCCATGAGTCAATGAGCGACGCAGCCCATCGATGGAGTAAGGAGAAGGGATGAGCCGATATCCGTTAGGATCGAGAATTACAGAAAGATTTGATAGTATTCTATGTCACTATTAGCAAAACAAGAGAGCATTGGGCAGTTCACGAGAAAGGTAATTCCAGGAGAATATGTTGAGAACATATAATTCATGGAGAGTCATATGAAAGCTGATCTTACCTGTGCAAACGCCGAGTGCGAAAATGCCAATAGGCGAAACCGTCCCTGCAATGATCAGAGCACGCGGGCCCATTGCATCAAAAATCGGTCCAACTTGCACCCCACAGACCCAATTCACAAAGGCGTAAACGGAGAATATTCAGCCAATAGCCGACTGTGAGTATTCTGGCAAGAGTACTTTTGAGACAACGACCTCGAACACACCGGCTGTGTTGTAGATCCCTAACGATGCAGTTAAACCACACCACGCACCCAGCACCACCAACCAGGCATCACAACCACCCTCTGGATAAGTAACCTTAGTAGGAGAATAAAGCTCATGATCAACGAGTGTTTCCTGCTTCTCATTGATTGAACGCGAAGCATCCATTAGGGACAAACCGTTTTCAGAGATCGCCATTGTCTCCTAGTGCTTCACTGAAACAGTCCTGCAATTGCTCGGAGTGAAAAAAGCGAGAATATGTTAACAATAAAGCAGTGAAAAGATATCAGCTGAAGCACAGCAATTTAAATCATTTAGGATAGAACATATAGTCTGTATAAATTTAGAATAACCAATTAAATCCATGCACTGGAAGTGTACTTAAAGTAGCCAATCAGCGACAAGCTACGGAGCGTTGAACTCAAAATGACCAATCAGAGTCAAGCCCTAACTGTGTACTCAAATTGGCCAATTCAGTAATAACTAAGTCGAATTCAAAATCTATGCTCGGCGGCTAGTATGATAGGGCTGAGAAATCAACATATTGCAGTGCACTTGGTGTGCAGAATCCGGGAGATCATTGAATAAGCTTCGACAGAGTATTGTGGAAGATTGTATGTGGCCCTCCGATGGCCTAACTCGCGAGCTTATCGTCAACAAGACAGTCTTTTCGTTATTATAGTAGGTATCTTAGGATATACTGAGTTTGGCTAGATTATATGTCTCCTTGTCGAATCCGACAAGATCAGTAAGGTGGCAGACCTCGTCGCCACCGCCGCTAACAAATTGTGCTGGGCTTGGCATCTTGGGGATGGAATATCTATATACGAATATGCCATGTTTGCTTTCTTCTGTTTGTTTTAGTATATCACAATCGAGACTATATGGCTTTCGAGCAAAATATACATCAAGCTATAAGCCTATTGGCATAAAAATGAATCAATAATGAGCTCAGTGCATCATACTGCAATGTTTCAGCTTTCTCCATGTCCTTCCCCAAGGGCCCGAACTGCATCATGACTTCAGATTGACCCACTCTATATTATAAATCAAAGGATGTTGAAAATGTTTGATTCTGACACCTGTGCTGGCTTTTTGTTTTTGTTAGGATTTTCAATGTATTAACAGCGAAAACAGGAATAGTTATAGTCTGACCCAGCGACCTCTCTTTCGAACCCTAATCAGTACAATCCACGAAACCAGGGACTTTGGACGTGCTTTCTTTTCTTTTAACATACCTATGGAGCTCCCAATTCCACCTCTAACTCATTCAAACCCACCTCGAACGGTGAATCGTTCTCCACACAACATCGATTACCTTGAAAATGACAGTGACGACCAAGCACCAAGGCAAACTCAGGGCAAGCCCCCGGAGCTATCCACACTATTCGCAGAGATTGTGTTTGTAGTAGTCTGTTCAGTGGGACAGCTCCTCTTTGCAATCGTGCTGGCAAACACCCTCGTCAACCAGATCACTCTGATAGATGCGTTAGGCCTTGATGGGTCCAAATCCCCATGGTTGATTGGTTCTTTCTGTCTTGCCAATGGTGTTTCTGTCGTGGTATCGGGATCATTAGCAGATCTCATGAACCCTAAGTGGCTCACTGTGGGTGCTCTGGTCTGGCTCACGGTCTGGAACCTCATTGGGGTGTTCTCCATCACACCATCCCGGATGGTGCTACACTTTGTTGTTCGTGCAATGATAGGCCTTGCGGTAGGCATGATCCAGTCGACTGCCATGAGCATGTTGGGACGCATCTACAAGCCCTGTCAGAGAAAAACAACAGTCTTCTCTTCGATGGCTGCTATGATCCCACTGGGATTCGGTGTCGGCGCGCTGCAGGGTGGTGCCTTCAGTGCCCATCTTCACTGGGTTTTCGGCTCTACAGCCATCATGTGTGCCGTCTGTACAGTCGCTGCATACTGTGCGGTTCCAACGCTTCCACCATCGTCCGGTCCAGCAGGTGAAGGAAAACTGTCCATCAAGGACTTTGACTACCTTGGAGCGATCGTTTCAGTGAGCGGGTGTGGGCTACTCATCTTCGGATTGACACAGGGCGCACCCACCCACTGGACACCATATACATACACATTGGTCATTGTAGGTGTACTGCTCCTTGTTGCCTTTTACTTCGTGGAACGCTGGGTATCCCGACCAATTATCGACAACCGACTCTGGAAGACACCAGGTATGATATGGCTGCTGATATCATATTTCCTGGGATACGGGGCATTCACCGGCGCGTGGATGTTCTACGCCGTCCGCTTCTTCCTTACCATTCAAGATAAACCCCCAATCATCGCTGCGCTTTATTTCATACCTCTTGCCATATCAGGAACAGTGGCTACAGTGGTAGTCGCCAAGACACTCCATGTTCTCCCAGGCCACTACATACTCATATGCAGCATGATTGCATTCGCTTTGGGCCCGGCCTTCTTCCTTCCACAGACCTCTAATACTATTTACTGGGCACTGTCGTTCCCTGGTGTCATCCTCGTGGCTTTTGGACCGGACATGTCGTTTGCAGCCGCGTCCATCTTTGTGACCTCCAACGTGCCAAAGTCCTTCCAAGGCTCGGCGGGCAGCTTGCTGGTTACCATGCAGAACCTGTCATCCGCGATCTTTACAGCTATTGGAGATACGATTGGAGAGTGTATTACGAATGGAGAGGGTTACAGTCTGAACCTTGATGCACTGAGAGCTATCTGGTGGTTTAGTCTGGCGACATCTTTGCTCAGTGCTTTGATCTGTGGGACTTTTGTCCGAATTCCCAAGGCCGAGGAGAAGGAACATCTACAGTGAATATAGTATCGTCTGTACTTAAAATGCTTGGACCATAGCCCTTCAAGCGAAAAAGGAAGTAGAAGAAAGAAAAGGAAGTGTCAGTCACTTATTTTGCCTAAGCAAACTAAGGTATACATAGTAGGACATGTAATTGCGGTGCAAAGCTTCTACAAAACATAGTTCACTTCAAGTTGCCATCGAGTATCAGGACTATAAGAATATAAGCCAAATGAAGATTGGGCGGCTGAGGTCACTACTAGAGGGCTGAAGTGGATGGCTTGGCATTTTGGGGGAGATTTGCGTATATACAGAATTGGAGATCTCCAAGAAATTTCTACCGATGTATGTCCACCATTTGTAATTGCTCTACACCGTTCCGTTCCGTTCTACTTTTGAAAGTATGCGCTGGTAGTTATATATATATATATTAGTTGATTGGAATCACTATAGATATCGTAAATATAAGTATAACCTAGATCCTGCTACTACTGTTCGCCATTCAAGCGGTGGATTACGATAGTCAAGTAGGTATCTATTGTGTCCATATATCCAAGGACGGGATAAGAATAGCTAATTGTACGAAGAACTACGCCATCACAGCTCATCTGATGGCGCTGCAACTTTTCCGTGACAGTTCCTTGGGTCAGGGCCTCCGCATAATCGCACGGCCTTCTTGGCTACAATACCCAGAAGAGCGTGATGGCCACTCCGATATCATTGAATGCACATCTAAAATTGAGGATTCAAACGGGGACATAAAGATCGTGGACTGGTATGGGAAAGGTGATCCCGAGAACCCTCTTAACTGGTCATCTACCAAGAAAGCATGGGTGGTCTTCGTCATTGGCTACTATAGCTTTGTTGTATACATGGCGGCACCGATATACAGCCCTGGAAAGGAGGCCTTCAAACATGAATTCAATGTGAATCCCGCCGAGTCGTCTCTCGGACTTGCTCTCTATGTGTATGTTATTGCTCCCCCGGTGACCTATTTCACGTTCCCCAAACTAAGCGCTTTTCGACGAACAATAGCTTAGGTTATGGCGCCGGACCGCTCCTCTTCAGTCCCCTGAGTGAGATCCCTCGCTTTGGTCGGAACCTTCCATACGTGATATCCTTCATTATCTTCACGATTCTATGTATTCCTACAGGGTTTGCCCCCTCAGCTATCGGGTTCTATTTCCTGCGATTCCTCCAAGGCTTCTTCGGTAGCCCCTGTCTGGCCACCGGCGGCGCATCCATCAGCGACGTCTACGACCCCTACGTACGTCCCTACGCCATGGCAGCATGGGTGTGCTGCATATTCTGTGCCCCAGCCATTGGCATGTTAGTCTCGGGATTCGCGATCCCCGTTCTCGGCTGGCGCTTCTCCATGTGGGAGATCTTAATGGCCGCCGGCCCAGCCCTAATCCTCATCCTCCTCCTCCCAGAAACAAGCCCATCAACAATCCTCTACCGAAGAGCTCAGCGCCTCCAAGCCACAGACGGATCAAAACAATACCGCACAGCAGCCGAGCTCACACAATCACACATCTCCTTCCACGATATCATCCGAGAATCCCTCCTAACCCCAATCAAAATCACCCTCCTAGACCCGGCCATCCTCTTCGTAAACATCTACACCTCCCTCGTTTACGCCATCTACTACACCTTCTTCGAAGCCTTTCCCCTCGTCTACATGGACATCTACAACTTCAACCTCGGCCAAATGGGCACAGCCTTCCTGGCCATCGTCATCGGCACCACAATCTCCGTGGTAATATACAACATCTACAATTACCTCATCTTCATCCCGCAAGCCAAATCCAAGTCCAAATCTACTCCCTGTCAAAACCAAGACCCAGAAGAACTCCTCACCCCAGCCTTAGTCGCCTGCTTCGGCCCCTCAATCGGCCTCTTCCTCTTCGGGTGGGCTTCCCGTCCTGAAATTCATTGGATTGTCCCCACCCTGGGCATTGTCATATACCCCGGTTGTGTGTTCGTGCTGATGCAGTCGGTCTTCTTGTATATCCCGGCTTGTTATCCAGAGCATGCGGCGAGTGTGTTTGCCGCGGCGGATTTTATGAGGAGCGCGTTTGCTTGTGGAGCGGTGGTTTTCTCGCGGCCATTGTTTGGCAATTTGGGGGTTGGTGGTGGGTGTTCGCTTCTGGCTGGGTTGACTGTTCTTTGTATTGGGGGGATTTATTTGTTGAGGTTTTATGGGGGGTTCTTGAGGAGGAGGTCTAGGTTTGGACGGGGCGAGGGAGGGAAGGAGTGAGATGACTTTCTAGGTTATGTTAAAAGATTTATGAGCATGTTTTATCTAGATAGAAGTTTACTCTTCGGTTCATCCGCGAGAGCTGCTCTTGTTCAATCGTAGAATAAATACACCACAGTCTATGATAGCACATAACGCCCACTTGCGTATAACTCCAAACTATGCCCAATAATATCAATAAAAGGCCATTGGGCATTCCCCCGCATGATCCGTGCCCACAGATGTACTACGAAAAACGCTAGTCTCTCACAATTCAGCCCATCAGATGTATTATCCTCACTATCATCCAGAGATGTTCTGCCTTCTTCCACAATCCGACGGACCCAGTTCAAAAGCCGTTGCTCATGTTCTGTCTTAATTGTCAGTTTCTTTTCCTGACGGGTGCGAACAACTGTATTGGGGTTGCTGGTGTAGGCACTTACCTTCCAGTGGTTGCTTTTCTTGCGTTTCGCCTACAGCATGCAGCCATTTACTCAGTAGAACTGCGAACTCTACACCGCAGAGTGCGTGTTGGTTACTCCATACAAAGGCTTGGCTTCGAGATATGTACTCCAGGCCTAGCTTTACTGGGATGCTCAGCGCGTGAGTGGCATGGAGTAAAGCGGGAAGAAGGCGGCGACTGCGAATAAGAGGCCCAGAATCAAGTAATGTGGAGGCTATTTGTCTTGGATCTCTTGTCATCAACGCTCTACAGGGCCCGAGGTCTAACTGAAGCCGGGTGTATGCCAATCCCAGTAAAGCGGTCGATGTAAAAGGTATAGGGCCGTTAGGGTTTAGAGGATCAAGACTGGATTCGGGTGCGAGTTGCCAGGTAGATGTCCAGCGTCGCAGGGCATTCCTTTTTTAGTCAGCTAATCTCAAACCAGACCATGTAGCAACGGCGATGGATGATTCTTACTCGAATATATCCAGCTGATCCGATGAAACAACACCTGACAGCGATGCTTGCCTGCTGAGGAGAATGCGATGAAGCAATCCATGTATCAAAATAATGCTGGCTGACGGGGAAGGGATTGGCTTGATTGAGCTCGGGGCATCCTTGCCCGCTAAGAGAAAGGTTAGGGCGTCTTGGAAAAGGCTCTGCTCTCGGGGAATATCTCGGCGGAATTGTCTCCAGTTGGTCTCGTCGACCGCTCTCCACTCCTCGCAGGTGCACGGGAGTCGAAGGTTAATTTCGTGACTCAAGAGAATAGGCGGTAGGTTATATGCAATGCTTTGCAAGTTGAGGAAGGCAAACGCAAAGAGTTTAACACGGCGATCCAGCTCCAGTCGTAACCATGTCTGCCAATCAAGTTTGTCCGAGTCTGGAATGTTTACTTCTACCAATCCGCTTTCTCTCAATAGACGAACGAGTGTGCTTTGAAGACCACAAACACTTTTGACAACCTCGGGATCTTGCTGCCAGGTTGCGTATATAGCCAGATTGAGTAGACACCTGATATCATCTGTAATTGTCGGACTTGGAGAATAAGGGTCAGGATTTACGATGATTGGCTGGGGTAAAAGGTTAGATTCGCACGTTGCTGCCTCTCTGTGTCGCTGTCTCTCATGAAAAATTGCTTTTGAGGCGTGAAATAGTAATCGGCCTTTACGATGCTCATACCGATATTGGGCACCAGATGCTGCCATGGATAAAATCAACTCTAAGGAATAGTTCTCCGGCAGAAACGATGGCCCATGCATAAAGGGAAAATGCGGATAAACCCTGTCAAAGTAGGCATTTAAGAATCGAGTTAAAGAGTCCCGGGATGGCAAGGTGAATCCAGGCATTAAATGTTGAAATGGACCGAGGGCTTGCACAATATGTGCCCTCTGTATCTCAGTAATCTTTAATTGTGGCATATACACGGCTGCCTGCACCGCTGATTCCAGAGAGTAAGGAGCTCACTATCAGTGTTCGCGTGCTTAGTAGAAGAGTCGAATAGTATCTTACCGGCTGGATTCAAAGGAATAGGTAATAAAGTGGGTGACTGCGCCCGGTGAGCACCCTCGCTTTGCTCCTCGTCGTAGTCCGGCCTTGAAATTTGGGAGACACGAGTGTGGTAGTTATCCGCTTGCAGCACATTGGAGAGTGGTGCATGTTCTAGTGGGATACTCCTGAGATCGACGAGACTCTCCGAATCAAGGGCCAGACCCATACTGTCGATGAAACTAGTGAAGTCCTCCAAAGGGTCATAGAAATCGTGTGGATCGGGAAATGTGATAACTATCGACCTTTCAGAATCACACCTATGGATTCACGGTAACGGAGGGCTTACCTGGTTCTTGAGTAGTAGGAAGCACTGTATGACCGGAGCTAACTTCAGCAGGCAGCGTGTTTGCTGTTGCTTCTACAGCGGGTGCATTCGCTGATGAATACCGCGGAAGGTGGTTACCGTTCGATGCCACCCGAGAGCTCGTGTCCACTGTAGCACTAAAGCCTGGAGTAGATGGTGAGATGAAGGACTCTGCCGTATTTGGGGACTCAACCCGCGAGGATCGATTCCTCGAGGGAGAGATAGTGTCTGAATACAGTTCACTAGCTTGTGAGTGAACTTCATTACGCGAGGGTGTCAGATTCTGACCGCCACCATGGGCGATTCGTTGGTGACGCTTTAGCAGATCCTTCCTGGCAAATGTCTGTCCACAGGAACATGCAAAGGGCTTTTCATTTGTATCTTCGAAATGTTAGGTTTTTAGTTTTCGTAGCCTCAAACGACTAGAATATACTCAGTAGACTTACGGAGTCTCACATGACGTTGGAGATGCTCTAGACGTCGAAAGTCACGCTGGCAGTATGTGCAAGTGAAAGTCTTTCCTACCCCAGTACTAGATTGACGGCCCACATTGGAGATGCGGGAAGGTGGCATTGTTCTGCTCTCATGCGAGATTTTGTCTGTCGGTAAAACTTCTCCAACGAAGATTTGTTGGAGATGGATGATAGGTATGCACGTGACGTGATGTCATCACCTTTAGGTTAGGGCTCGAGGGATGAACAAAAAAAAAAGGTCTTCGATAGCTCAGATTTGCATATAGATTTATGCGGCTAAGGTTTCAAAGTTAAGGCGTGCATCTGGAAGCACATCCAGCGTTAGGTTCTTCAGTTGTCCTAAGTATGTTGAAAGTCCTCTCGAGTCATCACCTCCCACTTCAAGTCTGTATACTTGAAGAACAATCAAAAAGAAAAAACACACGGCAAGGAATTTTAGGCTTGAAAAACAGGATAGTATAGAATTTCCTCTTCAATGGCCCTCAACCCCATTGTGGATGAGTTAGTTGGCTCCTCGTCGCCACCGCAAGATCCACCATCACCAACGACGCACCCCCCATAACTTCCATGACCGCTATATCTGCTGCGAACGCCTTTCCAATCCAATTACAGAGCTCGACCGCTAGAAGTGAGTCAATGCGGAATGTGTGCAGAGGTGCGTAGACGTCCACCTCCTTATCCTCAGGTATCAGGTGGTATGAATGGACCATCTTGTCAATGACAGCTCGTCTCACAATTTCACGTGCTTCTTGTAGAGAAGTCGCCTCCTGGAAGAGCTTTTTGAAATCTATCCGACCATGGCCTTCGCGTTGCAAAACAGGGTTACCGGAGATATTCTCAAGCTTGAGTCGGCTAAAGAGGGGCGTTTCAACCAACGTGTTGCGGTCACCACCGCTGCCAGAAATTCCGAATACTAGTTGAGCCGTATCGGGGTCCAGGAACTGTTTACTGGGATTGCAATAATGGTTCAGAATACCATATAATTGCGCTCTGGTCACGGGTGCTAGTGACCCGTATGCAAGCACCTTATCGAGAAACCCAGCCGTCTCTACGAGTATACCGTCGTGGACCATAGGTCCAAGATCCAAGGACACAGCCCTCTGACCGTGAGCAACTCGATAGCGTGCTAGGCTATCCATATACAAATGCCCGGCAGCGTAATTAGACTGACCGGAGAGTCCAATAACATTACTGGCGGAGGACAGCATGACAAAGAAGTCCAGGTCCTTGGGAAGAATCATTTCCAGATTCCAGGATCCAAGGGCCTTGCATTCAACAGCCAGTCGCCAATTCTCATAGGCCATGACGTTGAACATCGAATCTCGTAAGGCCATAGATCCCTGCACGCAACCCTGTATCGGGGGCATTGTCTGCGATACCTTCTGTATACCTTGCTTCACGGACCCCGTGTCTATCACTTCGCATGGGAGAGCATGAACTTACACGCCCTTTGCAGACAGTTCATCAATGAGTTCAAATGCAGCAGGGTGGGATTTACCTCATCGCGGCGTGTTTGCCCACCTATTGCCCGTTGATGAAGCTTGCCTGGCGTAAGGCCCGCACGAGGCAAGGCCAAACGCGTGATTTCCGCCAGCCGCATACTGAACCGGGTAGTAGTCAAGTCAAGCACACCCCGAAGCTCCCGTGGGTGGACGGCTCGACTGATGAGGAGGATGCCTTGAGACTGGTGACATTGGGCAGTCATCAACATTCCGATATTGGTCTGGGGAAAATTGTCGTCGACCACGAGTTCTCGGTACACTGATGGCATCTCTTTTTTTTTTTTTTTTTTTTTCTATATCTTTCCGAGGTTCAATCAAAATGCTGTTCCGGAACTTGAAAGGGGGAGATGGGGAATTTGATGTACGCAGGAATCGGCATGATTCCCTTTACTTACGAAGGCAAACCCCGTGACTGACCCACTGGGGCAGTGTATTGATCCTTCTATGGAACGGTGGACAATATAAGCTAAAGAAATCGTAGTATGTATGTATGTATAGACTGACATGTGGAGTAGTAATGGTACGTGTAGAAAAATTAACATTATAAGATGTGGTACCATACGGTATTTAATGTAAATCGCGCTGAAACAAAGAATCGAGTGGGGGCCATGTTGGTTGGCCTCCTCAGTTAATGCCAGGAGAAGAGGGCAGGAAATGTTACTGTACTGACTCTGACTGTACTGACTGTACGGTATCATCACTCTGGAGGGGAAGAAAGCAGAGCCCGAACCCTGTTTGAACCACTTTTAACAGTTCTACTATAGTTCGGGTGCGACGTTGGTCTTTCTTCCCGGGTTTTTACCGCCTGTCATTGACTGTCATTGTCATTGTTTCTCCGTCTCTACCGTGAATCCGATCCTTGTCGCTTGATTTCTAGTCTCCCTCCCACTCATGTCTTATTACTCTCGTATCTACGCTGACATGGCCCCTAATGTGCCGCAGGTCCGGGAGGAATATAATCTACTTCTGATCTCTTGATCCTGAAAGCCCACTACCAGACTTACCACGCCTTCCCCCAACTTTTTCACACCATGGCTGCCACCGACGCCTCAGCCTTCAATCCTCGCACCCACCTTCTCCCCCACATCGTCGACCATTATGCGAAGATCAAGCCCGAGGCGATCTATGCCGAATATCCAGTCTCTCTCATGAGCTATGACGATGGCTATCGGCCAATTACCTTCAAGACATTTGCCAATGCGATCAATGGCATTGCTTGGTGGCTGACGCAGAAGCTGGGCCCCGGCAACGGCGAGATTCTAGCATATGTGGGACCCAACGATCTTCGATATCCGGCCTTGGTACTGGGTGCCGTTAAGGCGGGATACCGGGTAAGTGATGGGTGGGAATCAAATTGTGGCAATGCATGAAAGATTAACTATAGAGCGCAGATGTTTCTCACATCCCCGCGCAATAGCGTGGCCGCTCATAGTAGCCTTTTCAAACGGCTCGACTGCACCAAGCTGGTCTCTCCTGTGCCCCAACCTCCCCCAGTCAAGGCTATTCTGGAGGCGCAACCAACACTGGAGGTCCTTGATGTCCCCAGTGTAGAGGATTTGATTAACAAGGACTATCCGCAATTTGAGTTCTCGAAGACCTACCCGGAAGCCGCCAGGGAGACTCTAGCTGTGATGTAAGCGTTGTGCCATTTGCCCCGAAATCTCACTGAAAATATGGAATCCTGACCCGTTAGCCATACCTCCGGGTCCACGGGAATCCCTAAGCCGATCGTCTGGACCCATGACACCGCCTGCAAGCACATGCATATGACTGCCTTGGATCCTCCGGAAGGTTTCGAGAGTCAAGACAGCTGGTTGTTTGGCAAGAGAATATTTCTTGTGCCTCCTCCCTTCCACGTAAGTTGCTTCGGTATCAACCAACGATATACATGTGGTGTGGAAGTCTAATCTCCTGGAAGGCTGCTGGGCTGGCTTATTCGCTTTTCATCAGTATCCCCGTCAGCACGACCATCATCTTTCCTGCATCCGGGGGTCTTCCGACTGCAGCTGCACTGGTAGAGGCGAGAAAGAAAACCCCCATCGATATTCTCTTAGGGGTGCCATCAATTATCCAAGAGCTCTCGCAAAGCCCTGAACTCTTGGACTACTGTAGCATGCACATGAGCTGCTTAATATATTGTGGCGGGGATCTACCCCAGCCGATTGGTGATACCGTGGCCGCGAAAATCAGACTTACCAATCTGTATGGAGCCTCGGAAGTGGGGATGATCAGCACTATTCACTCCAAAACAGACCGGGATCCACGGAAGGATTGGCGATATCTTCATATCCATCCCCAGATGGGTGCCGAGCTACGCCCAGTAACTGATAAGGAGCATGAGCTTGTCTTGGTCCGCAACCCGGAGTTTGAAGCACACCAGTTTTCTTTTACTATTTTCCCAGATCGACAGGAATATCATACAAATGACCTGTTTGTGCGACATCCCAACCAGCCAGATCTCTGGCGCTGGAGCTCTCGTGCAGACGATGTGATAGTCTTTCTGAATGGTGAGAAGACTAATCCAGTATCAATGGAACAATACATTGCTGTATCCAATCCCGAAGTGTCTGCGGTCTTAGTCGCTGGTGCGCGCCGCTTCCAGGCATCTCTCCTGGTTGAGCTGGAACCTGGAAAGCAAGACCTCAATATAACAGAACGCGCCGCTATGATCGAGAAACTCTGGCCCAGGATTGAAGAAGCCAATGCTGTGTGTCCAGCACATGCACGTATAGCTAAAACCCATATTCTCTTTACCCAGGCTGGAAAGCCTATGCTTCGTGCCGGAAAGGGAACTATTCAGCGAGCTGGTACACTAGCTCTGTATGCAGCAGAGTTAGATGCTCTGTATACTGACGCGGATAGATTGTCGCAGGCTGACAATGAACAGCCTGCCAGTCTCGCTGGTGTGGATAATCCTCAGCTCCTTGCAAATTATATTCGGCAATCGATGATGTCTGTCACTCGGTGGAACCACCTTACACACACTGAAAATTTCTTCGACCAGGGACTGGACTCTCTGCAAGCCATCACCGCGACTCGGATATTTAGGAAGGGCCTTAATTTCCCGACATTCAGTCCTAACCTGATTTACCTCCATCCCTCCGTGGCGGAACTCACCCAGGCGGTTCTACGCCTGCAGCAATATCAGGAGGCTTCTACAGAGGCCACAAAGGAAGCCCAGCTACAACAGCGGGATCAGCTACTACAGGAGCTCAGTGGGCAAATTAAACCCCCCGCGCCTAAGAGACACATAGTCGTGCTTACTGGTTCCACCGGTAGCCTGGGCACGTATCTTCTTGACGCCCTCTTGAAAGCTCCCTCTGTTGCTCATATACATTGCCTGAACCGCAAGACTGATGCTGTGGATATACAGCGCCAAAAGAGCAAAGCGTACAGATTGAACCTTGATCTTGATCCATCTCGTGTTAGCTTCTGGCCAGCAGATCTGTCAAAGGCAGGGTTAGGTCTAGAGCCTGGTGTTTTCGAGACCCTGCAACAGACTACTACACTGGTAATTCATAATGCATGGGCTGTCAACTTCAATCTCTCGCTGGCATCTTTCAGACCCAATCTAGCCGGTGTGCTAAATCTCATCAACTTCTGTGCCCAGTCGGGGCAAACTCCACATTTGTTCTTCATCTCATCCATCAGCTCCACCATGGGCCACCGCACTGCAAACGGGTTGACACCCGAGACAGTCATCAAGACAACCACACCGGCGCCTAATGGCTATGCGGATAGTAAGTATCTCGCAGAGCAGTTGCTCGACCAGGCCGCCCGGCAGGATCCTGTGCATGTGCATGCCTCGTTTGCCCGTGTGGGTCAGGTTGCCGGTCCAGTGCGCTCGCCCGGTCTATGGAACAAGGCAGAATGGTTCCCGAGTCTCGCCTTGAGCTCCTTTCATTTAAGTGCTCTGCCCAACACGCTTGGGCCGGTCCTGGACCGCGTCGACTGGATGCCGATCGACCTCCTAGCTGAAGTACTGGTAGACTTGGCACTGCGTGACGATAGAGCGACAGTCGGTGAGTCTGTCAAGGTGTATCACCCGGTGAACCCGCGCCCCCTGAACTGGGAGGCTATTCGACCGGTTGTGGCAGCGGCCCTCTCGAAGGTCTCTGGGAAAGCAGTGGATACCATCCCCTTCCAAGACTGGGTGCTGCGCGTCCGTCAGGATATTGAGACTGGTTCCAAGCTGGACGACGGTGAGCTGCAGGCGCTCCTGGCCAGGAACCCCGCCGCGAAGCTACTCGAGTTCTTCGAAGGGATAATGTCTCAGACTGAGCGGGAGAATGCTCTGGACACACGGCTCACGGTAGAGCTGAGCGACAAGCTGCGAGCAGTGGATGCGGTGACACCTGCATGGATCCATAAATGGGTTGCCGAGTGGCTTCAGTGATTATTTGACGTGAGCCGGAGTTGATAGCGCATCATTAATACATATTTGCCTTGGTTCTAGCAATGAAGAGAAGCACTAGTATGTCGATTCTTTGACACTACTACGTTCCATTAGGATAATACTTGATAGTTGACTATTGTAAATTAGTCCATACCATGATTGGACACTGCGGGCTGTGGTATTACTACTCCTCCATCACAGGTGGCTAGCTGAGCGAGCCCCATAGTGCGGATTCCTAGTACTAAAATAGTGAAGTATCATGGGGAGGGGTGGCTCCGCACCGCTGTTTCGTGGATTGCGAATGGTGGGGAAAATATATCCCATCAACCGCATACGTATTGCCAAAGTTACTCCCTTCAAGTTCAGCTGCGGCAGTGGGGATCTGTGTAAATAATTCTTACATTACTCGTTACACAGATATATATGGGGCAGCTGAAAGTTCAGCTCGATGCGCGCTGACAGGGAATAGCATATATAAGAGTCCTCTACAGGCTCTTCCGTTTCCACACGATATACTCAACCCTTCGGGCTTTCAATATCTTCAATACAGTCGCACTTCCTGCCCTAGATGGTCATACCCTAGTCCAATCACAATGAGCAACAAACCCTTCAACGAAACTGCCCGGAACCTCCAATTAGACGAGACTGCAGAAGAAAACGACCGCTATATCTTATGTGGCGAGCTCCAAGATGACGAAGGCGAGTGGGTTCCCGCTGAAATAGATCTAGATCAAGTCTTTGGGGCATCTGATGCACCTGGTACGTATCCTTTACCCTCTTGAGATATCATCCCATGCCCCTCCCTTCTCGACACGCTTTAACTTGTCGTGGAACAGCCCAAGTGGAGTGGGGTGGTAGAGACTTCGCGAAACTAGCGGACTGTGTTGTGTTCGATGTCAATCCTATTCCTGTTCAGACGACAGAGGAAGAACGTTATGATCAGATACAGGAAAGGCCAATGTTGTACGTGACAATCTCGGACGAGTGGCGTGGACAGGTCGACGCCTGCGTGGACTTGAGCGATGGAATCGTGAATAATAATGGCCAGTTTGAGCTCCGGTTAGACCAGATCCCTCATGATCAAAGGATTGTGCGCGGTGATTAAGAGGAGTTCGTAATCGTCTATAGTTATGTCAATTTTACTCGTTATCATCGTTGTTCGTTACTCCGACTCAACCTTTGGACTGCGGGGGATATCCAGATCTATAACCCTCGCCTTCTTGGCGATATTTAATTCGTACCATGCCACCTTCGAAGTCAATGCCCCACTCGAAAGTAACTGACTGGCTCAGTGTTCTATCAATAATCTCATACCTACATAATCTAAAAGCAACAGCCCCGGCCGAGCTTTTCAAGGGAGTACCTCATCCCCAGTTCGAGAAATACATGCCAGACCCTCTCACCCTTCCGAAGTCCTTTGGAGATAGCCACTGCTGCCTTCGTATTTCCCTTACCATCAAGTAACTTTTGGCGATCCAGGTTGTGCCACCGCGTGTCCCGTCTCGTGGTGTTCCAATTCGAACGCCAAATACTTTCGAAATCATCGCCGGAGTCATCTACAATATCGCACCAGACATTGTAGTTATGCACGCCAAGGCAGATCGCCACATATCCCTTCGTATCCCCGTCACGGAAGAGAAGCACACCAGCATGTCCGCTACACCAGGATGTCAATTCAAGGGTGTCCGTGTTCGACTTCCAGCTCACCTCAGAATGGGAAGAGCTATTGAGGTTTGGGGAAGGAGAACGGTGGACCACAAAGGTATATCGTGATTCCGGCCTCATCCAGTCGGTTAACTTGAATATTGAAGGATTGGTTTCTGTGACGTAGATCTCTTCGGCTTGGAAAGTAGATATATCCTCTTCTTCGTAGATCTCATGAAGATTGGTTCGGACATATGTGTCGCCTCCAGCCCCGGTGAGCTTTTTCAAGCAGATGACGAACGCCCTGCCACCGCGCCCACAGCTAAGAGCCGCCATACGGGCATCGGGTGAGTCTTCGCGAGGTTTAAGAGGCATAGTGATACGCAGACCTCTGTTGGTCATGCTGTACGGGAGGACGCCATGCTGTAGATTCGTCAATCTACGGACGCCATTTGACCGTCGGAAATCTTGAGGCGATCTAGCCAGAAGCCCGCTCGTGCTGCTCGTGTCATCTCCAGTCCACGCAAAGATGGACTGATCATCTGATACCTTGAGGATCTCCCTCTGTAGTCGCTCGAACGCTTTCTCGCCTTCTCCATATAGCATCGGCATGCTAACTCCGAACAGCCCCATCAAACAATACGCCTGGTCTTCCACTCGCGCCGTTGTTCGATTAGCCGCCCACGACATCCGCTCGGCGACGCTAACCTCCCTTCCACTGTTCATTAAAATAACCTCTTTCGGAATCCCAGTAATATCGGTGATGACTGGCTGGAGGCTGGACTTGGTTCCGATCTCCTCCCAGCGGTTGTTGAAGAATACCACATACAGTGGCACTAACAACTCCTGCAACGTCCATCCTCTCTTGAACCAGTCACTCTTCCGAAAATCAGATCCAGCAGCAAATGGATCATCACCGTGGTTTACATCGGCTAGGTAAGCATAGCAGACTTGTGCATTGCGATACCAGTGGAACATGGAATTCAATGCCTCTGAGAGTTCTCCAGGATTGGATTTATTAATACAGCATGTATCCACCCAGACATGCGTCAGATTAACCTTTCTGGCGTGTTTACAACACTCCGTTATCTTTTTGTATCCGTCCTTAGATAGCAAGTCCTTGTGGTCTGCCTGGTTGATCTGGTCGAAGGTGATTTCATCTTCCGCGGGGCCCCATCGATGGGATAGGATGGCGTATTCAGGAATGTCTTGAACCTTGGGAGGCACAAGCCTTTTTTTCGCTGTGTCTAACAATCTAATCATTGTGGATGATGCAGAGAGCCTTGACGTTGGCAAGCTTTAGTGCCTGGCCCGTAGGGGGGTAGTTGTTGCAAAGAAATGAACAGGGGCTGTAGCAGATGTAGGAACGAGGACAGGAACAGAACTCCGAGCAGACACCAGGTTACCCCACGATGTTATAAATCAATGTCTGCCCCTCTCTCAGCTGCCAACGCAAAGCTGAGCAAGGATCCACCGTCAGCCCCCATTGTGGCGGCCTGAATGGCGATCCTATATACATCGTGCAGGTAGGCCCCCACCTTTCGCAGTGCCCATTTAATGGACACACGTAGTCCTGACTCACTAATTGGGAGTATCAATGCGTCGTATTCCGTTCCAATTGGATAGACTAGTGTGGTTCATTGGCGAGGAGACCTACCATAGGGTGCTCCGTCGGTTTCCATTTGATCGACACGGCGTTCGTTAGAGCGGCCACCAATAGAGACTGAGTCCCTTGTGGGAGGCGTATTCACGTGTCCACTCTTCGTCTATCTGCAGCTATTTCATGACCAAGCAAGATTGATATTCCTGCATGGGTTGAGTGGAATCAACGTCTGCTACGGGTATTGAAGGGGCCATATTACACAAATGTCAATTTGGCTACCAGCTATTAGCTAGGCATAACTAACAAACCCATACCGTATGAGTCAAAAGATATAGTACTATGTATTCCGATTTACCGTGGCGGGCGACTTGTCCCCCGAAACTCCAGGTATGCCTCCGTCACTCCATCGAGGTTCACATCTCCACCCGGCACATCAACTTTCCACCATGCAAATGGTCCAATTGCTGCAATACTGCCCTGACCTGCAGGTGTATTATTGTAATGGGTACCCTCCAGTGATTGTACATTGAATACATGATCGCTGCTGATATCTCCGGCGCTCAGCACTCTGGCTGGATCGTACTCAAAAATAACCGTAACTCTGTCATGAAGGAAAGTGAGGTTTGAGTGATCCCTGTCCTGGATGATTTCCTCCCCAAGGTGGGTCAGATAGACTTTGAGCAATTTAGGCCCCGCGCTGTCAGGTTGTAATTCTGCACCAGGTAGCCATAGCCGCACCTGTTGAAGGCGGATGTCGACCTGATTCCCAAACGTTGTATCTGTGCTGGGATGCATGTGTATGTATGTTGAGCCGGCCCTTTTCAGTTCATTCAGCTCTGAGGGCGTAAGTTTCCGCCTTCGTCCCAGCTGCTCAGATCCTCGAGGCCAGGTGCTGGGTATGACGTTGGCATAGTTTTCGAGACAATTGTTGAAGGATTGGAGAAGCTGTTCCCGTCTCTCACTAAGGAAGCTATACGTTTCCAATGGCATTGCATCGACCATAGCGGTGGTCTGTTGTAAGCCCCAGTATCGGATCGCCCGGCTCTGGTAGTTGAGGTTTCGCATGATACTGAACCTTAAGCTGTCGCGACACTTCCGCTGCCAATGAACAAAGAGTGGTAGGCGAGGGTTAAAATCCAGTCCATTCTGCCTCAGTTTGGCGATCTGTTTTATAGAATGCTGCTTCTCTGCAGTAGCCTGTAACAGAAGCTGCAGACTGGCGTTATATTCAACGAGAGCCTCGTTCCTTGCTTGTACCAAAGTAACATAGGCATTGAGATTTGACCTCAGATCAGCCCGCCATTCCTCTGGGAAGAGATTGCTATATTCATCTACGAGATTCTCAATGTTTCCTTTGGTGGTTAGGATCAGGCTTTCGGAGCCCTCAAGGGTCATGGAACGATCGGCATTAGTCTTGTAGGCATCCTTCAATGAGGCAATGTTGTTCTCGCATGTTGCTAGCTTCCTGACGAGCAGTTCTTTGCGGACACTTTTTCCATCCGCGTTTTCGACATCGTCAAAAGCCTTACATTCCCGAAGGCCCAGTTGCATGATACCCGCTATGGCTTTCACGTCTAAATTCGCTCCCGCAAGCGTAGTCACAGCCCCTAGGAATATGTTGATTTCTTTGATCGGGGGGCCCTGACGGCCAGGGGAAGCACTCGTCAGCTTCTCACAAAGCTCAGACTTCGACATTTTCATACGCGGAGTTAGAGCGTTAATGATGTCAATTGACGAAGCTAGAGGCCCGTTTGTTCCAGTCAACCGTGCGATCTGATCTTCTGCCGCCCGCAGCTTTTTGTTCATAGAGTCAATGCCATTATCAATTAACCGTTGGCTTTCGAATGCTTCCCTATGTGAGTCCTCATACTCTGTCAGTATCGACTCCTGTTCACTGAGAAGATGGAGTTGCCGGTCAAGCTCCCTGTCATAAAAGTGGACCGACATCCGGGGAACCCAGTCGGAGTGATGCCCCCACATATCGCGACCAAGCATCAGGCGATTCAGGTGACTTGCTGCTTCCTGGAGAGCCGATCGTAACTCAGCTTCAGGGAACAAGGTTAACTTCCATACTTCGGTATGGTGGCGATAAGCCTTCGCTAAGTTGGAATCCCCGGCGAAGTCGATGACCTTCAGGAAGCTGAGTCGCTGGATCAGTCGCTCATAGAGAATCGAGGCTTTTTGCCGGTCCGCCGTGGTGTTTGAGAAGAATGCTCTGTTTGCCTCCTGTAGTAGCATCTGGCATTGATCAGGAAACGCAAACACATGCCCAATCTCAACATCGTCGAGGCTGCCGTTGAAAGACAGGTTCGTGACGCGGACTGATCCATCCTTCCCTTTCTCACCAACGCTTCCGGGTGCAGACAGAGGGACAACACTTCTTCCACACTGGCCACCAACACCTTGAATATAATCAGTATCTCAGGTGTTCTAGCGATGAGGATTATCACGGCTCACCGGCGGAATTTCTTACACGACGTTGTACCTCATACTCCCCATCTTTCACTTTCTCTCTCAACGTGTAAGCCAGCTCTTTCGAAAGTGAACTAAGATAAGACTCTTTATCAACTTCAATTGTCCCTACAGTAGCAACAATATCCGTGATGACCGGATGGACTCCCGTCCGTGTGGCGTTGGGCAGAAGATTTCTCAAACGTTCCATGTGGTTCTCTAGAGCAGCTGAGGTTGCTCGAACGTCCCCCTTAGGAGCATCCCTGGACAAAAGAAGCCCCTGGATGGAAGTTTTCACCTCCTCCACACTTGAGTATATCTCAGCTACACGCTCTAAAGAGCTGACTAGGTTGGCAAGTGTAACGGCAAGTTGCTCATAATCATGGAGTACGGAGATCTGAGAATCCACCAAATTTTCACGGATTGGTTGTTCGAGCAACGCGGGAAGTTGGAATCGCCATGGCAGCGTCCTCAAGCTTCCAGCCTTCATGGCAGCAAGCTTCCAGTCGCTCCCAAAGAAAACGTGAATTGTTCCTGTTATGCAGAGTTCGTTAGCCCGTCATTCCTTGTCAAGGGACAAACAGTGGATTATTTGATACCGCCATTGCCCCCATTTCCGCCTTTCCCTCCAGTTCCACTAGAAGCGGTGGCATCTCCCCCACGGCCACCATCACCTCCGTAGGCTCTGATATGAAGACTTTCTAGGGAAGATGCTGTGGCACGCTGCACAAACATCCAAAGTTCACCTGCGTTACCGCCATCACCCCCATCTGTGCCTTCCCCCAACCCGGGCTCACCCTGAGTCCCAGACACATCGATTGTAGTATCAGGTGCGATGTCCACTTCCGTGCAGAAGATTCCTAGTTTCTTGCCCCTCAGCGTGATGGACCCCTCGAGCTTCAACTTTTCGACGTACACCAGGCCGACTGATGTTGAGAAGCCGAATTTTTCATTGATTGAGTATGTCTCGTCCGAGGCGTTGAGAATTAAAAGCACATCATTGATTGTATGTTGCTGGAATGTTCCGCTAGGGATATGGGCTGGCATATTCAATTTCTGGATGGTCCTAAGAGTAATGTCTCACAAATTTTGAATATGAATGCAGATTGTAGAAGCCGAAAATAAGTTTTACTTGATCAGAAACCCAGGTGAGGGATGAGCAGCGATGTATAGGTACATCATGGCCTGGCTGTGCATCGCCTTCCTTTTCTTCCCAGTGAAGAGCTGAGCAATGAGTAAGTCCCGCAGCAACCCCTCCATAAGGACTTTAGAGTCCCCTTCAGAGTCTTCCAATTGGCCCAGATGTTGCGCAGATCTCCCAAACTGGGGTGATCACCACTTGTACATACATGCATACATATTTACCCACGTCCTACTACTACCCACTAGTACTACCAGCAGGCAGGAAATAAGGCTTCACAATGCGACGACACTAAATCGGTGGGAAGCTCTTTTAGGCTACCACGGCTGAACCTCGACGGGCTCTCAGTCATGGTTGGCTCAGCTAGCCATTACTAGTACATCCCTTAACGAGAGTAGTAGTGGGTGGCCGAGGGTTTTATATTGATTTACTACGGCTCGTGCCGTCGGGTGGCGCCAACACATCGACATTCCGCCCCGTACCGCCTGTGCCACGCCTCTTGCATGAAAGCTGAAACGCTACATAGACTAGAAAACTGCATACTACGAAGTGTGCGAATTAACCGAGCACAAGATTGGGTGTAGTCTTTCCAACTAGTGTGTTTTGCCCCCATCGCTGATCATGACAACTGGCAACCAGGACGACGATCCAACAGCGCGATGGAACCTCAGCTCAGCTGGGGCACTCGCTTGCTGCCTCCCCCAGCCCAGTAGGATCCTTGGACCTTGAGTCCCCTCACTCACACAATATTGGGCGGATGAATTCGGGGGCCTCACGCGTTTCACTGCTTCATGGAATATTAGGTGGCTACTAATCACAGTTTGCCTTACCCCTCAGCAATATATCTACTAATAGAGGTTTAGAAAGTACGCAAGGTAGGCCTAACACTATTCTAGGGATCTGGGTTAGTTACATCTCATAGCACAGGTCTTGCCTTTAGGAGTGCGTGTCCGCAAAATTCCTACCGCTGTGAACTGGGCATAACCCAGGTTATAATCCTCAACGGAATTGCAAAAAAAAAAAAAAAAAAAAAAGAATCTCTGGCATCTCGCCGCACGCCCACTCTGTCAAGATGAAAAGGGAGCAATTTAATGTCCTTGTGGGTAAGATGGAGGGAAAGGACACGACCCATGCTTGGGATGTCGTCGTGTCGTACGATGAAGACAAGATCAACGAGTTCCTCGAGGCCCATCCTATCTCAGAGATAGAGAGTCTACCTCCCTTCAGGGGAACAGGCATTGACGAAGACGATAGCACCGGCAAGATGGTCGAACGTGAATATGAGTTCTATCTTAAACTCCATAGTCCCAAGCTACGGTTCGACGGAAGATATGGGAAAGCAAACCTGTCTTTCACAATGGCTGGCAAGTACACGAAGCTTTGGTCATCTTCCGATATAACCATTCCCGATGGATATCAAGCGTCCATCACCGTCGATCTTATCAATATAACGGGTACATTCGACAGCAGACGCCAGTTCACCCCAAACTCGTCAGGCAACACCTCAGGCAACATAGGCCCGAACAATACCACAGATGTGCAACGAGAGTCCGCTCAGGGGGTCTGCTTATCGTTTACAAATTCAACAGTGGATTTCCAACAAGTGGCACGAATCCCATCCGTTGCCAAAGAAGCCCTCAAGAATGGTCTCAGGGACTACTTACAGCAGAATACACAAAAACACTTTATCATGGGGGTCTCTGGCTATGAACCCGATCAAGACATGATCGTGTTTCGGCCGGCCAAATTCTGCTTCACCATAACACCAAAAGAGGATGACGGCCCCCCTGGCTTCCTCTCAATGTTGATCAGCGTTGAAGGAGGATATCAAAATGGTCTACAGCCTAGTGGGCAAACAACCCTCTCATTTCAACCGGGTGGTATCCCCATGTCTCCGATACCTAGCCACACATCAGCAAGCGTCATATTTAGTCACGACATCATGGCTCGTCGGTTCTTCAAGGTATGCCATGCACCATCCCGCTCTTGACTTACAAATAGTAGTGCTCACACCCAAGTCCTTTCCAGCCAAATTTGGAAGGGTTGTTAAGTGATGTAAGGGTCACTTCGTCGCCGGGGACAGGTGAGCCACTCCCATGCCCCGTCCCAAGTATGCCTCTGAACGAGCTGACACGTGTAATTGCTGTTTACAGGTGGCATGGCATTTACCGGTCGCCTAAAGCACCCAGAAGTTAAAATCCCATCCAACAAGATAGAAGAGGAATCCCCAGGACAAATCAAAGATACAAAGTATAGTGAGCTAAAGTTTACCACAACAACACCCCCGGCGACCGTGACTGTGAAGCCTGGCATCACAACGTCAAATGAGGACGCCATACTCATTAACTATAAAAGCAATCCGGACAAGAGCCACTGGAGTGTGACTTACCGTGCGTATGCAATGGCTCCTGCTCCCAAATATGGAGCGGTCTTGGCTACCTTGTCTTGGAAAGCTAAGGGCCGGTGGAAAGCCGGCACGCAGGAACGCCCCAACCTGATCGGGCTCACCATGACCCCGGACAACAAATGGTCACTAAGTGCATCAAATACGGAGCACTCGAACTGGCTGGCAGAGATGGGCAACAAGATAGACGGACAGGTCGTTGTCCCAAGCTATTACGGAGACCAACAGCCTGCAGCTAAATTTGACCTGACTATGAGAGTCCTAGACTACTTTCTAACGACCAGTTTGCTATTTCCCGGGAGGCAGATGTTTAAAGCCCATCTTCCTGTCGCACCGGCCAACGCGAACCAAAAAGGGTTGGCAGTGCCTCGCGACCTGATACGTACGGGCGACATTATTTCGTCCTAAATGATCCCACTAGAACGACTCGAACTCGGAACACTGCTGAAGGTGGAGGATCAGATCCAAGGAAACACAGCGATAGAGTATCGATTGTAGGTCATCAATGAGAAGACTACAATGGAGGAACATGTTGCAGGCGCTCTGAGGCCCATCTGAGGAACCCATGACAAGGCCATAAAGAATCACAGTCTCCTAGTGGGACTGTTCGCAATCCAAATGAACGGGCTGTCTTCTCATTCATATTATCACTAGACGCTCTACCATTCTTTGCTCGAAAATCCTTTCCAATACACCATTACATAGTCAAGTAATCCGCGCCTACATTGATACACTCGTGTAACATATTTCTCGGCCGTTTATCAGTCCATAATCATCTGAACTGAAAGATTCTTGGTAGTGGAAATATAGCGATTGATGAAGTCATATAGAGGCTCCCGGTACACCTGGTAACTGATATTTTAGGATGTCTCCAGAGCACGCGAAGTTTCCCCTTATTATTTAAATCTTTTAGTATGCAATACCCCCAGGCTTCAATATTTCTACATCCACTATATAATAGACATTGTTTTTCTTTTCCTGTTTATATATCTCTACTTAGTCGACAAGACTATTAGTATGATTCCGTATAGTAGCTCTCCTCTGCTATGATCTAAATACGTTTGTGTATATAGTGTCATCTACTCGCTTCCATATACATATATGTCTTTCCATCCGGATAATAAATCAACTGGATATACAGAAAAGCTCCAAGATATAAACAATTTATCAACATTGCAAGCATGGACCCAGGTATAACTCTGCATAAGCTATCCATGAAAAAAGAATTCCAAGCCTCGAGAAGAACTCTTCAGATCGCGGACTACTACTGAATATATATTCTGCCTGGTCAAACGTAACCCCGGTCGAAGCAATATCATAGCGTACGTGAAAATTGCCAGTCATTTGTGACAGTTGCCCAGAGGTCCAGACATACCCAGAGGCAGATGAGGTTCTATCTCGCGGTGATATCATATCACGCCTATCGTCATGCCCTGGATATAGCTTCTTTGGTTCTTGAGAATCAGATATACGCGCTTTCCTAATACAGATCATATCAGTCCCAACCATCCTTAGCACGTTCCTGAGGGTCCCAACATGACTCAGGTCGAAGGAATTGGAATCCACTAGAAAACATGAATCTATCGTCTGTCTATCCTGATCATTTGATTATTTCACATGTGATTGCGCGGGTCTTCTTGCCCCTAGTCAAATGACACGGCCCTTGATTGGCTAGCACGGGTGAGGTAAGCATTGCTCACGTGACTGAACGCACGCGACACCGCTGGACGGAAGAGGAAAGGTCGCAGGAGCAGAGACGACCGCTATCACCACGTGCGATAAGACCGGGTTTGACAGCAAGGCAAAAAAAAGAAAAAATACCACTTCGTCGCCTTCGACCTTGGTTACATCATCACTCATCATTCTGGTTATCCATGGCAGGGATACAGGACACACCCTGAATACAACATACTGTAGGCAGTCGTAGTATGGAAAAGAAGCAGGGTTTACCGTATCTGAAGTGGAATATTGTACAGTACATAGATCGAGTAGCTACAAAGTACCTGCCAGATCCCTCCCGACAAGAACCAGGGCAATCGGGTCAGGAAACCTAGCTGTAGCCAATGACATTGTGTTCCCTTGTTCTCTTGAAGCTCCCTGTTAGCTTTCAGCAAAAATGTTGAGAGGAATCGAACCGATTTGGACAAAAGTATTAAAAGCAACGGTCTTGAAGCATGTGAAAGTGGGTCAGAAACGACAAGAGACAATGTGGGTAGATATCGTAGTGGAGGCTCTCCAGAGTCCACGGCTTTAGTCCACGGGGAAGAGGCTCCATCCGGGCAGTGGATCGGCATATCGATAAAGGGGGGGTGTGTTGGTTGCCTCGAAAAAGAAAAAACGTGAGTAGGCTATACGATATGGACAACGTTCAGGATGTGGGAGGGGAGAGTTTATAGTTGGCACTATAGATGGAGATGGATGGACTAGATCGTCGTAGTGAGCTTCTGTACCTTGCGAGATGCATGGAAAGTAGGGTTAATGGTGGTGTTCTGACCTTCTCACTGGTGCAAATGAACCCCTGTCTAGTGCGCGTGTTGAGAACTGGCTAACCCATCTGGGTATGAGAACCCGGACAGCCTGAACTTTGGCCTGGAAAACATGGAAAATAAATAATATTAAACGATCGATATCATTATCGTCCCCCCACTATGCTAAGAGAGTATCCACGGAAGCGAAAAAAAAAAAAAAACAGCCATTGGGCCTCAGTCCCCCATAATGTTGTCCCTCCGTCGTGTCCCAATGGAATTTCTCGGTTTGCGACCAAGGCAACGGACGACCTGTGAGTTTCTTTTATTTATCACCTGGCACCTGGCCTTCTTTTCCCATCAACCCTTTAGGAATACCAGTGACTAACAAACAATTCACTTTGACTTCCAGATCCCACGACCGTCAACTTAAATACCCTCTCTCGTTAATCGCTTGATGCCTTGAATATCCCTCCATCAGCTTCATTCTCTTCATTCTCCCTTCTCCTCTGCCTCCCACTCCTCCTCACCCTGAATTCCTCTTGCTTGTGTAACGATATCACGATACCATGTCGATCATTGATACCACCAAAGACCTGTCCGCACTCTTCACAAAACAAGTCCAGGCGACACCCGATGCGATTGCATTAGAAGATGAAAGCACCACCTACACCTATGCGGAATTAGATACAGCGGTTGAGACCTTGACTCGCCGCCTTCGTGGCTACGGAGTCGGTCGGGACAGTCTCGTGGGGGTCCTGTTACCGCGCAGTGCGGACTACGTAGTAGCCTGCCTGGCGGCTCTCCGTGCGGGCGGCGCATTCCTGGTACTAGAGCTAGCATATCCCCCGGGTCTCCTCGCCGATGTGATTGAGGATGGGAGGCCAACAGTCGTCATTACAAACCGGGCAGAGGTTGGCAAGATTAAAGCCAGCGTGCCGGTCATCATTCAGGATGAGCCAGCCCCAGCGGCCAATGGACATGTTTCAGAGCCCTCTCCCCTCCCGTCAGACGACGACTTGGATCGCCTCGCATTTGTATCGTATTCGTCCGGAACCACAGGCAAGCCGAAAGGCATTGCCAATCCCCACCGCGCCGCAGTTCTCTCCTATAACCTGAGATTTGGCGTGTCAGACCTGCAACAGGGAGATCGGGTGGCCTGTAATGTCTTCTTTGTCTGGGAGATCTTGCGTCCGCTGTTGCGTGGTGCGACAGTGGTTGCGGTGCCAGATGATGCAAGCTATGATCCCGCGGCGCTCGTCGACCTGCTGGCGGCAAAGAAAGTCACGGAAACCCTGATGACCCCCACCCTCTTGGCTACGGTTCTTGCCCGTCACCCCCATGTAGGCGACCGGTTGCCTGATCTGCGCACGTTATGGTTCAACGGTGAAGTTGTCACAACGGATCTTGCCCGGCGAGCCAGTAAGGCTTTCCCCCAGACGCGGCTCCTCAATTGCTATAGTGCATGTGAAACCCATGAGATCGCCTGTGGGGACATCCGCGAGATGTTGCAGCAGATCGACAGTGATGCGTTGTATTGCCCCGTGGGTCCCCCCATTGACCCCGAGAACACGTACGTTTTGAACGAGTCCCTGCAAAAGGTGGACGTGGGTGTCAGTGGAGAGCTATTTCTGGCAGGTCCCCAACTCGCCCGGGGATACTTGAATCTTCCGGAGACAACCGCCAAAGCATTCATCACGAATCCTTTCGACTCGAACCCCAGCTCGCGTTTGTACCGAACCGGCGATATCGCGCGATTGCTCCCGTCGGGACTGCTCGAAATCACGGGACGTGTTGGCGCGATGATCAAATTGCGCGGGTACTCTGTGGTACCGGCTAAGGTGGAATATGAGATTGTCACGCATTTGGCGGTCTCCCGCTGCGCGGTGGTGGCCTATGGAGAAGGTCTGGAGCGTCAGCTGGTCGCGTATATTGTGCGAGAACAGGAGAAGTCGGATGATCGTCCCGAAGTAGAGATCAATGATTCCGGCCACAGCCCAGCGGCACGCCGCACCCTCGCGCCTCACTTGGCCCATTATATGATCCCGGCTCTCTGGGTGGAGTTGGATGACCTGCCAACCCATGAAGTCACGGGCAAAGTCGATCTGAAAAACCTCCCGCCACCGCAGAGCCCTCAATTAGTGAATGGCAATGGGCCCAAGCCAGCTAAAGACTCGATTAAGCTAGATGAGATTGCATCTATCTGGGCCGCCGTCCTGAAAACGTCTCGCTCCCTTCTGAAGCCCAGTGATAACTTCTTTGACCTTGGTGGACACTCCTTGTCTCTGGCCGACCTCTCTTCCCGGCTATCGAGGCATTTTGGCTTCCGCGTTCCAATCACTCGTCTGGCCGAAAATACCACCCTGACGGGCCACCTGGAAACAGTTCGGGGAATCCGGGATGGGCACACAGCCGCTGTGCAAGCTGATCTTCCAGCGGTCTTGCGTGCTGATGCGACACTGGATGATGAAATCACGCCCTCCAAGGCCACGGCTTGTCCTATTGACAAAGCGGATACCGTGCTACTGACCGGTGTGACTGGTTTCCTGGGAGCATTCCTTCTTCATGATCTGGTGGAGCACACTTCTGCCCGGATCATCTGCTTGGTGAGATTTAATGAACCAGCCGATGACGACCAGCCCGGTGGTATTGCCCGTATCCGCCGGAACCTCTTGGATTTGGGCTTATGGCGCGACTCAATCATGGAGCGAGTCGAGATTCTCCCTGGAAACCTTTCACGTACCCGTTTTGGTCTTTCCCCAGCAGCATTCGATGAGCTCGCAGGCCGCGTCCAGGTTGTTGTGCACGCGGCGGCGACAGTGAACCTGGTGTACCCATACGCTGCATTGCGCGGCCCCAATGTGGGCGGCACCAGAGAGGTGCTCCGCCTCGCCTGCAAGGGAGGCGCAACCGTGCAGTACGTCTCCACGAACGGCGTGCTGCCTTCATCCGGGGAGTCGGGCTGGCCCGAGGATGCCCTGTTGGACGTCGACCAAGTGCCCGACAAGCTGCTGGATGGCTATGGCCAGACCAAGTGGGTAGCCGAAAAGCTTGTCCTCGAAGCGGCTCGCCGGGGATTGCCGGTGAAAATCCATCGTGCGGGCACTATCAGTGGCCATAGCGCTACTGGTGCTGCCAACGCATGGGATCTACTCACTGCTCTTATGGTCGAGTCTATCCATCTCGGATATGCCCCCAATGTGGACGGCTGGCGGGCGGAGATGACCCCTGTGGACTTCGTCAGCAAGGCCATCGTCCACCTCGCCACCCAGACACACGCGGACCAAACGGTCTTCCACCTGGGTGATCCAAACCCGCTCAGCATGAACTCCGTCTTCGCGGAACTTCAAGAGCTCGGATACCCCACTCAGCCACTGGGCTGGGAGGAATGGGTGGCCCTGTGGACCCAGAAACGAGGCCCGGTGAAGGGAGGCGATGGCGCGTTTACCGTTGACATCCTCCGCAGTGGTATGCCTACCGTTGAGTTCCTCCGGGACGTTGTCGTTCTCAACAATGCCGCAACCCAGCCATCCTTGGCCGAATTGGACCGACCCCAGGTGGGCCGGGCTCTGCTCGAAACCTACACGCGTCATTGGTTCGCCCGAGGATGGCTGACACGGCCTCCCTCCCGGCAGGCTGCCCTGGCGAGCTCACCAAAGCCGAAAGGTCCTCTGCATGGTAAGGTGGCCGTTGTGACCGGTGCATCCTCTGGCATTGGTGCCGCCGTGGCAGTGGCATTAGCTCGCGAAGGCTGCCACGTCGCCCTCGCTGCTCGGCGGGTGGACGCTCTCGAATCAGTGAAGAGTCGAATGACGGCCTATGGAGTGAAGGTGATCGCGCGACCAACCGATGTGACGAATTGTGAACAGGTTGGAGCTCTTCTCACTGCGGCAAATGAAGAGTTGGGCCCCGTCGACATCCTGGTTTCGTGTGCGGGTGTGATGTACTTCACCATGATGGCGAATGTGAAGACTGATGAGTGGGATCGCACGGTCGACGTCAACTGCAAGGGTCTCCTGCACTGTCTCTCTGCCACTGTGCCGGGCATGCTCGCCCGTAGCCGCGGCCATATTGTGGCCATCTCTTCCGATGCCGGCCGCAAAGTCTTCCCTGGCCTTGGCGTCTACTCCGCGAGCAAGTTCTTCGTCGAGGCTACGCTCCAGGCCCTGCGACTGGAGACAGCGGGCACCGGCTTGCGCGTGACTAGCATCCAGCCGGGAAATACATCGACTCCCCTTCTCAACATGTCAACAGATGCTGAAGCCGTGAAGAAATATGGCGAGCCATCTGGAGCTCAGATTCTTGACCCAGAGGATATCGCCAACTCGATTGTTTACGCTTTGCGCCAGCCCGAACATGTCTCGGTCAATGAAGTCCTTGTTGAACCCCGGGACGAGCCAATTTAGGTTGGATGCTCTTCTCTCCCACGCAGTTCGACTTTGTTCTGGATCATCTTATATTAGCGTCGCGAAGTCTTTTACTTTAATTGATCTTTTCATTTTCTGCTCCTGTTCTTTCCACGCAAACTCATGGAAAGCTAGACATTGGATCTTACACGATTATACTGGTATGGTCATAATGGATCAGTGAAGTTATTTAAACTTTATAAAGATATTTACCACTCTTGAAATCTATTACTATCGGCTACATGCCGCTTGCTGCAAAGGGAATTGGATATGTGATGTAAGTCTGTATATGTCCGTACTTTGAATAGAGTCCACATGACAAGTCCCACCCGGTAAATATCGAACCAATCAAGGCGATTCAATTTCCGGGTAAAGGATTCTAGACAAACATGGCAAACATGAGTGAATCATTCTATGCATCAAGTTTTCTTTCTTCTTCTCAAATCCTCGCAATCCGGATTCAAATAATACTGTCAAAAATCACTAGTCTTCAGCCTGTTTGACCTACGTGATGGGGCTGTCTACCGCCTCTCCGTCCAGCGGTGATCTTATACAGAGGCCCGTTCATAGCAATGAAGTACTTGAATCGGGCGCCTACAACGGGAATGAACCCAACTACAGCAATGATGCATTCGAGATGGGCCGACTACCCTCATCACCAGAGAATGAGGTGCAGGAGCCAGACTCGGCCGAAGACAAGTCCCGCGGCCATTGGAGAATCGCTGCTATTATGCTCGCCCTTTCAGTGAGTTATTAGCACCCATTGCCAGAAACACACATCAAGCCCTGATAACTGACGCTAGGACTAGCTCAGCCTCTTCATTTCTGCTCTTGATCAGACTATTGTGGCCACCGCAACACCGACGATCTCTGCAGATCTGCACTCGGGCACAGGCTATGTGTGGATTGGTGGCGCATATTTGATTGCTAACGCAGCCAGTTCTAACATCTGGGCTAACCTATCCGATATCTGGGGGCGCAAGCCGATTCTCCTCTCGGCCGTTGCTTTGTTCTTTGGGGCTTCAATTATCTGTGCCAAAGCCATCAACATGCCTATGCTGATTGCAGGCCGTGGTGTACAAGGTATCGCTGGCGGCGGCCTCATTCAACTCATTACCATCACCATTTCCGACCTCTTTAGCGTCCGGTAATTGTGACTCTCCCCAAAAGAATGCTACACTTGATTCTGACCGACTTCAGACTCCGCAGTCTTTTTATGGGCCTCATCGAATTTATCTGGGCAATTGCCGGGGCTTTAGGTCCCATCGTAGGCGGTGCCTTCACCCAGTCAGTTTCCTGGAGGTGGATATTCTGGATCAATCTGCCTATTTGTGGAACGGCATTCGTGCTCCTTCTGTTATTCCTGGATGTGCACAATCCGAAGACTGGAGTCATGGACGGCATAAAAGCGGTTGATTGGTTTGGTAGCTTCTCCATTCTTGGACTGACGGTCATGGTTTTGCTGGGCCTTGACTTTGGAGGAGCCACCTTTCCTTGGGGTTCGCCGAAAGTGATCTGTCTTATTGTTTTTGGTTGCCTGATGTCGCTGTTTTTCATTTACAGTGAGAAGCGCCTAGCAAAGTATCCGCTTATGCCGTTGGGCATCTTCAAGAACCGTTCTAATATGGCCTGCTTCGTTGTGGCATTCACACATGGCTTTGTGAGTATTTTTAGTGTTCCGCTCGATCGGATCTAACCAGACACTGACGGTCTGCAGGCTTTCCTTGGACAAGAGTACTATCTCCCGCTGTATTTCCAATCAGCCAAGGAAGCGTCTCCTTTCCACTCGGGCCTTCTGATTCTCCCGTATGTTTTGGCAGAAGCTGCCACGAGTCTTGCCGCAGGAATTATTATTCACCACACGGGCCATTATCTCGAAGTCGTGTGGACCGGCACCACACTTGTACTCCTGGGGAGTGGTCTGCTTATCGATTTCAACGCTACCTCCTCACTTGCGAAGATTATCTGTTATCAGATCGTGGCAGGTGCCGGATGTGGCTTGCTCTTCTTCCCGCCCCTCCTCGGCCTCCAGAGCAATGTGCCGCAGGACCAAAATGCCGCCGCGACTGCAACATTTGGCTTCATCCGTAACATGGCCATGGCCATGTCAGTGGTGCTTGGTGGCGTAATTTTCCAAAACAGCATGGACACGCGGCAATCCGGCCTCCTGGCAACGGGTCTGTCTGACTCCATGGTGAAGGAGCTCACCGGATCAGAAGCCGCAGCGAACGTGATGGTCATTCAATCCATTACGGATACACTTCAACGAACTGTCGTCAAGGACGCCTACGCTTGGAGCTTGCGCAACATTTGGATCCTCTACACCTCCTTAGGGGCGTGTGGGCTTCTCTTCAGCCTGTTCATTACCCGCCAGCATCTCAGTGTGGAGCATGTCGAGACCAAAACTGGTCTAAAAGAGAAGCAACCGCTTACCGAACCTCGGCATAACGAGCCTGTCTCTGAACCCTGAGCCATGACCTCGGTGATCCATCCGTGCTGAACAATACTTTCGGGCCTAAAATTCAAGTTGTTTTATATTTTTTTGCACTTTCGGGAACTGTCAATATTGCGGGTATATAAAAAGCACATTAATGTTCAAAACGATCACGTCTTTCCATGTACATAGCCACGAACAAGCTATATATGATCATCAAAGCCAATCACAAAAGCCTTCCACATCCACCTCCACACTCACCAACCCCCCACACCCCTTCTAAAACATAGCAGCAACAGCAACAGCCGCCGCACCAGCCAAAGGCAGACCAGTAGCAACAGCCCTAGCATTGACCGGCGCCCCGATAGCAGCAGCCCCAGGCGTCTGCGTCGCCTGCGGCATAGTGAAAGACTCTACACCACCAGTAACCAACAATCCCCACGTCGTGACCTTATCACTAGCGACACTGACCTTCGTCGACGTCGAACTCGACCACGATCCCCCTCCCCACGTGCCCGTCGCCTTCACCGTCAACGCACAAGACGCCGACTCCGACCAGTGCTTGAACGTACAGGAATAGTCCTGCGTCGCCGTCACGGCATCCTTCTCACTACTCCAGGCCGTGTAAACGCCCGTCAAGCTCCACGATTCTTGTGCCTGGATCATCGTCCAGGGCTTGTCGATCTGGCAGAGTGACTTGGGTGCGTCTTTGGTGCAGCTGATGTGGTAGGTTGTTTCTTTGGCATTAATTCCTGCTACACTGCCCGCCGTGCCGGAGTACGTGGGCTGCCAGAAGGATACTTCGGGGCCGAAGTAGGGGGCCGTGGTTGTTGTTTCATCCTTGGCGACGACAAGGGCCGTAGCGGCGAGGGTGAGGAGGGCGGTTTTGAGTTGCATTTTTTCGGGTGTATCCTTTTCCTTTTCTTAGGGTTTAGTTTATTTTATATGGTATAGATGAGATGAGATGAGATGAGACCAAAGTTCCCAGAATACTCGTTTCTTATAAGTAGTATCCAGTAGTGCTCGAGTAAGAGATATAAAACACCCAGAACAAGCAGAATCAAACACACAGTATCAAAAAAGAAGAAAACGGCCCCTCTTATAATAGTCCCCAAAAGCGCGCCCAGAAAGTAACCGTTCCTCGCTAGCCCAAGCACATGCGCAGTGCTCCCTGTCTACGCGCCGACAATTTTCTTCCCAATGTGACCTGACCACCAAGCTTCATTTTAAATCAGCCCTGACATGGAACCGAATGAGGCTAAATCAAAAGCCACAGGAGGGTCTGAACATAAGAAGCCGACTGGGACTAGGGTTCGTGATTGGATAGTACATTTACTTTTGTGAGTCACAGTGCAGAATGAGTGTCCTCAGTGGTTGCTCGTTGAAAAGACAGTGGGAGGCTATTGGAATTATTGAAATTACTACTTGCGTTAGGGCTTCGTTAGCGTTGGGGGTTGTCGGGGCCGTTTTTTGCTGTGGTTGTCCTTGTTAGGGCTTAGTTAACTGGAGGTCATGCTTTTTGGGGCTTGGTTCCCGACGCTAGAGTTATTGATGTTACTCTATGGGAGGGGCTATTATATTAGGCTGAAAACTCGGCTGCGGAGAAGTTGTGCATAAGCCTCGTGACTTATGTCTGGTGGTGGTGGCTGCTGATGCTGCCTATGCCTGGGGATGGCGTGTGGCTTGCTTGTGCAATCTTGGGAACCTGTGTAGGCATATTTGGGGCAAGTCGGTTGCTCTGGACGGAGCTCGCCCAGGTGATGTTATAGAGCTCTTCGTTCGGAGGATTCGAGAAGCTGCACGTAGTCCTGTATAAACATGTTCCCGGGGTAGACGCTCGTTTACATTGTTTGATTGGCTGTCAGCCAAGAGCGGTTGTCATAATGCCTTTTATCCCACAGCTTGACATTCTAACAAGGCTAGCTTTTCGTTCCACCTTTCCATGTTTCTATTTCTTTCGCTACAATCACTCTTCTCTTATGACCTCAACATTTCTGTTATATGACGTCTCAATATGGCATTGATCCTTGGTACAGAATCTACTAGCCTTTCGTGGGTCATTGCGGCCTAGGGCTGTCTGCGAGTTAACGACGTCCAAACCCCCCTCGAAGGGCGCCATTTCGATACACACTCGCGCCCAAGTCAAGTCCTCCATCAACATGAAGCCAACTTCTAAATCTGACCAAACGGTGGAGGCAGAGCTTGAAATCGTCACCAAAGACCCTGTTGACAACCTTAAAAATCTTTTGTATGAAGGGAGTAGAGTTCAACTACCTGAAGGTACGCCATTCTATCTTACTACACTTTCAAGAAGCCACTGAATAACCATAATGCCTCATCGCCACGCAGGCCCAAGGGTGTCGGTATCACGGGAAACTATATAATCAAAGCTCCTCCAGAATACTAGGCATATGTAACTCTCCGCTATCTCCACGGAGGATGCCTATTAGTACGATGGTGCTATCACTCTCAGAAGCTTTTGACCGAAACCTTTTTCCTGCCAGCTTCATGGAATCTTCTCATACAAGCATCAATTTCCACACCTAAGCAGAATGTATGTTCATGTCATTTATGTCTCCATTCACAACTATGTACAATTTCAATCCCCGAATCATTACAGCTTGGACTTCCAGCCGGTAGATACGGCCTGTAGTACCACTCCTGTCATCATAAGGACCTTTTCTTCTTCAAGTCGCCGTGACACTAACTGCAGGCTGACCGGCATCCCGTCAACTGCAGATGCATTATCTAGAACTCAGAAGTTAGTATGATCCATCTCGGGCTATCTGGAACGATAACTGTGGGGTATGTACGTACAATCACCCTGTATCCTGGCATCTACATCACTCAATGCCTTGTGGCTGTGATACGACGCATCCAAAGCCTTGCTGGCCTTCACACCGCAAGGGAAGGAAACAGCAGGGTAGTCGAGGATATTGAATACACCAGTATATCCCACATACGCAAACTTACCGTGCTCCACGGAGCTGTATGGGGTTGTTGGACCTGATTCACACGGGAAAAGTTAGCGAATGCAGTCCAAAGGTATTTATCAACCAGGAAGGAAATCAGAATCATACAGAGAATTCCATCAATCCCACTAGTATTCCATCGGTGAAGATAATCTTTCTGTAGATTATTCCGCTCAAGATGAATCTGCCACATTTTATGGACACCAAGCTCCGTGGCTTTCTCGTAATCTCGCATTTCCTCCCGGAACGGCTCCCCCGTCGGTGCCAGCAGCCCACGCACTGACTTGCCGCCGTCGGCGACGAACTTGCGTTGTAGAAGCTCTCGTGCTTCCTTGTGCCCTGTTGGCGTCCAGTCGATTACCTCGTGGCCGGCCTTTCTTAGTCGGTCGACTGTTTCCTTCAGGGCACGAGCTACGGGCGGTGTGGGAGTGACGATGCCATCGTTCCACATTACAGCTAGTTTGAGTCGGTGCTTTGGCTCAGCTGGGCGCCATGGGATAGGGAGACACTTCGGGTCGTTAACCCAAGGCTCTTGGTCGATGACGGTCTTGGAATAGAATGTGATTTCCTCCAATGTCGGTGCCATGGGACCATTAACGCTGTTCACGGCTTCTTGACCCGCCAGTCCGGATCGCGTTTGGAAGTTCGGGAATCGTCCAAAGGAAGGCCGCAGTGTGAAGATACCTGTACAAGCGGCTGGGATGCGGAGAGAGCCACCTGATGCCACTGTTAGCACTCTCCACTGGCTAACAGTCTTCTATCAGTGTTAGGGTAAAGTGGATCGCTCACCAATGTCAGTCCCAACGCCGATGCGACTCGCACCGAATGAGATGAGCGCCGATTCACCCCCGGACGAGCCACCGGATGTCAGTTTCCGATTGAGGGGATTCACGGTCCGGCCGAAGACATTGTTGACGGTCTCGGCGATCATCATCGCAGTGGGCACGTTCGTCTTCACGTACAGCACTGCTCCGCCCTGCAGGAGGAGATCTGTGAGGGTACTGTTGTATGTGGCGGGGTCATTGACGAGCGATGTGAAGCCCACCGTGGAGTCCTTGCCGATGATGTTGAAGTTGTCCTTGAGGGAGATTGGGAGGCCATGGAATGGACCTTTCGGCTTTCCTGTCTTGCGTAAGTGGTCATCTAATTGCTTGGCTCGAGCGATGGCTTCGTCGAAGAGGATCTCGGAGAGGCAATTCGTCTAGGCATCTCTTAGTATGTCTCCAAATCGAAGCTTGGGTGACTCGGAGGCGTATGTACCAATTGGTGAGCCGCTGCGGCAGCCTTACAGAACACTTTTGTCACTTCCTCCGATGTCCATGACCCGGTTTCCAAATGGGCCAAGATCCTAGGCGCTGAGGTGGACAAGATCTCGAGCTCTCTGTTAGTGAACCATCCAGACTGTCGCGGGAAAGATGTGACGTCTGTTTGATGCTCTGGGGGAAGAAGATGGGCAGGAATTATCCATTCCGACGGAATGGCAGCTCTGAGCGATTCCTGCTTGCTTTTCGCAATTGCTTGCCAGGAATTCATCTTGTCTGGCAGAATGGGTGACTGAGATTTGAATTGGAGGAAAGGTGACAACGTTGTGGACGTTACTATCGGACATTACTGGGGAAACTGCTCCCCATCTTATAGAGACGAATGAGAATACCGTAGTCCTGCATAGATGCAGCAAGGAGCGGCTGCGGGGATCCTTAGCACAGAACAGATTATGACCCCCTCACGCCTCCTCACCGATAAGATCCAAGTGCCTAGGTCGAACGATATCGTTGAACCTTCTTCGTTCTGTCCCTCTTTGTCTCGGTACTGATGCCCTATAGCAATCGCCGAGGAAGGTTTATCTGAATCAGGTATCGTGGTGATAGCCGGAAAACGAGGCTATCTATCAGGATTTAGCCACTGATTGATGTATTGCCCGGCAATGGATAGCCGGGGTAGTGGCACAAGAGCAGGTTCGTATCGCAACTGAACCGCAGTTCCACTTAGGGTTCCGCGATGTCATTGGAAGAGCGGATGTCACGGAATGAATGCCGAAGTCAAGTGATAGGACGACCAAACGCGGGGTTGCGACTGGATCGATGGCTGGCAGCAGGAAAGTGGATCTGATTGTTTATCAGTCGCGGCGATACTATGGTTATGATTATGGCTACCTTGAGGGTGTTTTGGAATATCTCCTCCACGATGCTATCTGTGACTTCTGAGACTTCATTGACTAGGTCGGTGTATCAGACCGTCTAGTAAATCACTAACTGATCATCTCTCCGTTCTATCAACGCCAAGCATGTTGCTTCTTTTTAGGCGCAAGAGGAATCGACCTGAAGCTCCTCCGCTTGGTGCCACCTTATCTTCCATTGGTGAAGTTGGGCAAGTGTCTGGGCAGGCGGGATTGCTGATAGCAACCCGCCTTGTCCTCCTCATGGCGATCTTAATTAGAGTTTACAAAGATCAAAGTATGGCCATGGGATACTCTGGTTCATCGGGGGTGCTAGTATAAAGAGGCTTGAGGAGGCTCGCTGAGAAGTAGGTCCTCACCTGTCCTGCGCCAAACCATACACATAGCCGAGATCACCATGTTGGCCAATCTCAAAACCTATCTGAAAGGCCAGGAATCAAGGCCCGGGGAGGAGAGACTGCTGCGAAAGCTGGATTTCTTCATCCTCTCATTTTGTTGTTTGACATACTTTTTCAATTACCTAGATCGCTCCAACCTGTCTAACGCGTATGTATCGGGCATGAAAGAGGAGCTCAACTTCCAAGGAAACCAATTGAATGTTATCAATACCATTTTTACTGTCGGCTATATCCTCGGTCAAATACCCTCGAATTTGGCATTGACCTATATTGCTCCCCGCATCTTTTTCCCTACCATGATTGTTTTCTGGGGCGGTCTTACCATGATCACAGCCGCCGTGCACAATCCCCAGGGCATCATGGCTATTAGGTTTTTCTTGGGGTTGGCGGAATCCAGTACCTTCGCTGGAACTCATTACATTCTTGGTGCTTGGTATACTGAGAAAGAGCTGGGCAAACGAAGCGGCATCTTCACTGCCTCCGGACTCGCCGGTACCATGTTTGGAGGCTTCATCCAGGCAGGCATCCATTCATCGCTCGATGGGGCCCGTGGACTATCCGGTTGGCGATGGCTCTTCATCATCGACGGACTAATCACCCTCCCCATCGCACTCTATGGACTGTTCCTATTCCCTGATACTCCTGCCACGACCCGGGCGCCATATCTCTCTGCTTCCGAGCGAGCTCTGGCTATTTCCCGTATGCCGGAGGCAAGCGCAGCGAGGTCGCGCTTAGACATGGCCTTTGCGAAGAAGATATTCGGCACCTGGTACTGGTATGGCTTCGTCATGCTCTGGATCATCGCCGGTGAGACAGAATCCTTCTCAACCAACACCCTGCTCGCACTCTACATGAAGTCCCACCCGACCAACAAATATACCGTCTCGCAGCTAAACAACTATCCATCGGGAGTGCCCGCCGTGGGTATTGTGTCGACCTTATTTTGGGCTACGTTAACCGATTTTATGGGCGGGAAACGCTATCTAGTAGGGTTCTTCATTGGGATCACCGGCATTATCACCTCTGCACTGATTCTGACTCAGTTCTCCTCCACCGCCACGGTCTTTGGAGCCTATTACTGGGCCGGCGCAGTATATGCCTGTCAGGCTACATTCTTTGCATGGTGCAACGATGTCATGCGGTACCAGGATGGTCGGCTGCGCTCAGTGGTAATTGCCAGTATGAATCTGGGAAGTAATGCCGTCAACGCTTGGTGGAGCATCCTCTTTTACTCTGCTACTTTTGCCCCGAGGTTTACCAAGGGTATGTGGGCTATGATCGGGTGTTCGATTGCTCTGATTCTCTGGACGAGTGGTATTATATATATGAACATGAGAGAGACACGGGAAGGGTTAGATGGTGTTGAACAGGCTGAAGAGGAAATAGCGGAGAGGTCAATTTACAAACCCAAAGACTAGAGTAGGTTGTAGCGAAAGTAATGCTACAATATATTCGTTCTCTTTTGATCTGTGATGTGGTAAGCGTTATTTGTAAGACTTGACTCGTGTTGAATTTATGGCTTTATCGGCGTGTTCCGATAAGAGAAACGCGGGATATCAACGTGCGGAGACTCCCGACCCCCCCATTGACGTCGTTGATATTTATTTCTCCCACTTCCCCTTTCCACTTCTCTTCTCTTCTCCAATTACTCTTCCCAAGAATACCAATTGAGCTTCAGGAAAGAATCGCAAGGCCGGTCCTTGCCTATTACTACCCCTCCGACGCCACCCCACAAAGCAAAATACAAGAAGAAACAACCAACCAGCACAATGGCGCCAATTCTCACCACCACGCCGACAGTCCATGTCGCACCCTCACCACTCACCAAAGAAGCCTTCGCTCCCTTCGGCACCGCAGTTTACTCTCCGCTCCCCCGAGATCTCAACCAAGCACCATCCAGCGTTTCCTCCCTGGCACCACACTCCCCCACCCCAGTCCTGGCGAACCAAAACTCGGCGCTGAAATACAGCCCCATCTCCCCGCTCCAAGACAACTACACCGGCCACTGCCCCAGCAACCAGCCCTCCTCCGCCCGAATGACCATGTTCAGCTGCTTCCCTCGCCAACTGCGCGCCCTCCCGACCAAAACCACGAAAGTCTTCGACGTCCGCATCCTCGAACGTCACCCCTTCACGACCCAGACCTTCACCCCGATCGACCTCTCCAGTCAGTCTACTGCCGGTGGTCAGGATGAGCCGTGTTTCTTGGTTGTGGTTGCTCCGACGTTGAAGGGGCAGACCGCTACGGCTATGACTCCCTCCGGACCGGTTACGGTCAGGGATCCCCCCGATCTGAAGAATTTGAGGGCCTTTGTGGCGCGGGGTGGACAGGCGGTTACGTATGGGGCTGGGACGTGGCATGCGCCGATGGTGGTGATTGGGTCCAGACGGGTGGATTTTGTGGTCGTGCAGTTTGTTAATGGGGTTGACGAGGAGGATTGTCAGGAGGTGGCATTTGGGGAGGGCGTTGTGGTTGAGGTGGAGGGAGAGGGAGAGGGGAGGGCTGTGGCGAAGCTTTAGGGTTATGTGGTTTTGCTCCTTGTTGATGATGGTGGGTGATGAGGGGGTGAGGCTTGGGTTGTGAGGTTTATGATGTGATGTATTATATCCTGGGATGGAAGGGTTGGTTGTGTGGCTATTTTTATGAGTTGATGGTTATTGTACATATATGATCGGGAGTGGAAAAAGCATTGTAGAATGAATATGAGAAATTGCATACATTATGCGCTAGGATACCACGGGCTGAGGTTTGGAACATGCTCCGGCTTTCCAATTTACATTTGCTGACCATGTTTTCTCACCGCGACGAACGCTATTCCGCACGCTTCGGGCCATCTCAAGGGCCTCTTTCGGTAATCCTGCGAGCTGGGCCACCTTCAGCGCATGGGACTCGCGATTCACGCCCTGGCGCAGCCGATGGACGAACGAGAATGACCCCGAGGCGGTTTCCTTGACGTCCGTGCAGTACCGGCCTAGAGCGTCAAAATCGTGTGTCATGTCTGCGAGCTCGTGGAAGTGAGTTGCGAACAGCGCGCGGCATCGGTTGCGATAATGCAGATGGTGTAGACATGCGAAGCTGACGGCGGTGCCATCTTCGGGGGTGGTGCCGCGGCCAACCTCGTCCATGATAACGAAGGAACGGGATGTTGCCTGCTTCAGAATAGCGGCTGTCTCGAGCATTTCCACCATGAACGTGGACTGGTCGCGGAACAGATCGTCCGCCGCGCCGATACGACTGAAGATTTGGTCTACGATCCCGATCTCGGCGTATTCGGCGGGGACAAACGATCCGACCTGCGCGAGAATCGTGATCAGTGCGTTCTGACGCAGGAAGGTGCTCTTCCCGGCCATGTTGGGCCCCGTAATGAGCCAGATGCGTTCCTGATCGCCTAGGAAGCAGTCGTTGCTGACGAATCGTCGGCCCTGCTCTTCGAGGCCGAGTTTGACTGTTGGGTGTCTTCCCCCCACGATTTTGTGGCAGGTTCCCTTGGTCAGAATGGGCCTAACGAGGCGCTGTTCTTGTGCTAGTGTTGCAAATGAGCACGCGACGTCCAGTTCGTCCATTACAGCTGCATTGCGCCGGATCTTTACGAGGTTGAGAATCACTTCGCGACGAAGGCGTTCAAAGATCAGTTGTTCCTCTTGCCGAATTTGGAGTTTCACTTGGTCTGTTCGACTGCCTAGCTCAGTCCATGCAGGTAGGTAGAACGACCTGGTTGATTTAGTTGTTGAGACGTTTCGCGTTACTCCCAATTCTTCAAGGGCTTGCTGGGATACTTTCGTGCCCTTGACATGACATATATGACCGAGACCAGGGGTCCACTTGAGGGTAAGAGTAGATGACCCTACAGAATCACGAAGACGCTGGGTCAAGCGGACCTTCTCGTCCTGTAGTTTGCTTAAAGCTTGGTGGAGTTTACGTAGAGCTGGGCTTGCGTCCCGCCTCATAATCCAGGTGTCGACGTCTGATGGCTCATCTGCAGCTGTGCCAGCTCGATTAGAGCTTTTAGATCGGACTTTCTTCGGCAACGCGTCGAGGTCAGTTGGCAAGCCCTCATTCATGGTGACTTCCTGCGCTAGAATGGCGGCCTCTGCAGCGGTGTCATCTTCAATCCGCTGCTTTTGGATTAGCCCTTCTTCATCAATAGCAGCCAATATTTTCTCTGCAAGTATCGTAGGCCCATCTAAATGAAGCCGATTGGTCATAGCTGCAAGATTATCATTGGCTTGGGCGGACGAGGAGACGTCGAAGCCTGTGGCGGAAAGGACCCGCTTGATCTCCTTCGAGGCTTCTATAGCCCTTGAAAGACAAATCAGGTCATCTGGGTCTCCCCGTCCAAGTGTGAACTTTTGGACAAGCCGCTGAGCGTCATAGCTCCGTTTCAAAAGCTGTGACACACTATCACGTAGCTCACGGTTGGCGATTAAAATCGACACAAGGTCAAGGCGCTCGTTGATCACCTGTAAGGAAGTAGACGGAGAACCTAGACAACAAGGGGTTAGATTACAACCACGAAAACCATGAGCAGATAAAATGTGGGTGTGAGACATACTCAAACGGTCCCTCAGGAGACGCGCTCCGCTTTTGGTGGAGGTACGACGAACTGCATGAAGCAGACTCCCTTTGCCGAAGCCATCCCGAGCGGTTTCGATAATCTCCAGTCCTCTCAAGCTATTGCGGTCAATATTCATGGATTCGCTCAAGTGCCGTCGACGAGGGGGTTGAAGCTTCAGATCTAATCCCTGTAATTGAGCCCGGATATATTCCAAGAGGCTATAACCAGCGGCTGTTTCCTCCGCCGTGAAAGACTTGATAGATTTAGGAGAAACGGGTGCTTCGAGCATCGAATCCCACCGAGACAGGGGCAAGATGTCCCGGGGAAACGGGAAGAATGTCATCAGTCGATGATCGTGTCCTACTAGCAGTTGCAGCTCCTGTCCGATCAAATCTTGAATACCCTGGTCAACCAGAATCTCTCGAGCACCAATCCTTGCTATAGCCGAAGGAAGCATTTGCGCTGTTGTAGACTGGGTAAAAAAGTCACCGGTGGAAAGATCTAACCAGGACAAGCCTACGGGCTGAGATGCAGACGACAGTACATGTTGATGCGACGAGACATCATGTTGCTGTTCTAGCTGGGCTTTCAACGACAGTTCATCTATGTATATGGCTAGGAGAAAATTGTTTTCCGCAGGATCCATGAACTTCTCGTCAATCAATGTGCCCGGGGTGATAATTCTGGCCACCTTTCGATCGAAGAGAAGCCCCCCGGTACGAGCTTTGTCCTCCGCACCGTGTGCGAATTCCTCGCTAATGGCAACGTACTTATTGAGATCTTGTACAAGGGTTTTCAGGAAGCGGTCTAATTGGAAGAATGGAAAACCCGCCATGGGAACAGGACCGGCGCTGGTCTTCTTGGAAGCAAGCTTGATATTCAGCAATGGAGCCAGCTCCTCAGCTTGCTCGAAATACAGCTAGAATCAGGTTAGGAATGAAAGTTTACGCGCTGAAGACCTCAGCGGGTAGATGAATTCTCCGGATTCGCTCCCGTACCTCATAAAAGCCTCCAACTCTGGTAAGGATAACACAATTCTGAAACTTTTCCATATTATTCCTATGTCCTTGCACGACCGGCGGGTATCGTGGTGCATCTTCTACGGTATCATGATAAGGTTCTAGCTTCAATGCTCCTTGTGGTAGGTCCTTTAGTTTCACAGTAGAGCGCGTTTTGGCACCCCTTTGGAGTGTGAAATTTGGAGCCGGAGAAGGCATCGCGACGCGCAGCGACGAACGGCGGGCATGATGGCAGATGGTTCGGTGTACCTGGCAGTGATATGGTAATATAACATCGGTTTTGCAGAGAGGGGAGATACGCGATGGGATCAAGTGTGAAATTCGGCTGCCAAAAACTGGCATGATCCCAGTGTGAATCGAACGTTGAATATAGTTGTAGTTTGGCTTCGTCGCGAGCTTCACAAGAGAAGCTCTTTGCCCGAGGGCGAAAAGGGTAAAGCGTTGATCAGTGCCTGAGGCAACAATCGCCAAACCTTCCGTCTTCGCCACTCAAATCTGCTCGAAGAGAACTTCGGAAGCGGAACTCTCAAACGCAACAACTCTTCAACACCGCGAAACATCCCACGCAAGCTTGCGGCCCTGCACCCACGAGGAAGCTTGTCTGCTGCAGGAGGATGCTCCAGGTTTGTGAAACCTTCTGGAATCTCATATAATTGCAGGATTCATTTCTCGTCGCAGGAGTGTCGACGCGCCGGTTGATCGTGAGCTCCACCGAGCCCAGACGACTCATTCCAGTCGTAACACGATCGCGTTTGATTTCAATTACTTTCCTTCTTTTGTTTCACAGTTAATCGCATTATAATACCATCAAGATGGCGGACCAAAATATCTCTCAGTATAAGTACTCGGCGATGTCCAACCTGGTTCTCCAGGCGGACCGTCGTTTCATTTCTCGCATCAACGATGAACCCACAGGAGACCCAGAATCCCTCGCAGGTCGGATTAGTATTCGGGAGATGGGCGGCAGGATGGCGCGTGATGATGCGCCAAAGACGAAAAAGAAAGCCGGTCTGACAGATATTGAGCGGGGTTCGATTCGAGAGGGCGAGGATGTACTCGCTCGAGAACAAAAGAAGCGCCAACGAGGCCAACCAGCACAATTACGAGGTCAAGGTATCCTTTCGGCTGCCGATGCTGTTGTCGAAGGGTTGAAATACCGCCCCCGCACGCCTGCCACCCGAGCCACATATGACCTTATCCTTACCATGACCGCAAACCATCTCGGCGATGTTCCTCACGAAGTCGTACGAAGTGCCGCCGATGCCGTGCTGGAATACCTGAAGGATGAGGACATGAAAGATTTCGATAAGAAAAAGGAGATCGATGATTTGCTTGGTAGTTCGATGAATCCTAAAGAATTCAATGAGCTTGTCAATTTGGGCAAGAAGATCACCGACTATGACGCGCAGGACGAAGATGAAGATATGGATGGTGGTCTTCAAGGTGAAGGTGAGGAGGAACTTGACGAACGCCAGGGTGTTGCCGTTGTTTTCGACGAGGAAGACGAAGATGACGAGCGGATGGGCACTGTCAACGAAGTGCGAGACGACGATGAGTTGTCAGATGAGGACGAGGCAGATCAGCAAGACGCGCCCGGCACTGACGAGTCAAGTGCCGAAAAGGTAGACGCCGATGATCTCGACACTGAGGAAATGGTAATAGACGGCGGCATGGAGCGTGATGATGATCGAGGGGGTAAAGCACTTAAGGTTTCGGCTCGTGAAATTGATGCCTACTGGCTTCAACGTGAGATCGGTAAAGCATACTCAGATGCCCATATCCAACAAGAGAAGGCTACGGAGGCACTGGAGATTCTTGGTGGTAAAGGCGAGGATGGCGCTGAGAAGCCACTCCGGGATGTGGAAAACGATCTAATGGAGCTCTTCGACTATGACTATCCGGACCTCGTTGCTAAACTGGTTACGAACCGTGACAAGATTGTTTGGACCACTCGATGGCGCAGGGTGGCTGAAGATGCGGATGCCCGCAATCTTGTTGAGAGCGAAATGGTCGAAGCCGGACATCGTGCCATTTTGGATGAAATTAGAGGAAAGACTGCTCGTGATGACGGCACTGGTCGCCCTGAGAAAAAGATCAAGCTCGACCTGATGGACGTCGATGTACCAAATGCTCCTGGTCCAGAAGAAAAGCCAGCCGATGGCGGCTTGGTCCGAGGCCTTCAACCCAAGCGGCTGATCAATCTGGAAAACCTCGTCTTCCACCAAGGAAATCACCTGATGACAAACCCCAGTGTCAAATTACCCCAGGGTTCGACCAAGCGGACATTCAAAGGGTACGAAGAGATTCATGTGCCCCCTCCCAAAGCGAAGAGAGATCCCGGAGAAAAGAACATCCCGACCACAGAACTTCCCGAATGGGCGCGAATTGGTTTCGGAAGCTCGAAGGAACTCAACCGTATCCAGACTAAGTGTTTCCCTACGGCCTTCCATGATGATGGTAATATGCTTGTCTGTGCGCCTACTGGATCCGGAAAGACCAATGTTGCCATGCTCACCGTCCTTCGAGAGATTGGGAAGAACCGTAACCCTCAAACTGGCGAAATAATGCTCGACGACTTTAAGATCGTTTTTATCTCACCTCTGAAGGCCTTGGTTCAGGAGCAAGTTGGAAACCTTGGCAAGCGTTTGGAGCCCTATGGCATCAAGGTCGCCGAACTTACTGGCGATCGCCAGCTTACAAAGCAACAAATCGCTGAAACCCAGGTCATTGTTACGACTCCAGAGAAGTTCGATGTTGTTACGAGAAAGGCATCAGAGACAAGCTATATTAAACTTGTGCGGCTTGTTATCATTGATGAGATCCATCTTCTTCACGATGATCGTGGCCCTGTCATTGAAAGCATCGTAAGTCGGATTATTCGCAAGGGCGAGCAGACTGGTGAGCCTGTCCGAATTGTTGGTCTGAGTGCCACCCTCCCTAACTACCGGGATGTGGGAAGCTTCTTGCGAGTTGACCCTGTAAAAGGCCTATTCCATTTCGATGGCTCCTATAGGCCTTGTCCGTTGAAGCAGGAGTTCATTGGTGTTACAGACAAGAAGGCCATCAAGCAGTTGAAGACCATGAATGATATCTGTTATAATAAGGTCATTGAGCAAGTCGGGCAGCATAGGAACCAGATGCTTATCTTCGTTCACTCTCGGAAAGAGACTGCCAAAACGGCGAAGTATATCCGAGACAAGGCCTTGGAGATGGAGACTATTGGTCAAATCTTGCGAAGCGATGCTGCTAGTCGAGCCATCCTGGCTGAAGAAGCAGAGTCCGTAGATGATGCATCGCTGAAGGATCTACTCCCCTACGGTTTTGGTATTCATCATGCTGGTCTGAGTCTGGCCGATCGTGACTCAGTCCAGGCACTCTTCGCGGATGGCAGCATTCAGGTTCTAGTTTGTACCGCGACACTTGCTTGGGGTATTAACCTTCCTGCGCATACTGTCATCATCAAGGGCACCCAGGTTTATTCTCCAGAGAAGGGCAGTTGGGTTGAACTGAGCCCTCAAGATGTCCTCCAAATGTTGGGAAGAGCTGGTCGACCGCAATATGACACTTTCGGCGAAGGTATCATTATCACTTCTCAGACGGAGATTCAGTACTACCTCTCCCTCATGAATCAACAACTCCCTATTGAGAGTCAACTTGTGAGTAAACTTGCGGATAATATGAATGCCGAGATCGTTCTTGGAAATATCCGGACGCGCGATGAGGGTGTCGACTGGTTGGGTTACACCTACCTTTTCGTCCGTATGCTCCGCTCTCCTGGGCTGTATAGTGTTGGTGCCGACTACGAGAACGACGATGCTTTGGAGCAGAAGCGTGTTGATCTCGTCCACTCTGCGGCAGTGGTCTTGGAGCGGGCAGGCCTTGTGAAATACGAGAAGAAGACTGGTCGTCTTCAGTCTACTGAACTGGGACGGGTTGCTTCGCATTACTACATTGGCCACAACTCCATGTTAACGTACTCTCAACATCTTCAACCATCCGTCACTACCATTGAGCTCTTTCGAATTTTCGCTCTTAGCGATGAGTTTAAGTATATCCCTGTGCGTCAGGACGAGAAGCTTGAACTAGCGAAGCTTCTAGGCCGTGTGCCGGTTCCTGTCAAGGAAGGTATTGATGAGCCTCACTCGAAAATTAATGTTTTGTTACAGGCTTATATTTCGAGACTGAAGCTTGATGGTCTTGCTTTGATGGCAGACATGGTATATGTTACCCAATCCGCTGGTCGTCTTCTGCGAGCTCTGTTCGAGATTTCGCTCAGGAAGGGTTGGTCATCTGTTGCCAAGACAGCTCTCGATCTCTGCAAGATGGCTGAAAGACGCATGTGGCCGACAATGACACCTCTTCGTCAGTTCCCATCCTGCCCCAGGGACATCATGCAAAAGGCGGAAAGAATCGACGTGCCGTGGTCAAGCTATCTTGACCTTGATCCTCCGCGTATGGGTGAACTTTTGGGTATGCCGAAGGCTGGACGTATTGTCTGCGATCTTGTGTCTAAGTTCCCTCGTCTGGAAGTCCAAGCGCAAGTTCAACCGGTGACACGGTCCATGCTACGCGTTGAGTTGACCATCACGCCCAACTTTGTTTGGGACGAGACGTTGCACGGAACCGCGCAAGATTTCTGGATTGTAGTTGAGGACTGTGATGGCGAGGAAATCCTTTTCCACGATCAGTTCATGCTTCGCAAAGACTATGCGCAGTCGGAGATGAATGAGCATCTTGTTGAGTTCACCGTACCTATCACCGAGCCGATGCCCCCCAATTACTTCATTTCACTCATCTCCGACCGCTGGATGCATTCCGAAACGAAGATCGCTGTCTCCTTCCAGAAGTTAATCCTTCCAGAAAGATTCCCCCCGCACACTCCTCTATTGGCCATGCAAAGCGCCCCAGTTAAGGCATTGAAGCGTGACGAGTACCAGAACTTATACGCCGATTGGCAGTATTTTAATAAGATCCAGACGCAGACCTTCAAATCGCTCTTTGATACAGATGATAATGTCTTCGTCGGTGCCCCTACTGGGAGCGGAAAGACCGTGTGTGCAGAACTTGCGTTACTACGTCACTGGGCAAAGGAGGATAGCGGTCGTGCTGTCTATATTGCCCCCTTCCAGGAACTGGTTGATCAGCGACATGCTGACTGGGAGAAGAGGTTGAGCAAGCTCTCCGGTGGCAAGACTATCGTGAAGCTTACTGGAGAGACTACGGCTGACCTGAAGCTCTTGGAGCGGGCAGACCTTGTCCTCGCCACCCCAACACAGTGGGACGTCCTTTCTAGGCAATGGCAGAGGCGCAAGAATGTACAGACTGTGCAGCTCTTCATCGCAGATGAGCTCCACATGCTAGGAGGCTATGGGGGCTATGTTTATGAGGTCGTGGTGTCGCGCATGCATTCTATCGCTCTCCAGCTCGAGAATGGCATGCGGATCATTGGTCTAAGCGTGTCGCTTGCCAACGCTCGCGACATTGGCGAATGGATTGGTGCCAACAAACATACCATCTACAACTTCAGTCCCCATGCCCGTCCAGTTCCTCTGGAACTCCACATTCAGTCCTTTAGCATCCCTCATTTCCCCTCCCTTATGTTGGCGATGGCCAGACCAGCATATTCTTCGATCCTGCAGCTCTCACCAGACAAGCCTGCAATCATTTTCGTGCCAAACCGCAAGCAAACTCGCTCCACCGCCATGGATCTGCTGGCCGCTTGTGCTACCGATGATGATGAAGACCGGTTCTTGAATGCCGATGTCAACGAATTGGCTCCGCTACTTAATCGGGTTCAGGAGCAGACCTTGGCTGAGTCACTGTCTCACGGTATCGGATACTATCACGAGGCATTGAGTGCTACGGACAAGCGAATTGTTTCCCACCTTTTTTCGATTGGTGCTATTCAGGTGCTCCTTGCTTCTCGGGATGTGTGCTGGGAGCTCAATCTCACGGCACACTTGGTAATCGTTATGGGGACGCAATTCTTTGAAGGCCGCGAACATCGGTATATCGACTATCCTATCAGCGAAGTTCTGCAAATGTTCGGTAAAGCCTCTCGTCCTGGCGAAGATAAGATTGGCCGAGGCGTGCTCATGGTTCCGTCCGTCAAACGCGAATACTACAAGAAGTTCCTTAACGAGGCGCTTCCTGTGGAGAGCCATTTGCAGGCTTACTTGCATGATGCCTTTGTGACTGAAATCAGCACTAAAGTTGTTGGCTCTACCCAGGATGCCGTCGACTGGATGACGCACACGTACTTCTACCGTCGCCTCCTGGCTAACCCCAGCTTCTACGGTCTCACTGATGTTAGCTACGAGGGCCTCAGCACCTTTTTGTCGGAGCTTGTAGAGAACACATTGAAGGAACTCTCGGAAGCCAAGATCATTGATTTGGATGAAGAAGACGATAGTGTTTCACCTCTCAATGCCGCTATGATCGCAGCCTACTACAATATCTCTTTTATCACCATGCAGACCTTCCTCCTTTCTTTGTCGTCTCGTACCAAACTCAAGGGTATTCTCGAGATTGTCACATCGGCTACGGAGTTTGAGTCGATCCAGATGCGTCGCCACGAAGACCACATTTTGCGCCGTGTGTACGACCGGGTGCCTGTCAAGATGTCCCAGGCTGCATATGACTCGCCGCACTTCAAGGCTTTCGTTCTGCTCCAAGCTCACTTCTCGCGCATGCAACTTACCATTGACCTGGCGAAGGATCAAGAAGTCATTGTTAGCAAGGTTCTCAACTTGCTCAGCGCATGTGTGGACGTTCTCTCCTCCGAAGGCCATCTGAATGCTATGAACGCTATGGAAATGTCCCAGATGGTTGTTCAGGCCATGTGGGATCGGGATAGCCCTCTCAAGCAGATTCCTCACTTCAGCCCTGAGGTGATTAAGGTGGCTAATGAGTTCGGCATCAACGACATCTTCGAGTTCATGGAAGCCATGGACCCCTCGGAGAACAAGGAGTATGCTACACTGGTCAAACGTCTTGGTCTTGACAACAAGCAATTGGCACAGGCAGCAGCCTTCACCAACGACAAATATCCCAATATCGATGTCGACTTCCAGGTCGAAGATCCGGACGATATCACTGCTGGCGAGCCTGCGTACCTCAAGGTCAAGATCGAACGGGAAGTTGAAGAAGACGAGGAGCCCGACATGACAGTTCACGCGCCCTTCTACACCAACAAGAAGATGGAGAACTGGTGGTTGGTTGTGGGAGATGAGAAGACCAAGAGCTTGCTTGCGATTAAGCGAGTTACCGTTGGGCGGAAGTTGGAGTTGCGTCTCGAATACATCGTTCCGACTCCTGGCGAGCATGAATTGACATTGTACCTGATGAGCGACAGCTATGTGGGAGTTGACCAAGCGCCAACTTTCAATGTCACCGCCGCTGAGGGAATGGAAGAGGATGAGAGCGAGGAAGAAGAGGAGGAGTAAGGGAGAAAGTGCATGAGAGATATTTTGATTTATTTGTTACTCTAGGGTGACCTTTGTATGATGATTTTACCTTGGTCCATGTTTGTGTAATTATAAGCTGTAATGTGGAAAGAAAAACCTAGAGGTTCGGGATTTTGCTACGTACAGAGGCCGAAGTACAGAGTACATACGGAGTATTTACCAGTATTAGGATTGAGTCATGTGGACATATCTTATCGGTAGCTCATTACCCAATTCGGGTTGCGGTGGACATGGATGATTTTCAAGGTTAGCGTTGATGGGGCCCCAGTGGGGATAGCGCAGCGTGACCCATCATCCCATGATCTCCGCACTTTAATGCTCTGCTTGCTTCTCCAACAAGGTCCGCCCGCCTCTCTTCTCCGTCTCACGCCACCTGGTCTTCTTAGCTTCTCCCTTTCTCAAATCTCCCGGCAATCATCTCTTATCACACCCCTCGACCCTTGCTACCATCTCTTCTACCACATATATCGCTCCTTTGCTATAAACCTAGTTCCCTTCGGCCCTGCGGGTAACTACTGTCCTATAGTTAGTTCATTGGAGACCTGTCATGACCATTCGTCCAATGAAGTTCACACCGGAGTAAGTTCACTGTGCTTGGAAGGAGCACAGCAAAACCAAGCCACCTATTTCAATTGTCGTCTAGATGCCCATTGGCTCAGCAGATTGTTGACTCGGTGACTCTCCTAGGGTCCTACTAGGAGCTCCTCGGCGGTCCGCAGCCGTGCCCAATACATCTGGCACTTTGGCTGTGTATACCCAAACCTCCTACTCCTTCGAGTCACATGCGAAGACCAGCGAAATACGAGTGATAGATATCACCACAGGCCGATCTTCTCTAATCACAAATGATCCAAGTGCGAGCTCTCCGCAGTGGCTGGGGAACGATGACCGTTTGATATGGCTCAAAACAAAGGCGAACGGCAATACAAGCTTCATAATTGGGCATGCTCGCGAGGCAGGCAAGACCTACACTGCTGGAACAGTCCCTGGGCCAGTGGCGAACCTCAAGGTCACCGTCATTGAGTCGGGAAAGATAGGTTTCGCTGTAACTGGCAAGGCGAATCCGGATGGGTCCCTTTACAACCCTCACGATGCCAAAAAGCCTCACACGACTGGGAGACTGTACTCCTCATTATATGTCAGGCATTGGGATTCGTACATCGAGCCCCAAACGAATTCCATCTGGTACGGCCTATTACAACAAGCCCCGTTGACTCCTGCCACCAGACATGCAGGAAAGTACTCGACCTCAGGTCTAACAAACCTGATCTCAGTTTGCGGGTTAACCGGCGTTGAATCACCAATCCCACCTTTTGGGGGCTCTGGAGATTTTGACATCAGCCCCTCCGCAATTGTCTTCGTAGCTAAGGACCCTAATGAGAACCCTGCCACGCACACCTCCTGCTCGTGTTATTATTGTCCGATGTTTTCTTGGACTAGTGTGACGGCAATGGAATCTCAAAAGATATATGCAGTCAAGGGTCTTGAGGGAGCCATGTCTTCCCCCGTTCTCTCGTCGGATGGCAGCTCCATTGCTCTCCTTGCGATGAGGGAAGATGGTTACGAGTCTGACAAGAACAGAATACTTTATGTGCCGAACCCCTGGAGTGGAGAAATGATAGAGGCTTTCGCGTCCCCGGATGGAAAAGGGTTGTGGCATCTAAGTCCATCGGCCGTGACATTCGCAAACGACGACCAGTCCCTTTTTGTCCAAGTCGAGGAAAACGGTCGTGGAGTCTTATACCAGCTTCCTCTCGCTAACTTCCGTCAATCTCGCCCCTCTGCGTTGAAGAAGCTGACACATTCGGGCTATGTGAGTGATGTGTTTCCTGCTTCAGCCAATTCATCCAAATTGCTTGTGGCAAGCAACAGCCTGGTAGAAAACAGCCGGTGGACAATAATCGATCCACAGTCTCCTGAGAGTCCCAAAGTCATATCTTCACTTTCTCGTGGTGGTGCTGCCTTTGGACTGTCTCCAGCACAGGTCGATGAAATATGGTTCAGGGGAGCCGAAGACCACCCCGTTCATGCCTGGGTCGTAAAGCCATCCGATTTCAAGCCTGGTAACAAATATCCCCTCGCATACTTGATTCATGGAGGTCCGCAAGGTGCATGGAATGATCAGTGGAGCACACGCTGGAATCCCGCTGTTTTTGCTGAGCAAGGATACGTGGTCATCACTCCCAACCCCACGGGCAGTACCGGCTACGGACAGGCATTTACAGATGCCATCCGTGGTTCCTGGGGAGGACTTCCGTACATTGATCTCGAAAAGGGATTCGACTATATTGAGAAGAATCTGGACTATGTCGACACAACTCGAGCTGTGGCGCTGGGGGCATCGTTCGGTGGGTATATGGTAAACTGGATCCAGGGCCATGAGCTTGGTCGCCGCTTCAAGGCTCTTGTGACCCATGATGGTATCTTCAGTATGCGCTCCCTGTTGAGCACCGAGGAGCTCTACTTCCCTGTTCGAGACCTTCAGGGCCCCTACTGGAAAGTTCCAGAGAACTGGGACAAGTGGGACCCATCTCGATTCACAGGGAACTGGCAAACTCCCCACTTGGTCATCCATAACGAACTGGATTATCGTCTGACGATTGCCGAAGGACTTGGAGCCTTCAACGTCTTGCAAATGAGGGGCGTGGACAGTCAATTTCTAACGTTCCCTGATGAGAACCATTGGGTACTGAATCCAGAGAATTCTCTCATGTGGCACCGTACTATCTTTAACTTCATCAACAAGTATGTTGGGTTGCCGTCGGAAAGCCGGCCAGATTTAGAAAATGGCGTGGCTAATATGTCTTTATAATGAATTAATTATTTCCACTCGGAGCTTTGTGCTGCCGGGTGACTCTTTCAAAGTCAAGGACGGGATACATAATGATCTATATAGTTCAATGCACCTTTTTGATCGCAATTGACGCCACTATTTATCACCCCCGTTAACACCTTTTCCATGAACAAAGGACATAACTGCGTTGGACTAAACTTCTCCGCTTACAGTGAAACCCGTTCAACCCAGGACAAAGGCTCTGTAATAATGGTCCGATAGAAGCCATCATTGAGCCCGTGCGGGACAAAGAGCTCTTTCTCCGTGAGCCTCTGCTGAGACTGTCGCACAATATATAGGGAGCCAACCGCTATACACTGATCAGTCTACGTTGGCTTACACTTTTCTGACACGCGTCTCTAAGTAAGAAGACTAAGTGTTTTCTGGAGGTCACTGATCTGTAACACGACTGTATAACTGGCCCTAGTGTTTGGGAGCCTCGTCAGTATGCTGGAGGCCAGAGCTTCTTCTCTGTCTCCCACCATGGCCGATTCTCCCAATTCCGTTACTCCAGAACGCCGAGTGATATGCTTGTCACGTCCCGCCACACGCTCAGCAGTCGCAGGACCGACGGCCGATGAGAAACCCAGACAACACCACCCATGCTTTTTCCCAACTCTTGCCCGGTTACGAACTCCCCTCTATCCTCTGGTATCCAGCACTACCGCCCTCGCACACCCAGAATTCCCGGTCACTCTCCTTGCCTACCATCTCCTGACTTCTCGACAACTAGACGATCTTGCCATCCATTATCATCAAGTGTGGCCACCAGCTCCGGCGACCTCCTACTATCCCGTGGTCATTCCACCCTGGGTTGGTACAGAAAACGAAAAGGATGTGGACGTGGAGACTAAGCGGCGGCGGTTCGGTCGATTCATCGGGCTCCAGCGTTGTGAGACCCCCGCCGAAGAAGAGGAATCATACTCCTGGGGAATGGAACAAGGCACTGAGACAGAGCTGCTGGAGCTGATGAACCAGGAGTGGAATGAAAGTGGGATGTCCTCACTAATCGATTCAACCATGGGAGGCTTTTCAAAGTCCTGACAGTGAGTCGCTCCCTGTAAAGTCTCGTTCGTTCCATATTCACCACCTCCGAAGTTATAGCACACAAGGGCTTCATTTTCGTCATATATAGACTTAAACAAGCCTAGTCATCTAAAACCCCAGGGGGTTGTACCTGGACTGCTCCTTTTTTTTTCCCCGCGATCTGTCGCCGTCGAATGACATGGCTTGTGCTATGGGCGGAAATGCCTATCTCAAGTCTCAAATTGAGGGTCCTGGATTGCCTTGCTCAGTCACACCCGTTCGTGTCTTATTTCAATGGTCTCTTATGCTTTTCTTACGGTTGCACTTTGGGCTGTCCTTCTCAATATGTTACGCTTCTTACGAGCATATTAGTCACCCTTCTCGATAGAATAAATAGATGTAGCTAACAGCACAATCGATTTATCGCACCAGATACTATCACGTAATATCATTGTTAACTAACTCCAAATGTCCAGTGCTTATTAATTCTCGTCAAGAATTGTTTTGGTCTTGAGATCACTTCGTTGAGTACCATCGCATTTAACCACGATGCATATTTCATACCATGGGCATTCTAGCTCACCCGCCAGGTACACACGAAAACTACTAAAATCAGCCAAGTTTCCCGACACGGCTTAACGTAGCCCTAACGATAACTGATGGAAATCATTTATCCGCGGGGTAAACTTGCGGGGGAAGCTCTTGGTATCCAGGTTTTAGGCTGTCCGGCTAAAGTAGACGATTTACCATTAGATAGATAAATACAGCTTCATATCTCCAACCCCAACAACCACGCAAAATAAAATAAAAAAGAACGACCAAAAGTCGCAACTAACAATTACAATCACTCAAAATGTCTAACTCCAACCCCCCTCTGATAACCCACATGTACACCGCCGACCCCTCTGCTCACGTCTTCAACAACAAAGTGTACATCTATCCCTCCCACGACCGTGAAACAGACATCCAATTTAACGATAATGGCGACCAATACGATATGGTAGACTACCACGTCTTCTCCATGGACTCCATCTCCGGTCCCGTAACAGACCATGGCGTCGTCCTGACTCTCTCCGACGTCCCCTGGGCAAGCAAGCAGCTCTGGGCACCTGATGCAGCAACCAAAGATGGTAAATACTATCTCTATCTCCCCGCCCGGGATCACGAAGGTATATTCCGGATCGGGGTAGCTGTGGCCGACAAACCGGAGGGTCCGTTCACGGCCCAGAAGAGTTTCATCGCGGGGAGCTATAGTATTGATCCTGCGTCGTTTGTGGATGATGATGGCAAGGCGTATCTTTATTTTGGGGGCATTTGGGGTGGGCAGTTACAGTGTTGGTCGAAGGGTGCTGGTGCGGATGCTGTGGGGGAATGGGTGTTTGATGCTTCGAAGACGGGGCCTCAGGAACCGTCTGGTGAAAATGAGATTGCTCTCCATCCGCGTGTTGCGCAGTTGACGGATGATATGTTGGAGTTTGCGACCCCTGTGCAGGAGCTGGTTATTTTGGACCAGGATGGGGGCGGTCCTATTAAGGCTGATGATCACGAGCGTCGCTTTTTCGAGGCCTCTTGGATGCATAAGTATAACGGGACGTATTATTTTAGTTATTCGACTGGGGATACGCATTATATTGCGTATGCGACTGGGGAAAGTCCGTTCGGTCCGTTTAGATACAGGGGTCGCATATTGGAGCCTGTATTGGGATGGACGACGCACCATTCGATTGTGGAGTTCGGGGGGCGCTGGTGGATCTTTTATCACGATTGTGAACTTTCCAAGGGCGTGAGTCATTTGAGGAGTGTGAAGGTTCGGGAGATTGCGTATGATAATAAGGGAGATATCTATTTAGTGGACTGAATGAATGAGAAGATTTTGTGAGTCAATTGTACTTGTATTGAGTCTTGGTTCTTTAGTTGGGACGAATGTAGGTTTCGTGTATGAACTATTGCGTAGTGTAGGTCTAATGCGCCATTCCCTTTTCTCGGTTCTCGACGACAAGGTTCCAGTACTTCTCGCGACTGCGTATGCGTAGTGTCTTGCCATATTTGATCATGACAAGGAAGACGGATGCGCAGGCCATGCCGATGAATGCGGCGGAGATGAAGCAGTTTTGATATCCCAAGTTATTGATCCAGGGGGTGATGCTGCATCTCGTTAGCATGTACCGCTACTTTTGGATAGAGAACGGATGACATACCCGTAGCCGATAGCGAAGGACATTGTGTTGCGAACTAAGATGATACTTGTCATCGCGTCGCCGCTTAGCTCCCGGTAGCTGTCGACGAGGTAGTTTACACTCAGGGTCACGCCACATGTATTCGCCATCGCAAGAAGGCACATCGCTACTAGGAGCCCAAACCAGTGAACCTGATGCGCTGCACCCACACCCCAGAGTATCAGTGAGCCCGGAAGGATGACGAGACAGACAAGGAACGGCCAGAGACGGTGTTCGGCTTCCATGATTCCGTTGTTCCGTCGAGCAAGTCGGATAGTTAGCCAGTCGCTGAATCTGCCGGTGAAGATAGCGCTATATATCAGTTAGCATTGTATCCGTGGGTGTTGACTTTGAAGGTGGGGGAGACTTACCCAAGACCCACGCCGAGACAACATGCAATGTAGGAAAGGCCGACAATTGCGGTGCTTTTTCAGTAAGAAACGTGTTCAAATAGCTGTCAAGGGCTAAATACCTGAAGTTGTATGGAGCAGATCCAAGAATAATTGATGCAGTTGCATTTAACACATTAAAAAAGATCAAGTATGAGCCATATGAGAAACTGTTCCGCAAGTTACTTTTCTAAGTTTCCGATGGTACTGAGAGTTCTAAACTTACCCTGCGTAAAAAACAACGGGCCAGCTCAAGTAATATAAAGCATGCCAGAGCCGTCTAAGCATATGGTTCTTTGGCTGACGCGGTCCCAGAAGTGACAGCTTCTGGATGTACGTTTTCTTGCTGTATACATTATGTACCTCACCGGCCTCTGTGTCTGTATGTCGAGGAGTGTCAACAGGGTCAGCCTTCTCTTGCCCCCCTTTCTCCAATGTTGAACTAGCTGGATCAGCTGGGTTCGTAGGAGTGATATGTTCAACACTTTCACGCGTATAATTTGTCTCCTCCATGCAGAAGAAAAGGAACGCAGCGGTGACGGCACAGAAAATGGCAGGGTAATAAAACACCCATTGCCAGCCTTGGTACTCGGCGATGAAGCCACATATAACCGGAGCAAAATAGTTACTGCCGGCCAGGAAGAAGGCATACAGACCCATATATGTTCCGCGTTCGTGCGTGAAGTACTGGTGCCGTCAGATAGGTTTGTGACGAGGTCTCATTAGGATACGCACCACATCCGTAACTGTTATTTCTGGAAGGGCCTCGATTGGTGCCAAGAAAAAGCCGGTCACGATACTACGAGCGATCCATTGACCATTATTTGTTATATAAGGACTGGCTTGTCAGCATCGATTGATCAAGTTGGAGTTAGAGCTGTACATACCCCCATATTAGCGTGCCCTAACCGTATACCCATGTTAGAAGTTGGCTTCATCTATCCGTCGTCGAGACTTACCATCATTCCGATCAATGAGACTATGTATGTAAGTCGCTTGCCATACTGCAATGCAAACGGTTGCCAGAACAGTAAGCCCCATCCTGCGAGCAGGAACATATATCCCGTTCCTTCATTTAAAGTACCAACAGAGACTCCTGTCTCCTCGGAGAGTGGAACCAGTACAGAGTAGACAACCGAGCATGCAATACCTGCGAACAAGGTGTACCTTTAAATCCAAAAAGCAATTAGCTCGTGCCTAACATGCGTTATCACCACGTGCTGTGAAGACTTACAAACTGACACAGGTGGTTGACAGCAATTTCCGTCGTGAAGACCAGTTCAGTGGGTCATCAGGGTCATCTGAAGGCTGGGGAACAAGAATAATGTCACTATTTCCCCCGTTCAGATGTCGTGTAGCCAACGTATGCTCCAAATCCACCAGGGTAAATGTGCCCGGGATGGCATTCCTGTCCACACCTGGCGTCATGCTGCGATGGCACTGTGTGATATCCCTTGTGTTTTAAAAGATGAAATGAAAATGTAGATCTAATCGAATATAGACAGATACATTACCCCAATGCTCCAGTAAGGGGCCAACCCTGTAGAAGAGCGGTGTCCAGAAGGTAATAAATGGCAGGCTTCACAACGCATCCCTTGTAGCGGAACCAGAGACGTCGCTTCGATCCGCGCTTCGATCCGCGCTTCGACCTATCAATTTCATGGAAACCGAAGATATTCTCCGGTTAACCGAATTATCCGGCGATCTCGAGAGGGGTTAAGCATTTGCACCACTTTCTGCATAAGCAAGGCGGGATCCATTCGACTATTCCAGACCCCAATCTTCAACTCAGTCGGCGCTAAGTGAAGATAAATTGATAACAACGCGTTCGTGATCCTGATGAATCTAATGCGGAGAAGAGGGGACGTACCACAAATGACTCGTATCTGGGAGGGTTTGACTAGGAAAACGGGGCTTTCGATATGGGGGGGAAGTGATGTAAGTGATGTCTGTGGGTGGAAAGTGTCAACGGAATTCTTTCCGGGGATGACGCTTAGAGAAACCAATCACTGTATCGCGGTGACGGTAGCGAATTAACGTCCATGACGGCTGCTATCAAGGTTTACTCGATCACCTGCCACTCCACCACCCTAACTTATAAACTAATAACGTCTCATTCTTTGTTATCTTGGCTCTAAAAGCTATCTTGCCGAGTCCTACCGAGATAAACCCACTCGTTCCTTATCACTTCACTTATCCCCTGTTGTATGGCACTATGATAGGTTCCTATCTTCACTCACCCTTAGACCCAGGCCAGACCTTTTGCTGAGTGTGCACCAAAGATCACGACCTCACCAATCTCTAAGACTGACCAAGAATCTCTAGAATGAATAATTCTTTACGCTATATCCGAGATGATACCTTTTCTTGTTTTTTCTTCCCTCTCCCTGTTCTCTTTGCGTTCTATTCTACTCGGGAGAAAGCACTGCCTCAGCTGATAATATTCACACTTTTCCTAGTGTAACTCCAGAAGAATAATGATAGATCATTCATGCTTCAAAAGCAGATGGAAATTTTTTCCTGACTAGGGGTGAAAGTCCTGTGCACAGTATTCATGTCATGTTCGAAACCCCCCCCCCGCTATCAAGGTTCTGGCCCGTATATAGCTCTCACGCTCTGTCCTGTTTGGCACGAGGCTATACCCCACAACTTGTAATAGATACCCACCTAATCTAAGAAATTGAGCATCATGACATCTGCTCAAGAACAAACACAAAGACAACTCTTGCATAATGAGGTTGAGGATGTCTTTGACCCCAAAGTACGTCCTTTCTTGTGGGACTGTTGCCATTCTACTCTCTATTCTAAAAAGATAGCTTTTAGGTTCACCTTAATTATACCCCTCCTGCTTCCCTGCTCACCCTGAAAGATCTCGGGTTGAAAAGCTCGAACACATCAACCCCCATAGCAGGAAGTGTTCCGTTCCCTTTTCTCTCCGAGAGCGGAGTGCGTGCCTATCGACGATCGTTGATGAGGCCTCATATTTTAAGAAGCTGTGCAAAGTCATACGGCGCTGGAACATGTATCCTTCGCAATCTGGCCAAACATTCTAAATTCGTCTCTGACCTCTGGACGCATCCGGAGACAATGAGAATTGTATCTGAAGTTGCTGGCGTGCCACTGACTATAATCATGCCAACAGAAATTGGCCATACAAATATTCAAACTGCTGGGTGTACGGTGGATGATCTATTGAGCGAGCTTGAGGTGGAACCGAGAGCAAACTGTGTCTGCATGGATGAACAGGATGGCTATGATCCACTTAGGGAGAGTGCGGTCATACCTTGGCAGTAGGTTCTCTTTCGTTTGTCTCTGTCTATCGCAATGCCTTCTTTCTTTCTTTCTTCCTGTTTCACCCCGATTCATTTCTTAGCATTGTAGTACGTGCTGACAAAAAAAAAAGCTATGACTCTTACCCATACGTAGCGGTCCTAATGCTCAGCGATACTGCGCCCATGACCGGGGGAGAAACCTATATTAGGAAAGGTGACGGCAGTGCAGCAAAGGTACATGGTCACCAACCTATTGTGTCAATAATCCCATGACTAATAATTCTCCATATAGGTCGAGGGACCTTCCCTGGGACACTGCGTGATGCTTCAAGGAGGCCAAGTCGAACACCTAGCCGCTCGAGCCTTCGGAGCAACAGAGCGGATCACAACCATAACTTCATACCGCGCAGCCATACCTGGTCTCTACGACGATAGCTATATCTCAAATGTGCGACCATATTGCGATCTCCCCCAACTGTATACCGAGTGGACGAACTACCGACTCGAGAAAATGAAACAGGAAATCGAGCATATGCAAAATACTATCATCCAACACATTAGTCGAGATCGAGATAGCTTTCCCTTGGATGAGGTGTATCACTTCGCTGAGCAGCAGATATCGTACCTTAAGCGTACCGTCCGCCAGATGGTGGAGCAGACTCTCTGTGCAGACGTCAGGCGACGTTTCGATGTTCGGGAAACCAACACGGTCGGTGAGAAATGGGCTCGTATTCGTGTCCATCAGCAATTTAAGGATCTGCTTCCGGGTGTCATGGCGCAGACTTTGTTGTGGGGACCTGTTCTTCCGTATTTGAGGGATTGGGAGGAGACTAAATATATGATCAGGAGCGGGAATGCATCGTTGGTTTACAGTGAGCAGAGGACATTCTCGTGGAATCACAATCGATTTGAAGAGTATCTGTTCGGTGACGAGCTTCTCCGACAAGGTCTCAAGGAGGTTCTGGTAGCTTGGTTGCATCGCTTTGACTTGCTTAATCTTGAAAAAGATAGTTGAGGGACGTATGGTCTGAGCGGTGAATTTCCACTATGAAATATTGATATCTTGGCTTTGTGATAATGCAAGCGACCATGTGGAGCTCTTGTACAATTACTATATACTTCAGTCAGGAACTAACGGTGTCCCGCTGGATCGGCCCGCTGTGTATCGTTCCGTTGCCCTAACCAATCGAAATTCTGTTCGATAAGCTTATGGCTTTTTCTTGGCTTTCAATCGCCAGCATATATAAAGAGGCGATAACCGATTTATAGCATAGTCATGATGACTCGACAACACTGTATAGTTTTATTTCTTACCATATCATTTTCCTTCATCCTTCGCTTCTATACCAGAACCGCCGATATGGCTGTGAACAACACCAGCCTGGTAGACAAGAACCAGGCGTACTGGAAGTAAGTCAATCACGGAAAAGTATCCAAGAAAGGTGCAGTAGATCAATATATTAACCTCAAACAGTGGCGCAGCCAAAATTATCTTCAAAGACAACTGGGTGCACAACTTGCAGAAGCAGATATCCGACTTTCTCGTCAGCAACTTGGACTGGACCGGGGTTCAACTTCCCTCGAACGACTCCAAGAGACGTACAAAACTAATGGACTGCGCATGTGATAACAAGATAGTCTATATGGTATGTTCTAGACAGTGCCCATTAACCCCACTGCTAAGACCTGTACTGATGAGTTCGCTGCAATTATAGTCCCTTCACCACCTATTTTCCAAGTGCATCGGTATTGATGTCTCAGACGGAAGGTTAGATAAATACCGTGCTACTGCTGCAAGTCTAGGACTCCCCGAACATCGCATGATTGCCGTCCAAGTTAACCTTCTAGCCCCGACAGTTCAACCAACCAATCAATCCAACCCTTGACGATGAGGAGCCGAACGGCTTTGATCTGGTTGCCACCTGCATAGCCCTGCATCATGTTGAAGATATACAACTAGCTACGTAGCGCTTAGCATCGAGACTACGTCCCGGTGGCGTTTTCCTCATCATTGACTGGGCTACACGCGACTCGTCGGCCGTGAACCAGCATGCTTCGCCAGACGCAGTGAATCCCGAACACCCTGCTGCATTTACCATCTCTCATGATATTTTTACTCAGGAACAGATTGTCGGCTTATTTGACCAAGCTGGTTGCGGGGATGCGCGATTCGTGCTGGCTGATCGTATATTGGATGTTCCGGGTGCCGGCAGTGGAAAGATGCAATTGTTCTGGGGTTGGGCTAACAAGTTCTGATTCAATGTAGTGAGGACCGTGGATATATAGTGAACAGTGTAAAGGTCGCTCTGTACAGATTTACTGCTCTTTCAGTATCATGTAGTTTAGCTATGGGATAACGTCTTCAGTGGAACCCAAGACATCATTCTTCTGAAGGTATGCGTTCTGCTGCTAAGTGATACTAGTTATTATAGAACGCTTAGATCTTTTCGTGTGGCATCTTATTGATCCATTACTTCAACAGCATGGCAATACTTTAGCAGAACAGCACCCAGTAGCTAAGTATAGCATTTGTCCAGTTGTTTTTAACGGCCGGCCTTTATACAGACCCAATTACATATAGCTAGCTCATTTACAAATATATACATATGCTTGTCATAGACCGACAACGGCGAGCTACACCGAACTAGTATCGGCTGCATGCTCTCCTCTATTCTTTTCTCTATCATCATGATTTAACCACTGTACTGGTGGCCGGCCCATATAACCCTCTGCCATTTCCACTCCCCATCTGACATTGCCATCATCATCCTGAAACCATCCTAACCGCGCGCGAAGACAACTCTTCTCACTCTCAGTAAGCCTTCCGGCTTGCATCTCCCGGATCATGTGCACGAGGTTCTCACTTCCTGCAGTCAAAACCAACATGTCTCCAAGACATTCTACGTTCCGAATCAACCGCCTCAGGTACTGCCGATGAAAGACCGTCACGATAACTGTGGCAATAATAAGCCACGCTACTATGCTCACACTGAGCCACACAGCGACAGCGTTCATCTGTAGCATCTCGACGTTTTTAGAAACCCTCACCACGACCGTCCGATCTGTATGGGAGATTGGATGTATCTCATCCTGATAGTCTGTAAGCGGTGCATCTTCCAGAAGCGTAGCATCAGTTACGGCCGGGGTAAGGTCCGACGGTAAGCTTGCGTTAATGGGCTGATAGACCCAGCTACCTCTTGCCATGGTGAGGTTGCTGTTTGCGAAGTGCTGGAAGAAGGTGGAAAATGTTTTCGAAGAAAGAGATGAGAAGACCGTAGGATCGAGAAGTACCGCCGGGTCCTCGCCCGCTAGGGAGTACATGGAATAGGACATGAAGTCCAGATTTAACCCGTGCGCTTCGTCACGAATGTTGAAGGTATTGTCAGTTGTATCTTCCGTGATAAAGCCTAACATGCGACTTGGTCCGATGATGTTCTGAACGTTCGCTGCGGTAAGCATCTGCGTCATGAAAAGCACTCCGTAACTAGCAGCATAAATCGGATTAGCAATAGTTCGTCTGTCCTTGTGAATCTCATGAACCGAATGACTTACCTGATGGTTGCATTATAGTTAATCTGCGATAGTTCCTGGTCAGACGTTCTATGAGGCAGAAAGACGTCCGAAAACGCATTATCCGCAACTTGTGGTTCATCTGTGATGTTGAACGCTCGAACTTCACCAGTGGCAGGATCCACGGTCACCTCTGCATTGGCTGTTTCCACTAGCGGTATACAGTTCATGGCCGTTATCGAGGGTATATTCGTGAATAGCAGATGTGGTTGCTTATAGCCATGGGGTCCGAGCAATTCGGTTGCTGATTGCGCGTGGCCATGTATCCATTTGGTTGTGAAGTTACGGGACCAGGTCCTTGGGTTCCATTCTGCCGGATTGCCATTCGGTGACCAATAACCAACAGCAGCCATCGGATCTGTCCCAGCGTCGGTCCCGTTGCCACAGCACTCGATCGAGGATGGGTTGGCAAAGATCGGAGTGCATTTATCACAAGTTGTGTAGTTACGTGACGGTTCAGGGAATATCATGCTTGGTCGGTATTCGTTTAGTTTGAAGCCCACTCCTAACTGATACGCCATCTTGAGGTCCCCAGCGCTCGGGCTCAACATCCAACTGGACGAATTGCTCACATCAGTCGGTGTTATCCATGCTGAAAGATTTAGCAAGCCTTCATAGGGACTGCATTCAATTCTACCGCGGATAGCTGGTGTGGCAAGCGAGACATTGATTTGAGAATTCTTGTCAATACCTCCCTGATCATTGAGGTCAATCTTACCCCGGGTTGAAAGGCTGACGCTACTTAGATCGATGGGAACAAAGCTCCAGCCTCCCTTACTCCAGGCTGGCTCAGATCCATTCAAGGTCAGTTGGTTTGCAGCTGTATACATCCAGTGCGAGGACAAATTCCCATGGAGTTCAGCAAGGATGGTACCCAAGAAATTAGTGGCGTATCGTATAGTAAACTCTTGCGTTTTGAAGACATGAGGGATTTGACGAATCTCCAGCGAACGCTCCAGCGTATGTGTCTCTATTACCACTCCAGTGTCGCGCTGGAAGAGCGCTGACATGGTCGTAGTGACTAGAGGCCCACGGTTAGTGCATCCAGACCATACAGTGAATAATCATATAAACGTACATATCGGTGAAATAGCTGTGCCCAGCGTAACCCATACCAACATCCAGTGTCTATTCTTTAGAGCCTTAATAGTGGCCCACATCCAGTAAGATGATTGATATGATAGATGCACGCTCTCCGACAACGGCCGGTAGCGTTTAGCCATGGCCAGATATGGCTGTAGGCGGCAAAAAGTACTGTCAATAACACTCCACCATAAGCCGATACACACGGCTATGATGGTTGGGATCATGGAGAACGGCCCAACAGTGGACAGCTGTTTATCAAAAATGGAAATGTTTGCTTGATAGACGAAAGCTTTCCCATACAGCTGGGACAACTGAGCGAAATGGTACAATACAACAACCCCGGTGAGTACAGCTACAAGACATGCAAGTAGTACCAGTAGGGTTGGAAGACGGAGCACTCCTGGAATCCAGTTGGTTCTCGAGGATGATTCCGGGAGCGAATCCCTCATTGTTTGATTGACGGTTTCGCACTGATCAGGAATCGTCTCATGTAGTGCTCCTGAGTCTGTGTAATAACGCTTACCTTCCAAAAGTGTCTGCAGCTCCTTATCGGATGCCTGATTGAAGTCTTTGAAACAAAGCCTGGTCCGAGGACTCTCCACCAGAAGAAAAGTCGCACCGGCAAGTGATGCAGGATCAGTTTTCAGATTCAACGGTCTGTGCTGGAGTCGTGAGCATCTCCATGTGATTAAAAGGAGACAGAAGGATAGAAAGAACAAAACTATGAGCGTTATTGCAGGCCCGGCAGTAGTGGTCACTCTTCTTTCAACAGTGCTGACATGACCTTGGGTGGGAAGGTACTGAGAGGCACCTCGCTCGGTCAAGCTTGACTGGATCATTTCTCCAAAGAATCGTTGCTGAATCTCCGCCGCACGGGAAGTCCTATCTCTGTCTTCAATCATTGAAGTGAAATTATTCTTATATATTACCCATAACAGACGAGCTGGTCCGTAAAGATACGGAGTATGGTCGAAATCTAGGGTGAGCATGGAGCTCGTCCAATTGGGGTCCACTGCCTCATCTCGCATCATCTTGGTGCTCATCAGAGTATCCGGAACCTTCTGTCGGTTCTGAATGTATTCACTCTCATTAAAGGAGATCTTTGGCTCACTGCCCGAGAGGTCAATCAAGGCCGTGACATTAGCCATTGAATATGTTGTCATACATAGATTCACATTCAGGGTGCTGTTTCCCTCCAACAGCAGGAGGTAGTCATGGTCGGTACATTCCTTCGTTTGTGTCACATTTTTGATATCAAGATCGAGCGATGATCTGCTTGTGTTCATTCCTAGGAATGAGAAGTTCGACCAGCTGGCACCACCTTCAGTCCACATATTAGGACCGGTTACAATAGCTGAGAGTCCCAGCTTACAATCGCCGGAGGACCAGACAGTGGTATTAGAAGCCACGGTAACATTATTGTGATCGTCCCCTAGTACTACCTCCTTGCTGGACGAGCTTTCGACCTCCATTTTGTTGCACTCGAAATCACTTTTGAACACCGTAGTTTCCGCCTTCCACGTTTGTTGAATGGAAGGCAACGATCCAAACCGTGGGCTCTCCCAGGAAGTTGGCCAAAATGGAAGCATGGCCCACTTATCTGTAACCCATGGTGAAGTCGATACGTTTTGGGCAAAATGGCTAATCGTCCGAAAGCGAGCGATGCGACTCTGGCTAAGAGAAAAGGGCGTGTCGGGCCGTGGTGTCAGGCGAAGGAAGTCCGTCTGGCGTGGGACTGTCACGTCGGCCGAGACTAACAAAGCCGATGACAGCGGTGAGATCAAAAGAAATCCGAGGACATTGACCAAGGTTGCGCAAATCAACACCCAGCCTCTTGAGGAGCCCCCATTTTTCCTCCTGGTGAAACCATCGTGGAGCGCATTCCACCAGGCTCCGGGCTTTTGAAGAATACTTGAAGACGCCTCAGACCCTTCGGGACCTGCTAGCCGAGCAAATGGCTCCAATCGCTTGACGTCGTCCACCAGCATAGCTGTCAGTTGGATGTAGATGACTGCTACCAAAGTTGGGCTGAATCGCCAACCGAACAAGATCTTCGAGGATCCATTGTCCGACCCTAAACCATAATTTTTCTGGGACGTCACAAGCAATGCAATCGTCACGGCACACAGCAGCAAGGCTAGCAGGCTGAGCAGGCCAAGGAAGTTATTCTGGAGTGTAAACGGTAGCCAGCCCAGCGACTGTTTTCGTTGGTCAGGACGTAATTGCGACTCGGAGGCTGGCTGATCACGGGCTGGAACTATGTTGATCTCATGGACGCCATTCTTGACGCGAACACCTTCGCTACTGTCATCTTCCTCCTCACGAAACCTACTATGGGAATCACGCCTTTGGGGCCCATCAGAGAAATCTGCTGTGGAACCATTGGTCCCTTGTCTCAAAGATTCACTGCTTTGGCTGCGCAGGGTGGAAGGCCTTGAATCAGCAGAAACCGGGGAATCCGTAGAAAAATTATAATTATTAGAAGTGCGATCGTCCAAAGAGATGGCAGGCGACGGCGAGCGAGCCATCATGCACCGAACAACAGCAAGTTGCGAGTTGATGTATTCACAACCCACGGTTCGACCCCTACGAGAGATTGCGAGGATGGGAGAACATTTGGAAACTGGTCCCGGGGAGAGTGATAGCAGAAAAGACGCAAAAAGGAAGAGACACCCATGTCTATTATGGACTTTTTCACTCGAGGATTGAATGGAGGACCCTCATTTAGCGCTTGGGTACCGCCTCGCAAGGAGCATAGCACTAACGCTACTGCAAGGCTAACGGTGGGGATTTTGATGATCAGGGCTTCGTTCAGGGTCAGCGGCTATTTAGTGCGCATAAGCATTGGGCGTCAACTGCACCTTGGACTAAGACTTCATTTACTTGGCACCGCCGAATTCTCCCGTGTGAGGACTTTTCCTTACTAAATGTCTTAGAATCCATGAAAGATCTCACTAGAGTAGCGCCTATATGTATTCTAAGTCCAATCAGACCTTGTCTAGTGGTTTCTGATATGGACTACTGCATACTAAGTGCTTACTGCTTGAAGTCAGAGGAGGAGAGGACTTTTGCGCATCCTCGCAATGTTGGCACGTTTGCTTGCCTTTCCCCCACGGAAGACCTCACTCTATACGGGGTAAAAGAACATGTTATCAAGGGACAGCAGTAAGATACGAATATTAGGTAGGATGTTCGGTGGGACCATCGGTTATATTGACAAGGCTGGCTTTTGCCTAGCTCGGATAGATCTTCACTGCACGTTCAAGCAAGCTGCGGGGAGAGCGAAATTTCACTTTGCCAATCATCTGTAAAGTCGCGCTTGGACGAAGTTCCGTTCTAAAAAAGTAAGGAACATAAAGGAAGTAGTCTAATTTTCTAGACGAATACAGCGTGCGTCTAGGGGAAACTTTCATCCAGTATTCATTCAGGGTTCAGGGTTGTTAACTGATTATGAAGCCAAGTTGAAATTTCAAGAACATACCACAGACTACACTGCATATGACATGAACATGGCAATACGATTTATGCCATAAGATAAACCCATAAACTCGTATGAGGACTATTACGCTTCGTCAATCTTTCCTTGCATGTCGCACGGCGGGTCGTGCAATGGACATGTGAAGGATGGTAGGGAAACCTACAGAATATCACTTGAACGACTACCCATGGCTGGCACAACACTAGGACCTCGCTTTGTATAGACTAGTGTCACCCGCATATTGCTGAAGGACGTTGATAAACCCGTCTTCCTCATCTGTTGGAGGTGAGCCATAAAAACATGTATCAGGCAATTAAAGATATAAATGATCAACTAAGCGCTTCCGACAAGGCAACCACCGGCTTATTACAGGGTGCAAACGATAATATTTAACCTACGTTCTCACCCAGTCCTTGAACGCACAAAATAGCCCGGGACTATCATCGAGGGTGCTATAATGCCTACAAATTCAATTGAAAAGGATGCTTTGCCTGCCGGTAGAGTGGCTGAGCTCACCGAGGTACATTCAGCTTTGTCTTGGGCTCCGACAAGATATCTCTCGTGACAGTGTTGCTAATTTACGAAGGCTGTCGATAGTGTGCTGCGATGCATAACCCCCTTTCTTCGCGCTTCTGAAGATGACTACGACACTCTTATGAGTAAAAGACAGCTATCGCACGGGTGCTATTCTCCCGGCAATATCTTGCAGTCCTACCTAAGCCATCCAGATCAGCTTCGCGGGCGTCTATCGTTAGATCTTCCGCAGACGGGACAAGGCCTCGAGGCCATAGCATCCTCAACGTCAACCCTTCTGCGATATTCGGTCAATACATCGTCTCCCGGATTTATGGACAAACTATGGTCGTCACCGTCCGTTCCCGGAATTGCTGCAGATTTACTCCTGTCCACATTGAATGGCAACGACCACGTATTTCGGGTCTCACCAGCTCTAACTCTAATAGAGAAACATGTGGGGGAAGAGCTGGCCCATCTCTTCGGCCTTGGCGATTCAAATTCAGGAGGCATTACTGTCCCAGGCGGAGCAGCAGCGAACAGTACCGCTCTGCTGATCGCACGGAATGTACGTTTTCCTCATCTCAAAGAGGTTGGTCTGTATGGCATATCGTCGCCACGTCTGGTGATATTTGCGTCAGAAGCTGCACACTTTTCAGTATTCAATGCAGCCCAAGTTCTGGGTCTAGGGTCACATTCCGTCAAGAAGATTTCCACATCTACCGACGGTTCCATGGATCCCAGAGCCCTCAAACAAGCTCTCGATGCCACAATAGCTGCGGGAGAGGTTCCACTATTTATATGTGGAACAGCAGGAACAACTGTTCGTGGGGCTTATGACCCCTTAGAGAGCATTGGCAAGCTGGCCCATGAATATAATGCCTGGTTCCACGTGGATGCGTGCTGGGGCGGCGCCGCTGCATTTTCCGACAAGCTCACGTACAAGCTGACTGGCTGTGAGTTCGCAGACAGTATCGCATACAATCCACATAAACTACTGGGTGTGCCACAGATCTGCTCCTTTCTTCTCGGAAAGGACCTCCGTACGTTCTGGTATGCGAACAGTCTGACTGCTGGGTATTTGTTTCATCAGGATTGCAGCATATCTCCTTCTGATTTGTGTTCCTCACCCATTACGGCCGCATTTGAGGGGAAGTTGTCCAATAACCATGTGGAGATGCCTTCTTATCTCGATAGTGTCCATTACAATTGGCGTACATCCAAAGCGATTCAGAATGCACCGGATCCTCGAGAAGTGTACGACCTGGCGTCTTTCACTCCTCAATACGGTCGCCGGCCAGACGCGGTCAAGTTATACTTTCACTGGCGATACTATGGTACAGAAGGCATCGCAAAACAAGTTGAAGGGGCCTATGATGGAGCCAAATACCTTGCTCGGTTGATCGAAGAGGAGCCTTCACTCCACCTTGTAGGAGATGTGGATGTACCATGTACACAAGTGTGCTTCTACTATGTAGGCACATCACTCAAACACACGGGTTCTGCTCAAGACAGGGCCATGCAGAATACACATTTTACCCGTCTCATCTCTGCGGGGCTTATGAAACGGGGATGGATGGTGGATTATGCACCAGGCTCGGGGAGACAGGAAGAGCTGGGAGACTTCTTACGGATCGCTTGCAATCGCATGACGACCCCTTGCGTCGCGGAAGGCTTAGTCCAGGTTATCTCGGAGGTGGTGAACTCGGACATAGAGACCATCACAACTCCCACAAAAGTGATCTTACCGGAAATGGAGGGCTGAAATGGGGATCCTGCACAACCTTTCTCGGGAAACCCTTCACTCTGAAGAACTTGATAGCTCTATGAAAAGCTGGTGTGTCTACTGTATAAAGTTCAGGGTAGTATATTCCCCAGGAACTCTGCTGTCGCGGTCAGATAGCGTGTGGTGTCTTTCGCTGTCTTTCTCTTCTCTTTTGCTATGCTTTTCCAGGGCGTTACTTTCACTGCAAACCTAGGAGTGTTTCTTTACCTAATTAGGAAGAAGGACCTGACTTGGCTAGTAGCTTTGAGAAGTCTGTCCTGGCTAGTATAGAATAAGATGGGTAGCCTTTTATAGCAACATTTCGAATAGTACCAAAGGCATCCGTAGCAGAAGGTCTCCCCATCAAGAAGATGTCACGTATATATAATGGTACGTCGAATTAATTTACGGAAAGATGGATGCGATGCCCTCAGACCCGCTAAGCTGTTTTCAGCGGATTGATTGTTACTGCCCTCTCCGACCGCCCAACCTCAGGTATGCCCAGTCATGTGCCGGCATGTTCGAAACCATGAGCCTAACAAGTAAATTCAGGATGAGAGTCTCTGCAAACAATCGCCGTCTGGAATTCCAGAAGAGACTCACTTCCTGGCCTGCAGTCAGATGGACATTTATATGCATCACACACTCCCTGTTCAATTCTTTCTCTCTTTTGAGTTCTCTCTGTCGCAGTCTTTTGTTTATTTACCTATCAGTGACAACCACTAAGCGACCTTGGCTTGCAGTGCTAATCGCATCAAGTGGAACCCACTCCATCGTATCAGATATCAGCCTCTGCCTGTTGTTTCGCTCTGGTCCTTAATGAACTGAAACAAGCCCCCGACCCATCTGATCAAATCTAATCCTAATTCTGGATATCCCACACCCACTCAACCTCCCCCCGTTAGTAGTGCTTGTTGGTTATCGCAGCGGGGGTAAACAGTCGGCAAATCATCCCAATTTTTCCCGTATAAGTTCCCTTGAAAGACGGCTATCCTTCTTCCCATGACCGAGAAATAATCTCCGATTTTGTGGGAGTGAGGACTTGTATGAAGGCCCGCACACGGCGCTCTGGCGTCTTGTTACTGCGTTCTCTGTCGCCGCCACGGTCTTACCATGACCTCAAAGTCTTCCACAACTCTTGCACTCACCCCCTCCGAAATGGTCTCTCAGGCCCAGATCCTGGACCGCTCCCTTCCCACGCAGAGCGCTACGTCTTCCGTGTCGCGCCACTCTGGCCGGCGACATCGCTCGAGCCGGTCCCACCACGGTGGGCTTATTCACCAACCTCAGAATGATTTCCCCATTTTCACGCACACCGGCGATGTCGAGATTGTTATCCGCGCAAGTGGACAAGAGAGGCGGTACCTATTACATCGGTTGATTTTGGCACAATGTTCAGGCTTCTTTGACACAAGTACTCGCGATGAATGGTCCCGACAGGCTGCGACATCTAGGCCACCCATTCCGGATCCCGCAGTGCTATCCCGAATTAGCGAAGATAATTCGTCTTTGTCGAACGGTTCCACTCTTGCTCAGTCTGAAACGGGTGCAGCCTTTTCTCCAGAAAAAAGACGATGGAGATTTGAGCTGGACTGGGAAAACAAGGCGGAAGACGAGGAGCCAATCCTAGTGCAGAAGGTCTGTTCATTGGTCCTATGTGTTGTTCATATGCTGACCCTCCGCGGCAACAGCCCCCAAGCTTCTCCAGCACGTTTGGAAATAACCTGGGGCAGTATCCTCCGTCGGTGACGAAACCATCAGGTACACAAGCAGGCTTCATTCGTTCGATGGCAAATCTGGCCGGAATGCAATCCGTTATGAACATACCTCATACAGATACGGGAAACGCAACAATGGACCCGACGATCCGCGACTACGATAATCTTTTCCGCTTATTCTACAATCATCCACCGGCGCTAAACAGCGTCAACATTGCGACTGCCTACGCCGAGTGCAGGTCTCTTCTTGCGCTAGCCGACATGTACGACGCCCTCCCAGTAACGGGGCCGCGAGTTGATCACCACCTCCTCGGATTTGGGTCGCGGCTCTTCAAGCAAATCGCGAAATACCCCCCGAGCTACCTCAAGCTGGGTTATCTTGCGCGCAGTCGCGTCATATACTCCGAGGCCCTAATCCACGTTGTTGGGCAATGGCCTGCGGGACTGCAACACCTGCGAAATGGTGCATATTCTCCACTCCCGGATACTGTGCTAGATATTATTGAGGATAAGGTGGAGGATTTAGAATATATGAAGTCGCGCATTGACTCCAAACTGTTGCGACTCACGCTCACTACCTCCCGCGGCGAACGCGTGACGCCCACCAATGCATACCTCGATTGGCTTGCGGTCTCCCTCTTCCGGCAATGGCTGGTGGACAGCACCACACCCCCTCCGGCTCCAATCCTCAAAAACTCTTCCTCCAACACCCCGACCACAAGCAGCCACAGCCGTCCCTCACCAACTACCCACCGGGGTCAGGACCATCATTCGGCCGCTTCGAAAGCCGCTGTCGCTGCTCCTCTATCCTCCGCGCGAGTATACCGCCTGGTCGGTTCGGCCTCTACTCAGGCTTATCTGCCTCATGATGAACTAAAGAAGTTTCTCAAAGTGCACCCCACCCCATCGTCGGATTCCTTATACTCCCGTGATGTCTTGAAGCGATTCGAGCGCAAAATGGACGAACTCAAACGACTGGCTCGGGAAATCGTAAGGCCGTTAATGAGGAACTTCCTCGAGCTAGACCTCAAAGGCGGCGAACTGGACACTACTTCAGGTGGCCTTCCCTATCTAACCTGCATCAAAGTCGAAGATGAAGATATTCCTTGGGATTAAACGATCATGACACCTCAAAATGATCTACGATACGGCTTTTTTTTTTTTTTGTTTTTGATACCCTTCGCCTATTTCACGTCACCACTCCCCATATATTTGTGTTTGAGATATCGATTCTAGAAGTTTTCTGGTTTTGTCTTCTGCTGACGACATGATGTTTTTCACGTGTTACGAAGTTATGATCCCGTCATCTAGGGTAGCGTCTTGGACTTAACTGTGTGTTCTCTGCTTAATTTTTCCCTATTGCCGAACGTCATCCGTATGGGTTTGTACAGATATTTTTAATCTGATGTCTGGGTTGATGTTGTACACGAGATAAACCGGCTCAAAAAATATCAGTTTCATGAGTAGTATAATGTACAATGCAATATCATATATAACATACACTTTCTATCGCTTCTGTGGTCACGAAGACTCCCCAATTACCTCTAAACCACCCATCCAGTTCTTCAGCACCTCCGGTACGACCACAACCTTCCGCTTCTCATCCCATCCATTCTCCAGAATAGCGGCCAACACCCGGGGAACAGCCATGGCAGTACCGTTGACCGTATGCGGGAACCGAGACTCCTTAGCTGCTCCCCCGCGCACCCGGGTTCCCAACCGACGGCTCTGATAGTCCGTACAGATAGAAGCGGAGGTCACCTCGCCCCATGCCGACTCGAGATCCGCACCGGCACGCAAGCGGGAGGGGAAGAGAGCCTCGATATCGCGTTTGCGGCTCGCACTGGCACCCAGGTCCGTGGTCGGCATTTCCAGCACTCGGCAGGGGAGGTTAAGGGAAGTCAGAATCTCGGTCTGGATGGAGAGAAGCTCGTTGAAGAGATCGTCTGACGTCGGCAATCCCTTTGCACCTGCTTCTGGGAAATTATCGGCCCACGCGAACATCTCCACCTTCGTGAACTCATGGACTCTATATAAACCCTTCGTATCGACCCCGCGGGATCCCGCCTCGGCACGATAGCACCGGCTAGGTCCGACCAGTTTGACGGGGATATTCGCTGCGTCGATGTCGCGGCCGGCGTACATCGCCGCGAGGGGGATCTCGGCGGTTCCGGCCAGAGATCGCTGCGGTTTGCTCTTGTCCTTTTCGCTCTGTTCGATGGTCCAGATCTGCTGCTCGTTGTGCTGGTCGCGGGGTTGGAAACCGCAGGCTTCGGCGATGTAGGAGTAGACGATCGATGGGGGGGACACGGGCTTCCAGCCGCGTTTCCGGGCCACACTCAATGCGTATTGAATCAGTGCTTGCTCGAGGAGTGCGCCCTCATTGGTGAGGAAGTACCATCCCCAGCCCGTGGTGGTGGCGGAGCTGGTGAAATCGATGAGGCCGAGAGATGTGCCGATCGCGACGTGGGAGCGACTGGGGTCCGGACTGGCGATCCACCCGGGCGGCGACTGGGGGTCGAAATTGAGATATTCGATCAGTCTGGGGTCGTCTCCGACCGGGGTTTCGGAGGAGGATAAGTTGGGGAGGGATAGTGCGAGGCGGTTGATTTCTTCCGTACAGGCAGTCTTGCGCGTGGTCATCTCTTGCGATTCATCCTTGAGCTTCTGGGCCTCTGATCGCAGAGCTGTGAGCTCTTCCTGGGATGCGGTGTTTTCGCCATTGCCTCCTTCCTGGCGGGCGGACGCTGCGAGCTTGCCGATGGCCTTTTCGAGCTGTTTGATGCGGGAGCGGGGGGTCTTGAGGTCTTGGTCGAGGCGGCGGGCTTCTTCGGACAAATTTTGGATCTGGAATGGGTAGTCGGCGTGGGATGGGTAATTGCGGTCGACGCTGTTTTTGGAATAGAGCTCCGCGTTCTGACGAATGTGCTTGACGTCCGGGGTTGGCTTTGGGGCGGTCGCAGGGCGAAGAGCTTCGGCGCGGTGCGTGGAGGAGGAGAAGGCACGTCGCGTCAATGGCCTTGTCAGCCTACAATTTAGGCAGACGTATGGTGTCCTTGTAGACGCCATTGAGAAGGAGGATGTGGTGGGCAGATGAGGAGAGGAGAAAGTGAGTGAGTGAGTGAGTGGACTGACAACTTCGACAAAAAGGTAGATGTGGATGTGGGCACTTTTCCCGTTTAGGATATGGCATTAAATCTACTTTTGATCTTGACCAACACTTTCATACTATTTATGTTCCATTCCCGGTATCTCTAGACGGACCTTTTCTTCATATAGCTTCCATGTCATATGGTACCTCGAAATCTGAGCGGATATCCCAAAGTGTAAAAAGCGTATTGACGCGTCTGCATAAATATACTATCTGACAACTTTTCCACGAGGGAAACCGAAATTAACCGCATGGTAGACCACAGAAAACCAGGCATCGATTGCGTCGCCATAACTCATATACACCATCATCCGACTCATAGACCCAATTTGTGCTTCTTGACTCTCGCCCCAACGCCCGAGATCACCAGAACCGCGCCCACAGCCACGGCCCACAGCGGAATCGACAGCACAGTCAAGTTGAAGGTCGTCCGCGTAGCAGCGGAAACAGTCGCAAGTTCGAGAAGCAGCAGGACATAGCCGGACAGACGATGGTATTTGTAAAGCTTCTTACCATTGTCCACGCTGCCCAAAACCTTAACCGGGAGAAAGTACTGAATGACTCCCCCGGTGGCCTGTATGATGATGAGAATGTAGGTAATCAGGCCCATCACACCGTGAGGCGAGGTGAAGCGTGCATGACTGCCCTTGTTGACTTCGATGATGATGAAGCCCGCGATAAAGGTCGCCACGCTGATCGCCTGGATGATATAATGAATGCGCGCTCCCTTGAGTTTCTGCTGGGGTGTCGCAGTCGGTTGGAGGATGAGTGCAGCTTGAACTTGGAGGAGCAGCGCAGATGAGTTGAGGAGCTTCTCTCATCAGCTGTGTGTATTGTTTGGGTATCTCCAGGGCGTTCGACTCGACTTACCGGATGGGCAGAGAAGAGTATCAGTGGATGGGAGAAGATGCCCGCCCAGACCAGGATGACGATCTCAAATCGTACCAGTCAATCATCAGTTGCGATATGTTCGGGTATCAAACACATGGACTTACAATCCAGATTCCAAACTGCGCCAGACTGGCCGTGCCTAAAACCAGGCGATTCGTTAAGTCGGGCTATTTCCCCATGAAAAGTCAGGGTGTGATCTAACCGGTGAACAGATTATAGATGATATATGCATCCTCCTTCTGGACGACATCGCCCGGTCCGCCCAGCAGCGGCTCGTCTTCTCGGGCCTCGATCGTTTGAGGATGTTCCTGGGGAATTCCGGTAGCAGAAGCCATTATGTTTTACCAATGTAGTCTAAGTTAGAAGAAAAATAAAGCGACGTTCAGGACTAGCTAAGTCTACAAATAAGATGTGAGAAAGGAGGAGGACCAGGAAGGAGGGGGGAGGAGGAGACGAAGAAGAAGTAGCAACCTAAAGATATAGTAAAGTAATTGTTGGTAATGACGAATTCGAGGCGTTCAATTGGCAATACATAAATTTATGTGGGGCAGCGGAGGTACCTCCAATGCCAAAGTACCAGCCATGCTTATCTGCCACCCGCGGGTCTCGAAGTACCTCCGCATCGCTGGTACTTGAGCTGCATCCGGACATGTATCATGTAAGATCGACATCACCTCCGTTGTTGAACCACATTAACAACTCTCCTCTTCTTTCTGCAAACAATGTCGACAATCCCCATCACATCGACGACAAAAGCATTCCGGCAAGTGCTCATTAATACATTCCACCTCCTCTTCTGTGGCTATATTGGTGTCGTCACTTGTGTCCTCCATCTCAGACCGATAGAGTGCACTGATAGCTCGGACATGCAGTTCGGAATCTGCGCAAGAGGGGTTATCTCGCCGGGATGTGGTCTGACTACAGACCTGTACTCCCTGGTTTTGCCCTCCAGTTGGCGGCGTTAGAGTGTTGTTGGGTATCGTTCCTCTGCGATCCTGATCGGCAGACGCTCCTCTTCCTCTCTCATCGACAGGAGTATTTCTTGGGCGCTTCATGATCGAGAGTGTCCGGCGCAGACCTTTCAGCGGAATACCAGCTGTCATGTTGCCCTGCTATCAGGAAAGGGATGTATGTGACCCGTGTTGCCGCACAATATACGATGTAGAACTGTAAGCGTTCCAGGACAGACAGGAGCAGCGAACAAAAGGCTCGAATAAAACTTCTATAGAACATGAGGATCTGAATTGCAGACCTATCCTCCAGGCTTTATATACATGCGCACACAATGACCTTGTTCTAATAGGTCGCGTATTTCACTTTGTCTCCAAATAGACAAAGAATACCATTATCGAGTGGTATACACCTGGTCCTCTATCCGCTAGTATGCGTCAGGCTCTCTGCAAAAAGTGAGCAGCCCTTGTTGTCATGCTGGGTACTCAAAAGACCAACAGGTACATATCCGAGATTCACGCCAACATTTTTACACCCACGGCATCTTGATAACGGGACTTTCCTTGCCAGATCCCGGCTGACCAACGACCACTTCCGCCCCAAGATTCTCCTTGTCCAGATTCATCACGATGTTGAACAATGTAGAAGTGCGCCTTGTGTGATGAATACTAGGGTCCTCTTGGGAACATATGGATAGTGGCGCATTGCAGGTATCGGAGAAAACCTGTTCCCTTAGTAAACTCGGGGTGATCAAGTCGCCCTTAATGCCGTTGTTAACCAACTCGTGGGCGAGCTGCTGAGCTCGCTCTAAGCGGGCAGGTGAGCCCTCGATCCATGAGGGCTCCGTCACATTCTTGTTCTCAATAAAATGATTGGTATGCATGATAATGCCATACTCATCCTCCTTCAGGTGTACATCTCCCAAGGGCGAGAGCTCCAGGCCCAGGGAAGTTGTGCTGTCGGCAATTAGGATATGCTGGCTCGAGGCTACACCTCCCAGAGATGAGATAGCCTGTAGAGCACTCTCAACGGATGTGCTTTCCAAGCATAGGCGGAGAGCTACATGAATCGGGACCTTGGAGCTAATGCATGGTCGCGCTTTTATAGCATTAAGACACGTTCCGACTCCTGCACTGTTGAATCCTATCTTTCCTATGATACCTGCCTATTTGAAGTGAGACCGACGAACCAATTGTGCTTCCAGATACCACAGCAGCTTACCTCAGTGACCATGCAGATCCTCGGCTTTCCAGAGATCTCAATATCCATCAACGCTAGATTCTTCTGAATGCTAGTGGTCCAATCCCAGTTCTGTGCCAGAACTCGTGCGTTGTCGTTCTTTTTCCACGAAAGACTCGTGCATCCATCTGAAAAGTTTCCAAACGATATTTCACTCCGACAGTTTAACGCTACAATATCCAAGATACCCACCCCTGCCCCTTCCGCTATGCCCTGCATCTCGGCGTACAAATTAGGTGTTTTGCACTCCAGGGAGGCTCGGAATTCCTCCGCAAGCTGGAGGACAGTCGGCCAGTCCATTTTGGTAGTGTACTCGAACATATCTTCATAGATGCCTATTTGGGACTTAATTTGGTCCTGGAGGCGGTAGCCATGCTGGAGACCAATCTGCTTGACTGTTATCTAAATGTCACTTTGAAAAGGCTCAGGTTAGATGTGCATACCTCTTTGGGAGTACCCCTTAAGACTAGCCTAGGAAGCTCCTGGACCTCGACCTGCATGATGAGAATATCTAAATTGATTGACAATTGGAAATATCTCCTTCGGCAAGCTGTATGGTGTTTTCCAACCGTGAGGAGAACCCGAGGAGTTTCTCTTACTTTATAGCGGGACGCCCCCTCATTTCCGGCAACCTTGTTCCGAGCAGATTGATAATCGTTTACTCGTGAGGGGCTGGAGAAGAGTAGACTTTGCACTATCAGGCAATGGATTGTTCGTATGATTATCTTTGGGTACCTTAGTATGATATGCGGTTCTCTCAATCGAGCTAGTCGTGATCAGAGTGGAGTCACGTCGCTTGTTCATTCCCAAAGTATCCTATAATCGTCAGTCTTCATCCACCTTCTAATAAGTACCGGCAGGAAGTTCCCTTTCTAGATTGAATAAATATTCTTTGTTCTAAAAAAAAAAAAAAAAAAAAAAAAGGCCACATGCTGTTTTAGACAATCATTACGTCGACCAACCACCACACTAGCCTTAACACTCTTCTTGATCCCACTATGTGCCGCCAACCTAGACTCTGATATCTATAGAGCCCTCGTCTTCACCCACAACAACCATCTACTAGATCACAACTGGCACCCACAATATGCGATCATCATATTATCCTCAAGGACCACGGCTTCTACCCACTAAGCACCTCCCATATAATCAATCACAACCTTCTGTCCCCTCCTCAAATCAGTATCCCACATCAGTATCCACAGAGCCAGCAAAATCCCCCCACCATGGCCAAGACCCGCCTACTGATTGTGTGAGGGGACGGCTGGGATCTAGGCCGATTACGAGGTCAGTTACTTAGACTGCATGGCTTTTGTGGGAAGGGTTGTTGGGTTGGTTCGGTTGGGTCGGTTGGATGGACGGATGGATTGGATATCGGTGGTTTGTTTGGAGATAAGTTGAATGGGGATTTTTGGATTGGAGCTTTGAATATGCCTTAGGAGTACCTTGCATCGATGCATAACTGGAGTTGGTTGGATGGGAGTTATAGGAAAGCTCTGTTTCTACAAGCAACCATAGCTGGGAGGTCTACAACCACTCGGTTTTCAGTCAATGAGTATACCGTGAAGAGCATCGAGAATCCACGAGATAATGCTGTATCGGGGCCGGAAGTGAGATATCTGTTCAGCAATCCGGGGGAGATGGTGCTATGGTAGACCTTCCCACGGTGCCAACGGCCAGTAACCCCAGGACGGGGATGTTGTGTGCTATTGTAGAAAGTGTGGCAAACTTTTCAGCTGTTGAGTACCCTCCCTTAGCTGACATACGGTAGCTTGAACGGTTGTGTAGCAATTCGCTGCATGCAGGACTGTGACCCTCTCAAACACACCAGCGTGTTACGTCCATGACGACGTCTGCAGGCCATCTGGTGCGAAAGACATCGAGCCATCGGCTTGGTAGTAAGAGCTTGAGGTCATCCACATTCTAAAGCTTGCAGAGGTCTTCTTATTTCGTTTTGATTTATTGTAAAGAAGAGCAATGATCTGCACAACAGAAAAGAGAGAAGAAAAAAGAAAAGAGTCTTACGAAAGAATCTTAATCCAAGTATAGGTACGTAGACAAAAAACAACTGCATAGTAATTACTCCTAAAAATCTAAGCAAGACGCCAATGAATGCTATCACACAATGACTCCGTTATGACGCTTTCGCCCCCCCTCCAACTCGCAGCATAACCTCTTGATGTGTCAACACCCTCGCTGATCAGCGGTGCTTTGCGTCGCTACTTTTTCCAATGTCTTGAATCGCCATGCGTACTGGGCTAGTTGTTGCCTCTCCGCGGGTTCTAAGCTTTTGCCTTTCTCTGCCATTTCTTTCTCCAGTCCTTTCAACATATCCCAACGTTTGAGGAGTCGACCTTGGTGCTCTGCAATGGAGACAAGGTTGGCATCTCTTGATGCCATGCGTTCCTCGATAGTGGAGTGGTAAGCAAGTTTGGCGCGAAAGAGTGCCATGTCGGATTCGTCGTACGTAACGCCGTCGCCTTCGGGTAATGAGGTTTGATGACTTGATCTTGGTGGCATAATGGATGGTTAGTGGCTTTGGGCACTTTTTGAGGCCTTCCGAAGCTTCTGATGGCTAGTCTAAGGCGAATGCAGCTTGGATATTTGAGCAAAGGCGACGATGGTGGAGAGAATGAAGGATACGAGGCTCGCTGAGAAGGTAGGAAGCTCTGTAGATGAGAGGCAGGCAAATTGGCTGTATATCACCATCCCTAAACCGTAGAGGGGAAAACAGAAAAGGGAAAGGAAAGAAATATCAGAGACGCAATTTGAAGACGGCCTCGGCTCAGTCTCCTTTTAAAGTTCAGATGCAAAGGGTCCATCGTCCCCAGCTTGCATCGTCCCTCGTAGAGGAACTTTATAGCCTCCCAAGCCCGCTGGTGACATCCACTAAGGTGATACCGGAACTGCCACCGGATACATCCTACTTCCCCTGAGACTGTCCAATGAGAATAAGAAGAGACGAACGAAGAGAAAGACTTGCTTCCTCCACCGGAAGAGCTGTTGTGTCGGGCGCCGTTTGTGCCAATGTCTTGTGATTCTTCGTCTGCTGATGACGAAGGAACTTGTAAGTTGCCTCTTCGGGCCAAATTGTGACACCCTCTGGAAAATACCGGCGCAACCGGCGTCTATCTGTGGAAACCCGGTCGGTGGGGACGGTATCTCTTGAAGAAAATCGGCTGCGGGATGGACGATTATCATGCTCAGACGCTGTCACCGCGATGCTTCTCGCATATGTAGGGGCTACAAACCTACATACAGTAGACACTGGACGGGCCGACCAAACATGGCGGAGGCCATGCGATTCATCTGTTACACATGGGCAAGAAGATATGAGAGGAAGACGACAGAATATTTTCTATGTGGAAGGAAACTACATGTAGCTCTTATTGCCAATGAGATACCTGTACGAGTTCACACATCCTTTTGGATCCGGCGTACAGCTCAAGTTTCCGTTTCCATACTTTGGGGCAAACGGAGGAATACCAAGAACAATTTTCTTTTCTTTTTTTCTTTTAAAACTTTGCAAACGGGCGATTCGACGGGGTTCGACTTTGCTATTTATGAAATGTATCCTTTTAATCCCCTATTCGTGGTGGCCTTCGGCCAACATGTACCTAGCCGCTGAATGCGTTGTCGTGTCACCCTGAGCTGTTGGACGCTGAATATGGACAGGCATCACGTCTGGAAGTATTTCAGTCAATCAATACTTTAGTATATGAGACATACAGAGCTTGGCAGCTCAACCTATCCAATCCGTTCGTCGCCAACGCGTTGGTTCCAAAGTATTCCATGGCCAATATGGCCGGCACCGAAGTCGATCACTGTCGACGAAAAAGGGACTGTAAGAACCCTGTCCCACAGTTCATTGTGCCCTTGGTCGTTCCACGAGTCCCTCCCCAACTGAGGAAAATAAGATCATTTAGGGTAGTTGCCCCCCCGAGATACGGAATTGCGGTTCATGCCTCCATCCGACGATGATCATGTGCTCCAGCTTGAGCAAATGGGTCCTTGCGTATGCAGTGTCATCAGGTGTGGATTCTTGAATATATCGGTGGAGACATTCTTTTTGGGTTCTAGTTGTGTTGTCAATCTGGTAAGACAGCGTCAGGCAAAAGGTTATACTCTGTTTAGAGCCTAGCATAGCATAGCACAGCAGCTATCCCAGGTTGCCACATCAGAACAGGGGCCTAGGAACAGTAACACTCAAACAAGTGCCTTTGCGCGTCAGTATTACTGCCAAGTAAGGTTGGTTTTCAAGCTTTTTCTTGGCTTTGCATCCAACTCCCGCTATGTCTATACGTGCGCTTATCTCGGCAGGCTACTTACTTTCTTTCTCTTGTGGTCAAGGATCTTTATCCGGCTCAAGTTTTCGGTCTATCCCTTTTGCAGTTCGAGTCCATTCCATGGTGCATCCGATGACGGCGGCTATCGCGAAACTTCTAGTCTTGCTCCCTTCTCCCTTGACTGCCTGTCAAAATGATCCCAGGGTTGCCACTTGTGCTCTATGCTGTCGTGGAGCACAATCTATGACCCATTATCAAACTCTCCGGGCTGGCAGATCTGTACGGATACTGCTTACTTCATCTGCGAAATATATGCTGGATGGAGGCTGGTTCGTAGTGTATCCTTAGGAGATAAGCCATGCTGTGGACCATCCCACCGGCGCGTATGTAACATCCTGGCACTGAGCCGCTGCGTCCATATATCTATATTGCCACGCTGCTTCACCGGATATCGCAGGTATTGTTGCACCACCATTGTCACTTAACGATATACTCTTCTGTAGTGTGCAATCAGTATTTCCAGGAAACCAATGAAGCCAGGGAGGCTATAGGAGTCGAATGGTCAAGCTTGTCAAAAACACCCCATTCTCCCTGATAAGAATTATCAAGGAGAGTAGCGGTCAGTATAGTGTGACAAGACGTTCTATATCCAGAATGTTAGCCTATGGGCAACTCAGTGTGTATTTAGCCTTCGTCCCGCTACCGTTCACCGCGCACAGAACAGTATATGAGCAATCAAGCAGCAAACGGTGATACAAATCCTTCCCGTGAAGAGGGTGACTTGCGATTCTTATGAATGTCGGAAAATACAAAGTCATAGCCGTGATTATACATAAACCCGTCGGCATCTAGCATAGCCTTTCAATTGCCGAGGGGTGGACCCCTGCGTACGAGACAAGAATGTCAACCGGGCTTGCATATTGAGGGATGGTAACGTTTGCTCCTGATAGTAGGCACCACGCCAAGGCTGATTATAGCCCTCCTTGGACAGTTCTAAAGACAGCCCGTGTTATGGTATAGTCAGCAAACGTCAAGTCCATACTGCTTCAGGATAGACTGGACCTCTTGTTGGAATCAAAGGTAGCACCGGCAGTGAGATATCCGGCCGAGATTTCAAGAGCCAGCATGGCTCGGGGTTACACGGTCTTATAACACTGGCAGACGACCGCCACGGCCCGAGTTGCTTGTACAACCAACAGTATCTTGTCCCTTCCAGTTACCGCTCAATCATAGCTCACAGCTAACACACATGAGACGGACCAGCGGCGTCAGCTGTGTCAGCCGAGTGTGGCCATTGGACAACCGGTGGTCAGATATAGGCGTAGAAGAGATGAGCCGTGTGCCAACCTCAACACGTCTTCGGCTTTTCAAGAGGTTCCCCTGGTGTCCACCCATTGTCCGTACAGGTAGGGGATGTATAGGAATGCAATTAGATGACTAGAGTCGGAGTCAACCCCAAATATGTTCACTGCCATTTAGTGGCTGTTGAAATGGTTCAGATGACCCATCGTGTGGTACATGAGGATTGTATCATCTGATCAAGTGTAGCAAGTCCCTTCTTTGGTACCTGGAGTTTCCTGTTTGGAGCTATGAGTCGTTCAGCGTATATCCCCAGCGGGCTTCTGCCGCGTTTCTCTCTATACTCGTTTGGAGAACCATAGCCATCCTTGCTGCTTTGTCTTAGCCGATCGGCTCACACATTGCATGCAGAGAGAGTAGGGATAATCGGTCTTTAGTGAGGAATTAGCTAACTGCTCAAAGTCTATCAACCGAGACACCTGACAATGTATCCAGAAGAGCAGAGCACAGAAGGCGGCTATATGGATGTAGCGCCAGAACGAATATCTCGCGGAAAAGAGCAAAGGTTGGAAGTATATTTTATTCCAAAAAAAGATGTGGCCTTTACCATGTATATGATATTATTTGTGGAGATGAAATACAAACGTCACATGAGGACAGCCAAGCAACGAATTCAGTAAAGCCATGTACCTTTATTCTAGCCAGTTGTCAATCTACTTTCGCGGGTCGTTTTACCATGGATCACGCTCCAGTATTTCCCGTTGTTTCCGCGACATTCTCCTTCTTCTCCTTCTTGTCAATAAGGTTAGATACCGCGCGCGCTTGTATTCTGATCTTACACCCCATACTGTCTGGCAATCGACTGTTGGGTCACACCCGCCCAATTTTACATACGAAAGAAGGGGGCAATGGCATATTACCCACATTGGCTCTTCCCATGTCGCCCCGCCGGAGAGTGTGATATTATACAGTTCGATATATCTCAGGGTCTTTCTGAAATGCCAGATAGTATGGCACAAAGATCCGGATGAAATCTTTGAAAACCATAGTGACAAGCGTTGTAAAGAAGCCTTGGGATGAATGATAGGTTTAGGCCACCTCATGGTGTGTGGGAAATACTTTAACTGCACCGATTGCAGATTCTCCCCATATTGTAATATAGAGAATACACTATCTCCGATAGAGTATGTATCAAGATTGGTGATTTTGAGACACCGAAGACGGGCAATAATCGAGGCCATTGCAGGATTCTTTTCCCCAGAAAACTGGTCAAGCGTTGGATCCCCGACATTGGATAAAAATAACCCATCAAGATTTGGTATCAAAGAGCGACAGTGTTGGAGAGCGCTGGTAATAGCACGCGCCCCTTCTATTCTATCATCGTGGTTACCCTCTATAAGAAGTTTCAAATTCCTCAGGTTAGGCAGCCGTTTAAAAAAGGATTCAAAGGAATCCCTCATCCCGTCTTCGTCCAGGATCACGGCAGCGTCAATGTTGCGCTTGCTATGTTCGTTGTTCCAGATACACATACTGAGAGACTGAATGTAATGACTACCCACTGGCTGAAATTTTCCGTCTAGGTGGAATCTTTCGTCTAGGCCACTGGAAGGAGACGATCCTAGCTGAAACCCTAACGAAAGAGCGCGAAACAGAAGGCGGGAAGCGCTCCTGCATATGGGCTTGCTGGCGAAACGGAGGTTCTGGAGCATGCGTCCCTCATAAAATTCATCGTGAATGGCGTATGCAATAATCTAAATTCAAAAGTCAGGCTATATATCATAGCTGCGTTGCTTAAACGTACCATATCGATGATTTCCATCGGCAGTGATGCTATCGTCGCCATAGTGCGGGTTCTCCGTTGGCAGACGACTACGTGTTTGATTAACGGACTGAAGGGTGGATATGAAGAAGAGAGAAGTGGCACAGTTAAGAGGCGGAATCTACTCTATCACTGTTAGCTCATTGTTCCTGGTGAAAAGTATCATGATGATACTACACGGTCCCAAGGATAAGACATCTTGGTTCCTCGGCTAGTATCCGATTTGATAACATGGAAGTATTAAAGTGCAAATAAGAATTTTCAATCTCCATGTAGTTTATAATATTAGACTATTTTCTATTCTGGGTCAACAGATAAAAGGAGCCTTCTCTTTTCTCGGCTTATAAGTGACCCATTAACGAATACTGTTGTTAGTATTGCGTTATTAGTGCTGCCTGCAATGCAACAAAAGTCCTTGGCCAGCCGTAATCTTGAGCGATGTTACCTGGTCATAGGCAGATATCCAGAATTATCTAAACGGACCGCACCAGATACTCAGGAGAGTGTGGCTTGCCGCTATAACGACTTTCACGCGATGCGAGAATTCATTAAGGTCGGCTTCGACAAAGAGCGGACGGGTTTCCACTGGGGTTTCTAGATATCCAGGCCTATTCGTCTATTTTCCCTGGGCATTGACTGCCTTTTCAAGAGAAGCTTTCGCCAGTATACGGCTCAGAATACTTGAATGAAGCTTACGTGGCCGAGAGATCACACTGTCCATCATAGCGGTATGAGATTAAGTGAAGTGATATAGAGTTGAATCATGGAGGAATCTAGAACCAAGGGAAGCAATATGACTGCCTAGCTAAAGCCACGTGTGTGTGACAGGAATAATCAGGGTTCAGGCATTTATACTCTGGCAAAATAACCCCATAAAGCTCTGCGATTTGCAATATACCACATTTCCAAACCAAGCTAATCATGGTGAGATTCAATATCTAGTTGTAGTCTCATCACATCGGTATACTACTAGATTGCGGTAATCAGTATCTTGATTACTGTTCCTATTGGAGGAGTTGTTATAGATCACAACAGTACATAAGGTTTTAGTGGTTTTGGTAGATTTATGTAATTTTGTCAAGGTGGGCACTGTTGTTCGTTGTTCGTTGTTGTTAGCTTTGATTGAAGTGTTACAAAAGTATTATGCTGGTTTGTATTCTATATTTTGATGGTAATGGAGTTGAGGCTTTAAAACTCATATTAGACACCTGAGAGCAGTCTTTTAGTGAATCATCGCAGATTGTGAGGAACGTTCTAATGCTGAATATGAAAGGTCAATCGTTATATGGGTATGCTATGTTGCTGTAGAAAGTGTAAAAGAGCCTAGGTAAAGAAACTCCGCTGATGAGAATGACTATGTGCATGAACTGCTGGTCTATATCCGCCATGCGTCGGATGAGGCCAAATCCTCGGAAGAAAATCCCTGGGGTATCTCTAGAGACGGAAGAACAAAAGGAAAACCCTAGTTCATCTCAGATGAATTTTGCTGTACTTGCTTGTCTGATTCTGGAGTAAGCTGGGCTCCCTGACTGTCAGAACCAGGCGACGGCGATGAACTGTTGGGTGTCCCAGAATCGTGGCTGACGCTCCCTCTCTCCCGCATTGCCAGGCGTGTTTTTGTGAAGGTAGGCACAGGGGCGAGGTATTGGTCCAGCATTTCGCTTAGAATTGTCGACCGGACTGGCTTCGGGAGATAGTTATTCATTCCTGCCTCAAGGCACTTCTCGCGGTCGCCCTCAATAGCACTGGCCGTCATCGCGATAACAAGCGCTTCATTAACATTAGGATCAGGGTCTCGTCGGATTTCACGAGTTGCATTGTAGCCGTCCAATGTAGGCATTTGTACATCCATCAAAACAACATGGAAAGGATTCCCTTCCTGTGAGCGCGCACGTAGAGCCTCGACCGCTTGTCGCCCATCACTGTACGCTTCACATTGCAGGTTAAGACCAGTCACGAATTTCACGGCGATCTTCTGGTTAATCGGATTATCTTCCGCAATGCAGACCCGGATTTGATCGCGTGGAATCATCGTAAGGTCACGAGCCGTAGGTGAAGGAGAGGTCGTTTTATCACCTGCATCTCCTTTCTTCAGTCCTGATGCTTTTGCGGAAGCATCTTTGACCTTATTGAAGGATAAGTGGAAAGTCACTGTGGTGCCGACTCCAGGAGTTGAATCGAGCCAAATCGCGCCACCCAAGACGTCTTCAATGATAGCTTTGCAGATGCTTAGACCGAGCCCACTGCCACCGTACGACCTAGCGGTGGAACTATCCGCTTGCGAAAATGGCCTGAATAGTCGCGATTTTTGCTCTTCAGGAATCCCAATTCCTGTATCAGACACGGAACATTCAAGGCGAATACGGCCCTTGCCTTCCCGGGTAACTCTCGCCCTGACAGTCACCGATCCTTTCGGCGTAAACTTGTAACTATTGCTAAGGAGGTTCATGAAAATCTGGTGCAAACGCACAGGATCACCAAGCACCACCAAATCTGGAGGAACCTTCTCGAGGTCCTCGATGGTTTCCAAGCCCCGGTCGCGGTGTGTATAGCGGAGCGCACGAACAACTTCTGAAATTGTCTCCTTAATGTTCAGAGGCACCGTAGAGATCTTCATCTTCCCAGCTTCCAACTTAGAGAAATCCAGGATGTCATTGATGAGAGTGAGCAGGGTATCTGCGCATACACGAATGGACTCCACATATTCGTCCTGCTCTTTGTCCAGTTTAGTGGCCTTCAACAGCTCTGAAAGGCCAATGACCCCATTCATTGGCGTGCGTAGGTCATGGGAGATATTGGCCAAGAAAATAGATTTGGCCTTCGCTGCATCTTCTTTCAACTTGACGTTATGCTTGGCTTCGGCTTCCGCTACCTTCGCCTTCTGCTCCGCCTCACGAGCCTGCGCGAGTGCACGCTTCTGAGCTTCGACCATAGATGCGTTGGTGGCGCTGACTTTGCGGACTTCACGGAAGAGCAAGGCATTGGACAGCGAAATACCAATCTGGTTACAGAGCAGGTGAAGGACTACAAGGTTTCGCTGAGTGAAGGAGTTTGGTTTTCCTTCGATATGGATAACTCCAAGAAGATGCTCCGCTTGCATTATTGGCAGTGCAATCACAGATTTGCCAAGCGGATACCTACCCTGGTAAGCATCCGAGACATTGGAGAATCGGTCATCTTCGAGAACGTTATGGACGAGGACTTCTTCCCGAGTGCGCATGACATAGTGCGAAATCTGTTGAGCCATTTTATCTTCGACCACTGCAAAGGGAAGGCCGTCGACGTAAGATCTTTGACCATTTTCGAGGTCACCAGCTGCGGCAACGGTGAAGTTGTCATCGAAATTAGTTGCGATCACTGCAAAATCTGATCCATTACAAGACTCCAGAACAATCTCAATCATCTTTGTCAGGAGCTTGTCTATCTGGAGTTCAGATGACATGACTTGGCTAGACTCAAGGATACTCGACAAATCAATAATGTCTACCAGGCGTTAGAAAGAGCAGTTCTGCGCTTAAATAAGAGCTGGGGTGGATCTAGAGACTTACCGAGCCCAACACCAGATATATCAAGCGAGCGTTCGCCTGTAGTCACGCCATTCTGCTCAATCCATCGGTGCTGTCGGTCATCTTCCTCCATATGTTGAGGAACGCCAATATCCTCTGGCTCACTACTGCGATTAATTCCTAAGAGCGAATCGACAGTTTGGCAACCAACATCAACACTCCTTGTAGATGTGGCCGTTTTCAGGAGCCATTCATGCTTCTCTGTCAGTTGTGCAGCCTTACCAACGGCACTGATCGCCGCCCATGCGGCGATAGCGTCCTGCATAACGGAGCGTGCTGCCCGTTTAGCACCACGTCGTATCAAGAAATCGCCTAGAATCAGGGTCAGTATCGTGGAAGGGGTCTTAAAAAAAAGAGAGAGATCGAAAACTATTCCACGCGTACCATGTAATTCAAGAGCAAGAGCCTCTTCCAAGGGCCATCCATGGATTTGGCAGTGATCAATCGCGGCCTTCATAAAGATTGAGCTTTTATCCTACACAAAACTGCTGGCCCAACTTACCTCGAATGCTCGAATCGCTGAGCTGTGGTCATTCCGGACCTCGAAGACCAATGCCTCCAAAATCAATGACCACATTCCATAGTTTGCATCACACGCGCTCCGGGCAAAATCAACTTCGGCTTTGTACCTTAGGACTGTCTTCATGTTTCCATCGAGATACCCGCCGGCAGGATAATCATTGTGCAGCGTGAGTAGAGAAAGAGCCAGATAGAAATATACAACATACGAAACACGAGCTGACCACAGCCTGGGCATAGTATCCATCATCTGTACGCCCAGTTCTATAGCCTTTGAGTGGTGTCCGTATACAAACAGAGGGATCATGGCCAGGCCCCAATATATGTCACGAG